AGATAAATTTAAATATACGTATAATGGTATACTAAGCACATACACATTTAAAAGAAAAATCATCAGCAGTACACTCATCAGTGTGACTCACTCCATTTCAAGTCATAATCCATATCAAAGTCATAGGGGCCCCATTATCCTAATATGCCCAGGGCCTTCAATAGGTTAAAGACGGCCCTGTACATAAGCAACTCTCACACACGCACACTTCTGTAAATAAACATTCAATCAAGCGAGCGAGACAGTACTGTACGCTTCAAAGTTGCAATAACTGCGTTTACATTTCTCTCTCTACTAAACTAGTCCAGGCAGGTAAAGGTATAGAGGGAAATGCTTAGAACACAATTTTTGACTTCGTAACTTTGTTAGGACTAGTTAGGAGGTAAACATATCAAAAGTCCCCGCCCGTAGCCCTTGCTAGAATGCATAGTTTCCGAGATATATGCGAAAAACCTAAAAATAGGACCTTCAATCCCCCCCTTCCCCCCGGCTTAAGGGCTACGGGCGGGGACTTTTGATATGTTTACCTCCTAACTAGTCCTAACAAAGGTACAAAGTCAAAAATTGTGTTCCAAGCATTTCTCTCTATACCTGTTTTTGAGCATTCGTTGCCTGGACTAAACTAAAGGCTGAGAGAGATTTGAGAACTATGTTTCTATAGTTTTACGAATGAAAAGTGTTGCCGTGGAATTTGCTCTTTGATCTAGAACTAAGTATTTGTGTTCTTATTAAAAGCATTGGAGGCATTGTTTCGTCTTTATAACATAGAATGTACGCAATACTGTTGTATTGAGTGCACAATTTAAGCGGTACACTTTTGAGCCGCGAGTGCCTTATCCTACCTTTTTGTTTTAAAATAAGCATTATACAACTTCCAAATTGAGTATCAGGAGCTTTTTTTTCAGCAAGTAGTAAAAACAGTTATAGAAATGTTTATTCACTTCAATAAATGAAGAAGCAACATGTAGGCCGGCAAGGTGAGGATGGCTGGTGTGGCAGGTAGAACTGCTGCACCAGCTATCTTCACGTCTGGACTTCACCGTCACTTAACATCAAGTGGGGTGGAGTCATTTGTCGGACCTATCTATGAAAAAAAAGAAGACATTTAAGGTAAATATTGGTGTTAATTCTGTAAACCTAAACATAAATTTATCATATAGAATACAGAATGAAAAGAAGAGACTGATGTTAAATTTAGTTTTAAGTTTAGAGAATTATGCCAGAGTCTACACCATTGAGCTGATTAATGTTCAATATCAAATTATTATTCATTTAATCAACATCTTTGTTAAAAAGGACGTAAGAAATCAAAGTAGGCCAATGATTTGTTTATAATCTTTATTTTTAATACATCAATAAACATCATAGTTCAGCGTAGGTAAATAATTATAAAATAGTAATACTGTGAAAATATAACTTTAACTCTATACAATTAACTTATGCTTAACAATCAGGTAGTTTTGTGATGATAACATTGACTTAGAAAAACAAGTAGGCTCAAAATCGCGCACAAGAAGTGTCTGGAGGCTAAATTACGCACAAGAAGTGTCGGAGGCCAAATTACGCACAAGAAGTGTCGGAGGCCAAATTACGCACAAGAAGTGTCGGAGGCCAAATTACGCACAAGAAGTGTCGGAGGCCAAATTACGCACACGCATCTATTGTGCGTAATTTTTATACAATCGTGTTTCGAACGCGCTTTGATTAAAACGCCACGCAATGACGAAAAGTTCGGTTAACAACTGTGCAAATGACACCAGATTTACACTAAAAAACATGTTCAAATAAGTTTAAACTTTAAACTAACAAACTTGACTTGTATTTATACGTCAATGGATGATATTAACAATTATTTCACGAAATATCATAATTGTAGCGACAGTTCTACTTTATTATTCATTAAAAGACGATTTTTAAATGTACTTAAATAAAGTATCATATATTACCTATTCTCACTGTTTTTATTACCATTTTTTTAATGTAAATGAGGTATCAACATATTAGGCTTAATTTATACCGGCGCGGTATAGAATGACAGCGAACTTTAGCAAAGAAATTGTGCATAGCATAATGAACTTTAAGTCAACTGTATAAGTTTGTATGTTATACCAATTAACATAAAGTTCATTATGTTATGCACAATTTCGTTGCAAAAAATCGCTTCCATCACATTCCGCGGCGGTATAAATTGAGCCTCATCTACCTCATACGTTTATCAGTACCACCGAAGAACAACAAACCGGTCAATCCCGAGTCTGATCAGCAAAAAAGGTAAATGTAACAGGCTTTACGTTAAAATTTAAGGCGTCTACCTATTTACGGTCAAAAGTTGATAACCTGTGATTATCCTGCAAAAAGTACATAATCTGAATTTGATTCAATTAATGATATAAATTTATCTATTCTTGACTAAACTATACATCTTTGCATAACTTTGTATTAATTTTGGAAGCAAAATCATCATTTTTTTTAAATAAGTACTAGATTAAGATTAGGCCAGAAATCAGATCTTTAACATAGGAATTGAAAACATCAAATTAGATTTTTCATAATAATGACTGTATAATCGTAAACTAGGCATCTACCACGTAAAGACGTGAATCGATTGCGCCGCTTCTCTTAATTTTGAGTTAATTCTTTAAGTAACTATGAAAAAGGTGCAAACGATTCACGTCCTAAAGTGAACTTTTCAAATGTGTATCAACAGGTTAGGTAATCTAAGTTTCACCAATTAATTATTGGCTTTATTTGGTTCGGCACAAGATTTAAAATCCATTGAGAATATCCGACACATTATTGTTACCTAACGCGTTGTTAAATGACATTATTGTAATGATTTTTACCTACATACATCAAATAAATACGTACTTTAACACAAATATTTTCAAATCGCACATAAAAGTGCACAAATGTTCATCATAAACATCATTTTCAATAACCACAAGTATAATTAACATATTTGATATAATACCTATACAATTTATATTTAAAACTAATCAATTACAAACAAATATAGTATTAATACCATTAATAAGCTATCCAGATAGATGTAAATTCAATATAAAAAGTTAATTCATTAATATGCATATCATACGGTTTACTTTCCTAAAACATAAAGAAAATACCATAATGGCTATGATTATATACACGGCTAACGCACGCAAAGAAAATGGCTCATGTTATGCGCAATGTGTGAGTGACTCTAATGTCAGATTGTTTGAAAGCAGTCAATGTGTGTGTGTGTAGCGACGAGCATATCTACTATAACAATGATGAATATCCACTTTTTACGGATTCCATAAACATTAGTCAATAACGTGAGATCGTTTTCTAAAACTTGTCAAATACCCTATTCTGGCATGATTCTCTAAACTTAAAACTAAATTTAACCTAACTCTTTTTTTAATTTAATGTCTCTCCTTTTCATTTTGTATAGTGGATGACAATGATACACTGTTGTCAAATTTAAGTTTAGGTTTAGAGAATTATGTCAGAATCGACATCAATATTATCGACCGATAATGACGTGCCTATGGGCGGGAGGCTTAACTGTTAGGTTTTGTTTTGAAGCCCAAGCAGACCTTTCAATTTTTGTTTTTTTGAAAGAAAACTCGACATTATAACAGTATTTAAAAAGGCTATTTTACTAAACTAGAGGATGAAAGTTTGCATTGTACTACTCCATATTCCATTAGTGTCTTATTGCTGTGTTCCTATGACTTCTCACTATGTTATAAGACTTTTGGGTGACAGATCGTAAAGGGTAGGTACCTAATACCTATTTTAATTGAAATGCACTTCATAATAAATAATTTCATAACTAAAACTTAATGTTACTTAGCTACAACGAAGAGAAAAATTATAAAGCTACGGTATAATTCTGGCACGATTGTTTTAACTAAGGAAGTTAATTAACTTACGGTAACAGAAATGCTCACTGTTCCAAAAATTTGGTCCGAAGGAGACAGAATATTTGGCCGGAACTCTCTTTCTAATGAGATTCAGTCTCGGCCATTGACATAACAATTTATATTGTAATACAGAGCTAAAAAATAAAACTTATCCCCAAAATACTACTACAAGTACAGTAGTATTTTGGGGATATTATGTGTCCTAGATCTTTATAATAAATATTAAAATCTATCATGTTTCCAATCCCAAATTAGTATCTCTATTGCTAGTTTTGACTAAAGCTCGGAGTGAAAACTAGCTTTATCTGAAAATCAAATATATCAGTGGGAAATTCTAGTTTTGGCTAGTTATTTCTAGTTTTAACAAAGGCATTTAGTAAAAACTAGTTCTAACTAGGGAAAAGGCGTTCCATCTAAAAACTGGTTTTAACTGTAACATAAACATTGGATCAATTAACAATTATATTTAATCACACAAATATTATAAAGGCGAAAGTTTGGGTGTATGTTTGTTACTTCTTCACGTCTAAACGGCTGAAGCGATTTTAATAAAATTTGGTATGGAGTTAGTTGACACCCTGCATTAACACATAGGCTACGTTTTACTGCGGAAAATATCCCTAATAAGCCGCAGGTAACACCGCGGAGCACAGCTAGTAAACAATATTCCTTACAAATATTCCTTAAAAAATATTGTGCCAAATGAATTTCGGAGCAACAAGATTATGCCAGATAGAGAGAGCCCATTCATACTCCTGTTTAATTTTAAATAATTGTGCCAGAATTAGGCCTAACATTATAACTACCTATTAAACTAATTAAAGCAAAGCGTAATAATAAAAATTTTGTTAAACTAATAAAAAAACTACATTTTTTGAGACCTAGCATAATATGCTACAAAATTTTAGTTTAAGCTATTAAATCTGTCGACCATGGTAGTTTAAATGCATTGCTTGACTTTGTACTTAGTAAGTTTGCTAATAAGCACCAAAATAAGTTTTCTTTGACTATACTTCGACCAAGATTTTTTTTATTATATGTTTTTAATAAAAGAAATGCATAGAATTTTCCATCTATTGCACGTGAATATTTCCACTTTTTTTTATTTTTACAAAACGTCGTTGTCTGCCATAGAGTTTAAATCTTACCATAGAGTACATTATATACCATAGAGCTAACGTCACAACGTCTACAACGATGAATATAAATATTGGTGTAGCGAAATAACTTACTTTTTTTATTTATTCACATTAAAAATCATGGATATTGTAAAAATTGTGCTATACTTATCAAAACTAATAAAATTCTAATGGGGTCACTGCTTTGCATTCTGAAACAAAGAAAATTCATTACATCTTGTTATTTGCGCGTATATAGCTGCAATAATTATGATGAATTTGGGTATAAAACTAGACTTTTAAAAAGAACATAGGCTAATTAATTTTGTTGCGAAAATAAGATTTAAAAAAGACAGGCATGTAGAAGCATTTCTGCAGGCCGGCAAGGTTGGTGTGGCAGTTTATAACTGCTGTACCAGCTATCTTCGCGTTTGGACTTTATCACCACTTAACATCAGGTGGGGTAGTCATTTGCCTACCTGGCTATAAAAAAATAAGAAAAGTGTGTATGAAACAGACAGGACATATTTATAATATATTTCATATATTTCATATTTATAATATGTTGTACTTTTGTGAATTAATAATTCAACGATGGTAAAAATGGGTGATTTTTAATAATTGTAATACTTACTTCTTTTAGGCGTCTTGAGTAGGACAGTATAGAGTTGTTTGTCTATGGACACCTGCTGAAAAAACAAAAACAAACTATTACAAAAAACAGACAGACGTTATAATATTATTAATTATGCATATTTTTAATGTAAACTTCGTCTTATGTAGGAGAAAACAAGGAACTTCGATTATTGCCCAATTTTGTATTTTGGTACAAACTATCTCAAAAAAAAACATCTAAAATTATACATACGAAAGATCAAAATGTTAATAAATTCAATAAGAAAAGCTGAACATTAAATAAAAGAATCTGCGTGTAACGAAACATTATTATGTTATTAGACGCAAATTTTCTCATTGACTTACAGCTAAATACTATTGGTTTAAATTCATATAAACGACTTTGATTGGTTGTATTCACGTGATTTCTGTTAGCTCATTGTTATTAAATTAAAGAAGTCCATTAACTAGAATATCTGAATCTGTGTTGCCATTAATTTAAATGTTTGGACGACATTTTTATGTGGTACAAGTGAATAATAAATGCCATTTATATTTTTGATAAATTCGGCGTATTTTTCTTCACATAAATATTATTTTTGAGGTACAAATTGGGCAGAGTTTTTATGGAGAAGAGCATAGATCCTTTGGTTTAATGTTATATTTATTTATTTACAGATACTATATAAAAAAGGATTTATTAATAAAGCTTATTACAAAGCGTCTGATTATATGACAGAAAAAAATGTTTGGGTTTGAACTGTTCCAATTATTCCAACAGGAGGAAATCATGATTGTATTGTTTTGTAAATGATTTTATATTATACTTTTAATTTTGTGGAGTTTTATTGCTCGCTTTTTTCCGCAGCTAAAAAATATGTCCAATAACGAGTGGTAGGGAAAAAAAATTTGGACGATTCAAAAGATTCGTACTATACATCCAATTTGAATAAAGATATATTGATTTCTGAAAATAAAATATTTCAATACAATATAGGTACGCTACTCGCGAGTAATAGCTTTGGTATCGCAAGCGTCTGCAGTCTATGGTGGCCGCTTACCAACAGGCGGGCCATTATGTTTGTTTAACATGCAGGGTGATAAGGGGATTCGAGGTTGAAAAGGTATTCGAGGGTAAAAAGAAGATTCGAGGGTGAAAAGGGGATTGGTGGGTGAAAAGAGGGATAAGAGTGTGAAAGGGATTTGAGGGTGAAAAGAAGATTCGAGGGTGAAAAGGGGATTGGTGGGTGAAAAGAGGGATAAGAGTGTGAAAGGGATTTGAGGGTGAAAAGAAGATTCGAGGGTGAAAAGGGATTCGAGGGTGATAAGGGGATTAGTGGGTGATAAGGGGATTAGTGGGTGATAATAGTGGACTGGTGGGTGATAATAGGGGATTGGTGGGTGATAATAGGGGATTGGTGGGTGATAATAGGGGATTGGTGGGTGATAGTGGGGATTGATGGATGATAATGGGGGATTGGTGGGTGGTAGTGTTGATTGATGAGTGAGGAAGTGGGGTGGGTCTGAGACCAGGAGCTCTACTCTCTTTCTCCGAAACGAAATTTCGGCAACGAACGAATTTTAAACGAAATTTCGCCTGTGACTCCACTCTATTTCATCTTCAAACACGCACATAAAGTTCGGAATCACAGACAATTATCGTGAACGAATGGAATGAGTTATGTTTGTGAGTTCTTTTTGTTTACACTTTTTAGATAACGTTTTTTATTTCAAAACAATATTACTTTATGACAACATTTTTGATTACATTAAAACAACCTCTTTTGACAATGTTAGCCGACTAATTTGTAGAGTTGATGCAATCGAATGTATGTCAACCTAAAGTCGTGTAACACTTGGAAGTATTGGCAATACAATAATAAACAAAAATTTGATTTATTTGTAAATTTTTCATACTAAAAAATGTTCCTCGCGGTAAGCAGCCTTAATTAAAAATACTGTAGTAGTAAATTTAGGTTTAATTTAAATAAAAATCCCAAAACGAAAATGAAAAGGTAACACTTTTCATTTCGTCAATTTGAGTTTAAAATTTCGAACAATTGTCTGTCAAATTCAACTTTTAGCTCAAAAGTTTTGTGAATTATAGTAGGCTTAGAGAATTTAAATGTCAAACTATATTCGGACGAACGAATTTTCGAAATGAAATAGAAACAGAGTAAGCGACGTGCGAAATTTCGATCGAAATTTCGTTTTTCGTTGAAACAGAGTAGACCTCCTGAGCGGGCTGAGGCGTCTATCTCCTTTCGCGACGAAGGGAAGCCAGGCAGACTGGCGCCGTAACGCATTACGTAACGAAGCGGTTTACCCTCAAATGAGAAGTTTCACTTCAAAATAATAATAATAAATATTTCCAAAATTCACGCCAATTAGCTTAGCCCCAAAGTAAGCACTGTAAGGCTTGTGTTATGGGATGCTAGGGTAACGGATACAATACATATACTGTACATATATAAGCAGATTTATATAGAAATACATATTAAACATCCATGACTGAAGTATAAATGCTCGTATTCATCACACAAACATCTGCCCCTACCGGGATTCGAACCCGGGACCTCTCGAGTCGGCAACACCATGAAACCCGGCGTACAAAACACACGGCTACGGAGGTCGTCAATATTATAAGTGTTTCCTTCCTTATCCTGCAGACAAGTGTCAGGGTCTGGTGTTTGTGGCCTTACTGGGTTCTAGTCCACGCCCATTAGGCAAGACATATTAGTTCCAAGATATGCACCCTTTTTTAACGTAAAATAAATAACGCTGTTTTTACTCACCTGTGTACCTTTCATTCTGCAGACAAGTGTCAGGGTTTGGTGGTTGTGGCCTTACTGGGTTCTAGTCCACGCCCATTAGGCAAGACTTATTAGTTCCAAGATATGCCAACTTTTTAACGTAAAATAAATAACGCTGTTTTACTCACCTGTGTACCTTTCATTCTGCAGACAAGTGTCAGGGTTTGGTGGTTGTGGCCTTACTGGGCTATAGTCCACGCCCATTAGGCAAGACATATTAGTTCCAAGATATGCCAACTTTTTTAACGTAAAATAAATAACGCTGTTTTTACTCACCTGTGTACCTTTCGTCCTGCAGACAAGTGTCAAAGTTTGGTGGTTATGGCCTTACTGGGTTCTAGTCCACGCCCATTAGGCAAGACATATTAGTTCCTAGATAGGCCACTTTTTTAACGTAATATAAATAACGCTGTTTTTACTCACCTGTGTACCTTTCGTCCTGCAGACAAGTGTCAGGGTCTGGTGGTTGTGGCCTTACTGGGTTTTCGTCTCCTCCCAAGCAAGTTTCCACCATAGCTTCGAGACAGTTCACGAATAACTCGCTACTCTCAGCGGTGCATTGGTTCTGTGATATTGAGACGAAAGAAAATATATTCAACGTGTAACATAAATAAAGGAGGGATATGAGGAGATCGATAGCGAAAGTGGTTAGCGCGTTCGGCTGCGATCGTTGAAGTTAAGCAACTTTCGCAGTGGTCGGTCAATGGATGGGTGACCAAAAAATTTACTATCTCGAGCTCTTCCGTGCTTCGGAAGGTATGTTAAGCCGTTGGTCCAGACTACATCTGCAGTCGTTAGCACCCGCCAATCGGCACTGGGCCCGCGTGGTGGGTCATTGCCTAATCTCCCTATTGTGGAATGGAATGGATGGAATAGGGAGACTGGACCCAGTGCGGATTGGTGGGTGCAAACGACTGCAGATGCAGCCGGAACCAACGGCTTAACGTGGCCTTTCGAAGCACGGAGGTGTGAGAGATATAAAATTTTTGGTCACCCATCTAATGACCGACCACTGCGAAAGTTGCTTAACTTCAACGATCGCAGCCGATCGCGCTAACTAATTGCGCTATTCGAGCTCCTCATATAAAGAAATGATCTAACTCACCTTAGTGAATGGCCCAGCGAATCGCCACAAACCACCGAATCCGCAGCTTTGCATGTAATGCAATTGTTGCTGGCTTGTGTCTTCTGACGCTATCATATTCTATGGAAAAATTATAAGATAATAACACTTTATTGCACAACAGTAACATAAAGATAACGAATAAAATACAAAACATGGCAAAACCATTACAGTTGCACAAAGGGCGGTCTTATCGCTAATCAGCGATTTCTTCCAGACAACCCAATGGGCTGGAAAAAAAAAATAGAAAGCATGCTAAAAATAATGAGGGAGGTTGTGCGGAATACACGACAAAAGTTTTGTAAGTAGTAAGTTGAAAATAAATTTAAATAAACATCATACAGGATGTAACGAAAGGTAAAATTGTTGTTGTAAGCTATGATGTTTTAAAGTTATAGATATGTCACACACGCTTCCAATTTCGCAATACGAAAGTCAGGTAATTGCCCTATTTGCATTCAGTCGGGCATGCTCCCTCGCCGCGACTACACTTTGCTACAACGTGTAAATATTTTACGTTTTTTCAGACAAAAAGCGGTATGTTTTCGGATAATTAAGACAAAATACACGGGAACTATTAGAGACTAGAAAAAGATGTCATTTCATTCGTAAGTACAGTTTTAAAGAAATGAATGTCAAAATATTAAGCGACAGTTACTGACATCGTTTACATATAAACACAACAGAGCGAGACTACTTAAGTGCGCCCTATTGGCGGCTGTTGCCAAGGGAAGTTTGGGCGGGGACTACTGTGCCATTTCAAAATACAATAATGTTAGCGTATAACCTGTTTATACCTTAGATTAAAACAAAAAGGGTAGATACGGTACGCTCATACTAGCATGATATAAAATATGATCCGACTCAACTACATAAGCAACTCTCACCTCACACACGTCTGTATATAAACATTCAATCGAGCGAGCGAGACAGAACTTCTACGCTTCAATGCAGCGCGAGCGAAACTGCAGGTCCACTTCCGAGTCCGTACGGCTGAGCTGTATTGTTGTCCTTTTCTTGATAACAAAATGGCGATTACGTAAATAACATTCACGACAAACCGTGAGTTTTGAGAAAAAAATGTTTTTATAGTTTTACGAATGAAAATTGTTGCCGAGGAATTTGTTATTTGATTTTGAACTATTTGTGTTCTTTATAAAAGCATTGTAGGCATTGTGGGTTACCTACAATGCGAAGAGATGGCGCTGCCTTGCAGTTTAAGGATAGGAAAATTTCGACGCGGCCATCAGGGCCGCGGTAGCATAATTGGTCAGTGCATGCGCCCGGTTTGCGAAGGGTGCGGGTTCGAGTCCCGTCTGCTGCCTGGTCCGCGTGTATTTTTCTATTAAAACTTTTCTTTAGATTGAAGGCATAGTTTTTATCTTTATAACACAGAATATACGTAATATTGTTATATTGAGTGCACATGCAGCGTGTTTGAATGTGGAATTATGACTAAAGCGAATTGTGTTCATGCACTAAAATTTAAGCGGATCACTTTTGAGCCGCGAGTGCCGTATCTTCCCTTTTTGTTTTAATCTAAGGTTTATACTTACTACCAATGACATATAATATGTATCATTAGTATACGTATACGTGTTGTGTTGATTTCAAGTCATCTAATTAAAAAAATACACTAATGAGAAAACCAATACGGAAAAACAAAGGTTGCATCATCATTAACTTAAAAAGATTTACCTACTGATAAAATTGTAATATAAAAAAAGATTTATTAATAAATTACTTATTCCTTCCGTAACTTATTATTTCTTTATATCACTATATTGAGGAAGTATTATTATTTTAATTATTTAACATTTAGAAATTATAATATTTGCTATAAAACTATTCAGATTCTAGTGTCTAATAAGCTAGCACAATATTACCTGTATAATACTCTGTACGGCACTCAATATGACTTGATCGTTGCAGTGCATCAGTACGTGGTTGATCTTCATATCCAGAAGGCTGTGACTGTAGGTGCAAATAATAAAACCAATTTCAGAGTCCCCGATTGGATAAAATGCCGATTCTAGAGTCCACGATTGGTAGATTGGATGAAATGCTATTCTGATTGGAATGGACGCAGATCTGTCTAGGATATTATAAAGATGGTAAGTGTTATGTGAAACTTTATTCACCAACAATTTACAAATATCAAAATTTAACATTGAGAAAATTAATATATTCGTTTACATAGTTTTAAATTTTGTCTAGTTTTAGTTAAATATTTAAATGTAAATATTTATTTTTTTGTTTCAATCTGCATCTTCATCTACCATAAATCTAATAAATTTTAAATAATATCATCCATATTTGTGAACTCAAAAAAATAATAATATACATATAAATATATTCGTTATTTTTGAAGTTCGTTTATTGACAGGTGAAGTTAGCACATCAAATTACAACAAAATGACAAATTTTCTCAATCGATTATGATTTCTAAATCTATTGACGATAGAGCCTAAAATCAGTTAGTTAGTTATCAGAAATTTTCAATTATGGGTAACTTGAGCTGTGGCTGTTAGATTATTGACTACATATTGACAAGGCGAAAAAATCGCTTATACGCAACTTTGTTGCTGCTTTAAAAATAACTTAATTTCAGTTTTTATAACATGTAAATTTTTAAAAATAAAATTAAAAAAAGTTAAAATTATTGAATTTTAACTTTTTTTAATTAGCATTAAGTTATTTTATTATTATTTTAGTTAAAATAATAGTTAAAAATAATCCTTGAGTCATTTCATTAAAATTATTTATTATGATTGCATGATGAGCTCAAGTAATAGTGATTTCTGAGGTAATGAAAATAATAGTGTTTAATAATGGAATTTGATACTTCTGTACATACGCAGAATAAAATATTCAAGAAACATAGTAAATAAGGTAAGGTTCTTAAAAACGGACTATATGGGCAACAATATCAGGATATTTGTTCTGTAATTTTATATTTTTCTCATTTCACTCCGAAGAAACGGCAATTTAATTTTCTCTCACAATTAGACTATCAAAACCGATTGGCTAGAGTCGATATTTTTTCTTGAAACATAAAATGTTGTAGATACTTACATAACAGGAAACACTTTTGGGAACACAACGGAACCCTCAGCCAAGTATTGGTACAGTACCCTGATCTCGTTTTCATCTGTAAATTATTATTATGTTAATATTATAGCTAAACTATATGTGTATTGATGACTTCCGTGGCCGAGTGGTTTGTACGACGGGTTTCATGGTGTCGCCGACTCGAAAGGTCCCGGGTTCAAATCCCGGTGGAGGTAGATGTTTGTGTGATGAATACGAGCATTTAGTACTTCAGTCATGGATGTTTAATATGTATTTATATATAAATATACTTATACATGTATCAGTATATGTATTCTGTCCGTTACCCTAGTATCCCATAACACAAGCCTACAGTGCTTACTTTGGGGCTAGGCTAATTGGTGTGTTAAAAAAATAATTACACATACAAACATACAATAGGCATATCTCTTACTGAAGTTTAATTATTGAAATTGGCCATAGACATTTTGGTTTAGTTTTAAAACTTTTTCCATATAGAGAAATCTACTGGGTGGCCGCGACTGATTGGACTGGTTTGATTTCTTTATAGGATGAATTTTGGGTATAAAACTAGCTTAAGTCCTTTCCCTATACCAAATTTCATTAAAATTGGTTCAGCGGTTTAAGCGTGAACAGGTTACAGCCAAAGAGACACACTTTCGAATAGGACATCGAGTCGGGGTTCACCCGGTTTTCAAAAAAACCCGGGTATGATTTGCAATACTCGGGTCTTTCGGGTATTTACAATAAATTTATTGATTTGATTGATGAGTGAGGGTTATAGGTTTATAACTTACAAGGAGCTCGATGGCGCCAGTTGTTAGCGCGTTCGGCTACGGTCGTTGAAGTTGAGCAACTTTCGCAGTGGTCGGTCATTGGATGGGTGACCAAAAATCTCGAGCTCCTCCGTGCTTCGGAAGGCACGTTAAGCCGTTGGTCCCGTCTGCATCTGCAGTCGATAGCACCCGCCAATCAGCACTGGGCCCGCGTGGTGGGTCATGGACCAATCTCCCTAATCCATCCATAGGGAAGGCCTGTGCCCCAGCAGTGGGGACATTAATAGACTGATGATGATGATGAACTTACCAGTGGTGTACTTCACGAGTGTAGCGAGCACAGTCAGCACAAGAGCTTGCGTCGTTATATCAGATAGAACCGAAGGATCTAGAAGGCTGTTGCTCTCCGGACTGGTGGTGTCTTTATCCGTCGAGACTTGCTGTAGACGAAACTTTACTATAGTATATTGTTATTTTATGCATTTAAATCAAAAAAATTTTTTATCAGAAAAAATCCAAATTTTAGTACAGGCAGTCCTCGTACTTACGACATGTTAGGTTTCTAAATACGCGACGTAAGTCGGGACATCCCCACGGACGCCGGCCCCACGGACATTGACCTCGTGACAAGTGAATTCTCCTATGCCGGAAATCGAAACAATTGACGTATGCTTGAGGAATAGTGTCAAAACATTGTTCGACGTAACTTGAAACGACGTTAATCGAAACGACGTAAGTCGAGGACTGCCTGTATTGTAAAAGGACAATGGGCAAAAATGTATGGACGCTGCACCCACGTCCGCCACGGCTTTAACTACATTTGTTTGAATGGTATTATAGTCAAGATCATCTCTGCCAAAGCGCATCAAATTCCATCCCGGGGGTCTTTAGTTATTTTAAGTTAAATATGTAGAAGTACTATAATGAACGAACATTAATGAAACAAGGGAATTAATTTAGTTAGTTAGTTCGACCCTACATAGGGTGCTCAGGAATTATGGCAGTACTTCATATGGTGCAAGGGTGCCCCCTTATGTTATTCTGCCGCGCTAGAGTTAATCCAAAAATCCCCGCATGGGTTGGGTTTTTTTAAACATTCTGTTCGTTATAGTAAATTGTCTTCTATGTAAAACGGAGCCACCCCAGATTACACAAACTTGTCCACGCTTCGGAGAACACATAATTCCAGTTTATCCATACTAACTGACAAAATCGATAATCGTGTTTCAATATCCAAAGCGTGTTAGATAAATATCAATCAAGTAGCAGGGAGCGCACAATCACAACGAAGTAAGACAGTGGACTATTTGCAACTGCAAGTCCTTCAGCATCCGTAAACCGTTTTGAAATGTTCAGTAAGAGCAAGAGCAGGATGGTCGGCAGGCTTTGTCTTATATCTGGTTGTATAGTACGACATGGCATATTATTATGATTACTAATAATATAAAATGAAGGTATTATAAAATGAATTTATTTAGCTACTTAAATATGCCCATGTGTCATATCTATTGACTACCAGGATATTTTTTACGGTGTCATATCTTTTGACTCCCAGGATATTTATTTTCAGTGTCATCATAAAAAAGGCTAGTTTTCCATAGATCTATCGATTCATACTAATTACATTGTTGGCGGAGCTGGGTGCGTTTTGCCCATTGTCCTTTATAATATTTTATATGAAGTTCACTCCAACAGGTAGGCATTGCATTAATAAAACTCTGGTGAGTCAAGTAGGGTTACCATAAGGAAATTTGTGAAAATCTTGACGCAAACCCAGAACTTTGTGTAAAAATACCAACATTTTATTCACAAAATCAAAATAAAAAACCCACTTCTCCAATCCCCATAGCATGTGCACTTACATTTAATCACGTTTTTTATAGCGTTTAACTGCCAAACTACACAGTTATTTGACAACTGAGCGTGATAAAAACAAGCTATATATCATTACATGGATTGGATTTGTAAAATAAAATACGGATATGCACTGTGCTGTGAGTGCGGGTCTGTTAATGTCCCCACTGCTGGGGCACAGGCCTTCCCTATGGATGGAAAAGGGAGATTGGGCCATGACCCACCGCGCGGGCCCAGTGCGGATTGGTGGGTGCTAACGACTGCAGATGCAGCCGGGACCGACGGCTTAACGTGCCTTCCGAAGCACGGAGGAGCTCGTGATAGAAAATTTTTGGTCACCCATCCAATGATCGACCACTGCGAAAGTTGCTTAACTTCAACGATCGCAGCCGAACGCGCTAACCACTTCCGCCATGGAGCTTCTCTATAACGGTCGTTGGCTCGTAATTTTTTCAACGGCCCCGCTCTGCTGTTACGCGCTTGGTACCGAACGGTCATATACACATTATTATTTCCGCTGAAATTGCGTAGAGAATTTTTCAACCGCTTATCCAGAGGAAGAAGGCAGAAGCTGCTTGCGTGTGCCCACGCTTGCAAGCCCCGATAAGGAAACAGAGAGACATCCAGGTGAGTCGTTGGTGGCATTACGCCTTATCTGACTTTCACTTGTTGCAATGTTGATGTTTCTTTGTGTTCAACCAGCTCATACTTAATAATAGGGTATTTGACAGTATTAAAAATAAAGTGCCAATTGTTAGCAGCTGTGTTTGGAATGAACATTGGCAGGGGGTTTTACTATTTTTACAAAAAAAATATTCATAATTTTAAAAAAACCCACGAATAAGATAATAGTTTTCTTATCTATTGTCACGTGACCCAAAATGACGTCACACGCAAGTAAACTTCCGGTTAAAGTGACATTACATTGTATCGTTTGACGTTTTTATAACAGGCATGTGACGTCACACACTAGTAAGACGCCATATTGTACAGAAAAACGTTTTCGCGGCAACTTGAAAATGGAGTTTTTGATTTGGTTATTTTTACTGAAATACACAACATAATGATGAATAACCACTTTTCACGGACTCCATAAACATTAGTCAATAACGTGAGATCGTTTTCTAAAACTTGTCAAATACCCTATCCGCCCACCGCATATATAATCATTACTCATTGTCAAACCAGCATCCAGTGAATAGGCTATTTACACGCCATACCAGTCATAATTATCTTAGGTGATTTAAATTATGCATATACTAAGTTAAAAGACATGTTCTCTCACCTTTGTGCTGGGTTCGGGGTAGTCGCTATCCCCTGATTTGGTGGAGGAGGGGCGGTCAGTGACGTCATCCGTGCTGGAGGGAGACACTCTACCGTCGTCTTCCACCACCTTAGAAAAAATAAAAGTTGTTAACGAAAGCTTATGCTATTACTTGTATTTATTTATATCTTGTATATGTCAATCAGTATAAATTATATAATTTAGACTATATATTTGGCTTCGGTATCGGTAGTAGATCACACCCTAAGTATTCTTTTAAAAAAATATTCAATGTACAGTTTTGACTTTCCTACCATTTTATGATATCTGTTATATAACAAATCAATAAACTTACAAAACTAATGACTATTTTGACAACATCCTGTATCCATATACAGGTGTTTACATACTCACATCTAACCCACTATCGGGGTCTCCTTGCTCAGATCTTGCTGCTTCCCCAGCCGCTCCATGTTGCATACTATGTGCCCTGCCTTCGCTGTCCTAAATCACATATATTATATGTTATATATCACATACCATATTATGGGACATAATAAGAAGGTACAACATATATAGGAGGGAGTACATCTAAAGTGGGGGCTTAGAATGTTTGATCCTAATGTATACTAATTTTATTAAGAGAAAAATATTGTTTGTAACGAATACAATAAATAACTGCTGGATCTTTTTACAAAATTCTTCCGTCATTAGAACGCTAAATTATCTCTGAGTTATAGGCTATAATCGCGTCGCAAGACTATATTTCTTTCCAACAAATACAGCTTTAAAACCAAGCTACGAAGCTCTTTACAGGAGCAGACAGCCTAGTTTAGTCGTCATTTTCATTTATCATTTAGAGCCTATATATATATGTATATGATTATATGTACTTAAGGATAATTTTATTTATATGTGTGTAATTATATTCATTATACTGTTTATTTAGTTATGTGTATTCTCCATCTCAGTTACGCAATTTACTAGTAATTGTCTCCAAACACCCTATGGTTGACTGGTAGAGAATGCCTACTACATTAGGTCCGCCTTTGTACATTAGTGTTATTGTAGATTAAAGAAATAAATAAAGTTCACCCGTGCGAAGTCAGGGCGGATCCGTAGTATTATATAACAGTTAGGAACATTTTCATTTTTATATTTATTACTAACTAGAATCGAACATCACTCTCTAAATATCAGATAGCAAATGATTCTGAATATTCGTAATACAAAGAAGATTTCAAAAGCTTTGATTTTCCATTTCACGAGAAAATTTAAGAAATGCAACGTAATTTGTGTTAAGACAAAGACCGCGTTAATTCATTCGTAGTTCAATTTGACTATAGTTAAAATACGACACCAAAAAAGTTGATGAAAAAATTGGTTCGAAATCTGATGGGGAATTTATTTGTATGATGAGCGAGTTCCTGAATCTCGGTTTTTTATAAAGTAATTATTAATATTATAATACGTTATTTAGTATCCATAATACAAGCTTAGCGTAATTCGAGAACGAAAATCTTGCTGGTAATTGAATTATTAAAAAAATTCTTCATTCTAAGCCCTCACCTAATATAAAAAGGGTGTTTTAAAAAATGGGGGTATCCTGGGGTTAAAAACAACATATCAAAATTGAAGCAACTATTGTTGTCTCCCTTCTACATGGAAGCTCTCTTTGTGGAGCTTCATCTTCTAGAAGTATATATCTAAAGCTAGAAGCATTGTTTTTCAGTGTAGATTGCGAGTGTTTCGGTGTGTTTAGACTTTGTTACAGGTGAATTAGGTTCATTTTAGGGTGCTTTATATTTCTTAATTGCATACAGGCAAATTATTGGACATGATTCTTTGCAACTAAATTTGACAGCAGTATGTCCAGAGAGTCTTTTGTTAAATATAGTTTGAAGTTTAAAACTTATGTGAGAATAAAGCCTCTAGTTAAACTAATTTAATTTTGATGTAAAAAGAAGCCGCTTCTGGTCCCAAGCCATTTAATATAATAGCGATTAAAAAAGATTGCTTAAGATTCTTTTCATCGTGAATTTTCTGCCCATCGTGGCAGCATTAGCATTACATATTTATGTTGTAGAATAAATACTAAAAATGTGACATAACTGAGTAGACAGCCATTAGTTATGATGTTTCGAAACTTTTTCGTTCGAAACACCGTTTTATTGAATTTCGTAGTGTTTCCCTGAAATGTAGAAGTTGTAGTAGTTTTATTCTTTCTCCTGAGAATTTACAAGATTGGATCCGATATTTTGTGCAATGGTAAGTCTTTTGTGCTGATCTCTCTTTTGAGAGGTTACAAGATTGAATCCAACAATTCGCGAAATGGCATGTTTTATGTAGGCTATGGTGTCGACTCTGGCATGATTATCTAAACCTAAATTTCAATTTGACAAGTCGGAATCAAAAAAATCAAAGTAAAAATGTGTTCATTCTCTTTAACTTTACCTATTAATATCTAATAACATTGTTGGTGCATTCCTTTTAAGTATAGCGATATCTGCAGCAGGAGGCATAGATCTTCCATCACCGTTACAAGATAATACTAAATGAAGAATTTTGCATTAAACTAAAACTATAGTTGTAGGGAGGATGGGTATGTGTGTGTGTATATGTGGTGTGTGTGTGTGTATATGTGGTGTGTGCGTGTGTGTGTGTGTGTGTGTATGTGTAATGTACTATGTGTGTGTATGAAATGTTTCCATGCCATAGAGATTGGTTCTATTTGTAGTAGAAATTTGGTAAAACATATACCTATAGGTAAACTAATAATAACAGTGTATAATTATTTTTAGATTTTCGGGGCTATGCAGTCCTAATGGAGCTGTAGTCACTGCGGCCTCAAAGATCTATTGTGACTCGCCACCAAGTTAAAGTATCTCTTTAACCCGACAGCTTCCAACAAGTTCAGAACGTTTCTAGCTTTTAGAGATTTGTTTTCTTCTGGGCGTATTATATGTCGTCCCAAATGAATACTACGTTTGTGGAGTTCCACATTCACATCACATAGAAGGTGATTTGGTGTTTCATGCTCCTGATTGCAGTATTTGCAAACATCAGTGTCACTTAATTTAATATGAAATTAGTGTCTGTTGAGTTATGTTTTTTCGAGTAACCTTCTATTAGAGATTTAGCGTGCTCTTATCCTGGTAGGTTTAACCAGTATCTTTTCGATTCATCTAGAAGGTCGTCATTAAGAACAACAATGTATCCTTGTCATTCTCTATACAGAATGAAAAGGAGAGACTGATGTTAAATTTAGTTTTAAGTCTAGGGAACCATGCCAGAATCAACACTACTGATGTCTCTTGTAATTTTATGTAGAACTATTCCTTAACTTTTTGGGTTTCAATGACGCATAACCCTTGTTCTCTAATCCATGCAGAGGGGGAAGGGGGGGGGGGGGGTGCCTAATTCCAATTCCTATCACAATACATTTGAATCTGTCATTGAAAGATACTTACATATGACGAACTCAATTGATGTTTTGAAATCTTTCTTTTCTATTTGTAGTCTAACTTCAGAAATATGTATTTGAAAAGTTCAATCTCAATTAAAATTTGTAAATATCTTTTGAATGCCAACTAAAGGATATGTTGATACGAGTTGAAATTAGACAATTAGGGGATGGTTCTAAAAGATTGAACTCTAAATTTACTCTAAAGGTCTAACCTACAATTTGCCTAACATTTGCCTTAAATAATGAGGTGTTGTCTAAATGTCTAAAGGGAACATGTCATACGCTCTTGTTTCGTTAACAACATTTTTTTATAAACGTCGCTAGATATTTTTTTTTTCATTTCAATTAAAGTATGTACTCATCTTGTCTTCTGATACATTACAAAGATAAAATACAAAGGTAATCGTGTTTTTTTGCATTTTATTATTTACGCATTCTACAGCTATAGGTAGACCGCTTAACTAAGTCGTTGTCTGCGGGGCACAGGGTGTGGGGGGGACGAAAACGGGGGTCGTGAGAGGTGCGGGCGGCGGGCACTTGTAATTCTGACAAGAATGAGTGGCGGGCGCTTGTAATCTTGACAAGAATGTGCGGCAGTACTTGTAATTTTGACAAGAATGTGCGACGGTACTTGTAATTTTGACAAGTATATGCGGCGGGCGCTTGTAACCTTGACAAGAATGTGCAGCGGGCACATGTTATTTTCACAAGAATGTGCGGCGGGCGCCTATAATTTTAACAAGAATGTGCGACGGGCACTTGTAATTTTAACAAGAATGTGCGGCGGGCACTTGTAATTCTGACATGAATGTGCGGCGGGCGCTTGTAATTTTGACAATGTGCGGCAGGCACTTGTAACTTTGACAAGAATATGCCGCGGGCACTTGTAATTTTGACAAGAATGTGCGGCGGACGCTTGTAATTTTGACAAGAATGCCACACCGCACCTATCATTTTTTTATCCGTTTTCGTCCCCCCCACACCCTGTACTCCGCAGGCGAGGTCTCAGTTAAGCGGTTTACTTATAGTATATCTTATCTCAAGATAAATTTGCTACCTATGTTATGAAGATGGGGATCCTGGCAGTAAAAGAAAGTGAAAAAAAAAATCTCCCAAGGTCTCCTTAGTAGCACGTCAGAATACCAAAAAATCAAAACCAAAATATCTTAAAATTATGCAATGAATTTTGATGTTGGTGCCTAATTTTTATTAACAGTTTTTTTAAAGTGCTACTATTTATATCGGTTTTTGTGTTATATTCATAAAATAACTACATTACCAAATCAGAAAAAATAAATATCTAGCGACTTAAAGTATAAACAGTTTTTCCACCCTTGGCGGTCCAATGGTGTCCTTAGAAGTTGGCACGGAGAATGATCTTTGCGTCTTAAAAAGCATTCTTGCTGAAGCCTTTAAGGTGACAAAGGTTAATGCAATACAAAGCGCATATGGGAAGACGCAAAAACGATATGCAATACAGGAACATAAAACAAGTGATTAATGCGACATATTTCATAGAAAATACAAAATAAATTAAATTAATTTCGTTGCGGTATATATAGCGTTATTATAACGGTACATAAGCCGTTAGTTATATCGGGTCACATAACGTTATTTATAACGAAATATATAACGTTATCGTTTACTCATTTAAAAAACGGTTTTACGTTAATTTATCAAATATCGTCGCACAAACAACAGCGGTGGATGAAAAACGGTAAACAAATGCATACAAACGATAGTATATCAACCAAATCCAAGTACACAGTTGCGTGAAAGAATACAATGTGATTAATATAGTAATGGTTGACAGTCGTGTCCTAAATACTGAAAGATAGAAAATGTTTAGTAATCATAAATAAATTTGGAATTTGGAAGATTTTTTATATTTTAATTTATTTAATTGTAATGTGGGTAAGATGTAATAATTTTTCTTTATGACTATTACAAAGTTTATGTAGAACTTTCTTATTAAATCAATGTTACTTAGTTAATACCAAATAGACACAGTAAAAGTAGTTATATTAAAAAATCTTTTCAGTCATGAATTGCTTGCCCTTTATCGCGGTATTATATAGAGTTTCTTCATAACATTCAGAAACAGCTCAAGCGATTATCAGCCTTAATGTGTATTCAACGATTTTCTAGGATTTTGATAATATTATATATTACTGAATACATAATAAAAGAAACAAACGTACAAACTCTATACGAATACCTTGCGATAAACCTGCTGTACTCAATGGACAAATATATTGGGCCAACTTTTCAGTCAACATTCAATGACATTTAAATCTTTAAGCGTTGGCTGATTTAGACTTAGTTTTGTAATTGGCGACCAACAATAAATACAGAAGATCTTGGAGTGTTAATACTTTGGCCCAACATAACAATGTGTACAGCAGATCTTAGACATATTTCTATGATTTTTTTTGGAATTGCAAAATCTTCCAAATACCACTATGGAAAGATACAACATTTATCTAATCAATACTACAGTAAAATAGCTGCAATTGTCATACACCACCATGAATGATGCGTCGTTACCATTACAGAAGCTATTTGTCTTCTAACAAGCCATTTCGACTGTTTGCGTGGGAAAGAGCTGGCAGATTTTGTATTCTATATTTATTGCTTTAGAATGCATATTGGAATGGTTATGCAGATAGTTTCATTTTGAAGGAATTTCTTTTAACAATACTTAAAACTTATTCTGTATAACAATTTAGGTATATCAGTATTTTTTATAATGAATTTTTTAAATATAATATCGTTATTCTTACATTTAACGAAAATTTTTAAGATTTTACAATTATGAATAACCATGTTCATATATTTTTTTTCTATATTTATTCTTACTGATTTTTTATGACATAGCACATGCCAAATATACATTCTAGTGTTCACAGAACATAGTAAAGGCAAGATTTATTTTAATTTTATACCTCATTCTCTTAATATATTTTTTTATTTACATTATAATATGTTTCGGATGCTTTACAGGCTCCGTAGTCAAAAGACTGTTTCTTATTGCTTGTTGAATAGCTAAATTTTCTAATACATATCGAGCGCGTCAATTTAACATATTTTTTATTGATAATTTAATTATTTTATTACAAACTCGTGCATTTTTCTCACATTGAAATCAAATTTTGCTAGTTCAAAATATCGTCTCCAGAATAAAGTTAAGTCTTTCCCACTGCAAACTCGATACAGACGCGCTAACAACGACGTGACGTAACCAATGGTAGGGATTGCATTGCGATGACATTACCTGGTGCGGCATAGTGACCAAGTGAGGGCTGTGACCACCGCTACTCGACTGCTGGAGAGTAGGCGATTTACCTGGTTCATAAATAAATATAAAATATATTTTTTGGATTTTCACGCACATTTCTCATCCCTTTTATGCAGGGAACAATAACAACAAGTTAGCAACAAGTTTCAACAGGTTATATGCACTGTTTTTATTTATTTATTAACGTTTCGCAGCCTTTGCAGGATTGCGTCGTCAGAATCATGTTATTTTTTGCATTTACTTTGACGAGCTACCACCGAACTAATCAATCCGAACGCTAAATAAAAGTCTTTCTGTAAAAGGTAGCACGAAAAAGTAAAAAAAAAAAATACGTGTGGCACTCGGGGACTGCCCCGGTTAAGCTATTGCATAGAATTATTTATCAACTTATGCAGTTATAATTATTTATTTATTTTATTTATGCAGTATTTTTTTTTTCTTTGATATTAATTCAAGTTTAGACGTGAAGAAATAACAAACATACACACTCGCAAACTTTCGCCTTTACAATATTAGTGTGACTGCTATACATTTATCTCTCACGTATCCACCCTAACATGACCATTGAACTTGATATAATAAAGCAATTTCACGAAATAGACTGTCAAACCACAATAAAGTTTGAAAGTCGAGTTAAAAGAGCTTAATCATATAATATCGCGGTACTCATGCTAGGGGGGCTGAGAACTCAGATAAATAAAAATAAATAAATATTTCCAACACTCACACCAATTAGCCTAGCCCCAAAGTAAGCACTGTAGGCTTGTGTTATGGGATACTAAGGTAAGGCCGTATACAGAAAGAAAGCTGGAAGCCGACCAGTGCTTATCAGCGCTTGTCGGCGTTGGTTACATAACAGTTACATAAAGGAAGCAGATTGAAGCGTAGTTGTTCATTAATTTCAAAAGACGGTGCCAGCGCTGACCAGCGCTTGTCGGTACTTGTCGGCGCTTATCGGCGCTGGTCCATAGAAATGCTTGCGCCGATTACCGGCAAGGACCAGCGCCGATAAGCGTTGGTCGGTATCCAGCTTTCCTTCTGTATACGGCCTAACGGATAGAATACATAATTATACCGATATATATATAAGTATATTTATATAGGAATACATATTGAACATCCATGACTGGAGTACAAATGCTCGTATATATCACACAAACATCTGCCCCCACCGGGATTCGAACCCCGGACCTCTTGAGTAGGCGACACATTGAAACCTGGCGTACAAATCACTCGGCCACGGAGATAGATCCAAGACTAAGTACTATGACGTTTTAAAGTAATAGATACGTCATACATGCTTATAATTTGGCAATACGAAAGTCAGGTAATTGCCGGACTTGAATAGTCGGGCACGCTCTCTCGCCCCGGCTACATTTCGCTACAACGAGTACATATTTAACGTTTTTCCACAGGGCAAAAAGTCCTATCTGTGTTTTTATATAGCACACAAAATACACGGAAACTATTAGGGACAAGAAAAACGTGTTATTTCATTCGTTTCTAGTTTTAAAGAAATAAATGTAAAAACATTTAGTGATAGTTACTTATTAAACTACTTGACCGTCACTGAAAGCTTTATATTGAGATAGCACTTCCGTTTCCCGTCGAATTACCATCAGTTTCCGTACTTTTATTCACCTTATATCCGGTCCAGTGGCGACACCTGGCAGAAGCGCGGCCATTTTTGTTTTCCTAAGTTTTGACAGCGCCATATTAACTCATTGGCGTTCTGACTCCCGTCGAAGCAACACGTCCTCAATCTGAGCGATCGTTGTGAGATTTTAAAGGTTTTATTATTATTAAGTGATAAAACTGTAAGTAAAACTATTTTATTTTAACGGTTTTTGCCGTTCGTGTTATTCCAAATAGGTACTTTATGTGTCAAAAGTGAAGGAATCGTAAGTAAAACTATTATTCTTTTTGATAGTTTTTGCAGCCCTGGTGATAAGGGATATTTAAAACAAATATGTTAAATTGTGCAATACGCTTGTTTGAAAAAGTAATAATAAGCCGTGAGTAAAACTTAACGGCAATTCAAGGTGCGTTTTGTTTAAAAAATTAAAGTACCTACATTAAAGTAAATTTTGCAATACTTTACGTCTGTCTTGGTCGTTTATCATAAAAACTATTTTAAGAGTGTTTTCTCTTGGTACTCTATTAATGTTTCCGTATAAGTAAATGTGAAAGTAAATTGGTAAATGTATTACAAAATACTTAATTAAATTGTTTTACAGTTTAGAGTGAAGGAATATCGGTCAATATTGACGTTTCAGCCGCCGACTGACTGGCATTATTAGCAAAAACAGCAAGATGTGTGGATCTAGTCATTATTGTTCTTCGAACAGCTGCAGTAATAATTGGTTGAATTTGTCGTCTTCTGGTATAACGAAAGCGGCATCGCTGCCTCAAGAAAAATAAGCGAGCTTGATATTCCAGCCCTTTTATTAAAAGATTGTTCGAGGGGTAAGTGAACTATGTACAATCTTAATAAGGTATTTCTAATGTCGATATGCCGTTTTCTGAACATGGCCAGCTATCAATATCTAAAGGCTTATGAATAAAAAGTTCTAACATTTTTACTGACCAATACACGTAATAAAAATTCTCATATGAGTCGTGTGACTAAACTAGGACAAAGGAACGCTCTGTTCGAAAGACATTCAACGTTTATTTTAAATGATATGCTGATGTAAATTAAAAATTATAATCATAGTCCAGGCTTTATCAACCTGGAAACAAACAACGAGGTAAAGAAGTATGATGATAATTTATGATATATCACGTTCCTGACATTAATTTTCTTTCAGCAATTGCATATTTCTAAAATAAAAATGAATCATTGCGGGAAGGCACCTGCTCAGTTAATTTTAATAACGAAAGTGATAAGATAACAGAATCGTTTCTTAGGTCTTTTACAGCTAGCACAAAGCTAAAAAGTAAAAACTAAAGCACTGCTTAAGAAGTTAGTGATCTCTGTGATGAAGCACCACTTAATAAAATACCATCTATGAGGTTGTTTTTATCGTATTAAGTAAGTATTTGTCATGGATTTAAGTGATTGACATTTCATCAACCTAATGAGCAACTCGCGCAGAGGCAAGTGATATTCATAAGCTTCATCTCAAGAAGCCCAAGGCGTGTCAGGACATGCCCTCCCATGGCGTACCTACACATATGAGTGCATATTATATATAATTTGTTTCCACTACGTGGAATCTTATTAAATGCCTCTAATGCCTTGCCTACATATACGAGTACCGGTGGCAAATCACCCTCGCGGGGTGAATATTGTGTACAATTAGTTTCCACTACGTGGAACCTTATGAAATGCCTCTAATGCCTTGCCTACATATACGAGTACCGGTAGCAAATCACCCTCGCGGGGTGCATTATTATATACAATTGTTTCCACTACGTGAAACCTTATGAAATACCTCTAATGCCTTGCTTACATATACGAGTCCCGGTAGCAAACCACCTTCGCGGCGTGCATATTACCAAAACTCTGATGACCGTCCCTCGCGGGGGCATATTATGTATAATTTGCTTCCTCCGTATGGAACTCATTATCAATAAGGACTTGCCTTCCATGGCTTGCCTACACATACAAGTATCAGTAACAAAACATCGTTGATAGAGAAATATCCTCATCAATTTTATAATCGCCCTTGTGGGGTCATATGACACATAATATATTATTTCCATTACGTGAATATCAATATATGTTCTCTTTAGAACATGTTCGCTTATGGAGTTCGTACTATTATGTAAGCACTGGTAACATACGACACTCGAGTGGAGCAAATTATGCATAATTTAACATGTAGTCTATTCGTGATTCATAATTTATTTTTGTGAACATGGGGTCTGTAAAAGTGTAAAGGATTCGAAACATTAAAAATAAGTAAATTGAAAATATAATAAATGTCGCTTGACATAATTCATTACTTCCATCGCGTGGAAATCCATACATCAACGCAACGCAACATACCCGCTCATGGCTTGCGTACACACATAAGTATCGGCTATAAACTACCCTCTTAATAGACTATAAAGATCGAACATCGAATGTTGACGTACCCCGTTGGGAAGTGCAATGTACGTGATTTTTAAGGTGTCGCATACTCCGAGGTCTTGGGTTCACCCGGTGGGGCAAATCATTGTATGATAAAAACGAGCATCTGTGCCTAAGTTTTGGTTGTTAACAAATATGAATTCAAAATCTAATCTAATAAATTCTAACCTATGCATCATCATTATGCATTTCTAGGCGTTAGCCCATAACACAGGCCTTTCAATGCCCATTATAAGGCTAGGCTAATTGGTGTGAAGTGTTGACTCGATCACTACGGTTGTTCTACCGTAATATATAATACATTTCAAAAGAAAAAGGAATATCGAAACAATTAATGTTTGAAAAAAAATAGTGCAGGTAAGTTGATAAATTGGGAGCTCCATAAATAATTCTTAAATAAATTTAATGGTATCGCATGCCATTCAAAAGCTTGTTTATCTAAATCCAATATATATCAAACTCCAATCTCAAGTGCAGTACACTATAAATATGTAAAGAATTCTAAGTTTTCTGCAATTTAAGGACTATCTGCCAGATAAATAGAAGATAACATATTTTCTCTTGAAAATAACAAAAGTAAACCAAATGGGTTGCTCACTCTTTTGATCGCGTAATGAGAGAAACTTGCAATATTAGAAATGTCGTGTATGTTGTGTCTGAGGTGGCCAACATGATCATTTTCATATATAAGTGGTGCTAGTTACTGAAGAAAGATTGCACGATCAACCAAATTCTTGAAAGGTTTTGAAGATCATTGTATGCAATTATCCCCTTTATGTTATTTTAGTAAAAATTACTGAAAACTGTTCTTAACTTACGCTCTCTAACCTTGCCACGACTGTCTGGAATAAATATACTTCAAACCCTACGCATAGTACATGCACACCTCATGTAAGCTGTGTAAATCTTATAAATAACTAAATCTTTATTTAGTATTAAGTAATACATATAAATGACTCAGATCTAAGAACTGAAAAACAAAAGAAAAATTACAATCAATTATAGATTCCAGGATGGCAAATGAATTTCATAAAATCTGGTCTGAACTTCGTAATAGCATAATTTATCACGGCAACCCAGCAACAATATAAAAACTATACCAGAGAATTTCGTTGTAAAAACGTAAACTTCAGAAGTTGATCGGTTTCAACATTTTTGTCATTCCGTGGGGTTGTATCAACCACTCCCTACTTCTAACAATAATTATGAATTAACTGCAATCGACCTTGCAATCACTTCCCGCCAATCTAATATGAAAGCTTGGGAAGTATAGTTGAAGAACAAGAAGGCACGATATGCTAGCACTACGCTTTTCAACATATTCTACAAAGAGCGACAGCTCTGTCTTAAACAGCTATGAGATGGCTCGGAAACGCTGGCTTGCGTGGTTGCATTGGTCTAGGAACAAGAATGTTTATCGGAATAATCCCGCAAGTTGTGGACTCTGCTCTGAACTAACACGATTTTTGAGAGACTTATTTTTAACTCGTGACTTATCTTAAAATAAGTACCATTATTTTAAATAAGTCAGTAGTTTTTACATGATATACCAATGGATGATAAGTCTAATTACCTAAGCTCACCTGTCTTGGCAAACACATATATTGAAGTCGATTGTTTTTAAAGAATCAGTCCGTAACCTACAATTCTGTGTCTATAAGTTAACTTATTTCCTTTTCTTCAATAATGTACTCGTTACATCATAATGATCTGTTTCAAATACTTCGTCATATATGTTGTTCTGAACGTCATAGAGTAATTATGCTGCGTATTATTTGGTTCAGCATGTGGTACACATGACTTGTTCCTACTTCAAATTATCCCGAATCATTGTATTTGTACCGACGAAGATTAGTTTAGCCTTGTTTTGGTTCAAAACAGGTGAAAGTAGTTAAAGACAATCCGATTGGTGACTTGTACCGAATAATGGTAATCGTAAGTGGGACCCTGATTTTTGGTACTTAAGTAAAAAGTACAGTCTTGTAAAATGTAAGACTCGGTATCGAACAACTTTACATCTTTTTCTCGCGTTCGTACGCCTTATTTGTGATATACAAAGATACAAATGAATGCTACACAAGGAAGCGTCCGGTCATTAACAAAGCAAATATATGTAGAAGTATATATATATATACTTCGCGAGTTTTAAGCAAAGGAATATAGCGATCAGCTAATACATATGTTAAAGCCTATTCGTAAGCTTGAAGAAATTAAAGGCGTGATTCAAATAATATTATTTGATTTATTTTTAAGCTTACTCGTTTCTTTATACAGTTTCATATAATCTGATAAATGTTAATATTTAAATTTATCATAAATTGTCACATTGGCGTATATATCTATGTACGTGGCGATCACCAGGCGATAACAAACAGGTCTCAATATAAAGCTTTCAGTGACGGTCAAGTAGTTTAATAGCAGCATTTTACCTGAAATAAAATGCATATTAAAATACTTACCTCACTGAAAGCTTTCACTTTAAATTCTGCCTGGTGAAATAATTGAGCCAATGAGTTAATATGGCGCTGTCAAAACTTAGGAAAACAAAAATGGCCGCGCTTCTGCCAGGTGTCGCCACTGGACCGGATATAAGGTGAATAAAAGTACGGAAACTGATGGTAATTCGACGGGAAACGGAAGTGCTATCTCAATATAAAGCTTTCAGTGAGGTAAGTATTTTAATATGCATTTTATTTCAGGTAAAATGCTGCTATTTTGACAGTTGCTGACACCGATGTAATCTGCTTTATGAATGAGAGTGAAAGAGACTTTAGTGCGCTCTTTTGGCGGCTGTTGCCAAGGGAAGTTGGGGCGGGGACTACTTGTGACATTTTAATAAGAAATAATGTTAATGAAACGTCATTAAATAAGCGTGTGTAAATATTTTCTCCGTTATTGGACATAAATTCACGGAACATTTTACATGCTTTTTGCAGTTGTAAGTTTTTATATATATTTGTATATTATCATCATCATGATTGTCATGTCATATTTACGAAAGGTCTTGCAAGCATTTGCAAGATATTTACCTACACAAAACTAAACAAACCAAAGAAGGTACATTAAAGTCTAGTCTTAAAGTTAATTTTTTAAGCCATTTATCGATCTCAAACCTACATTAAGCTAAAAAAAGTACACACAATTTTCACTCTAATTCCTTTAACCTTAAAGTTTGAATTCACTAACCTCCGTGCGCCGAAGATATGGCTACTTGATCCAAAACATCCCAAGACTTTTGACGTCTGGAACATACCGAGTTGGCCGATGATGGAGGCGGCTGAATCAGCATGGATGACTTCAAATAGAAACGTTTTTATTAAAGAAATATTTTGAAAAACAAACTGCTTCATCTATATATACAAAAATCAATTGCTGTTCGTTGGTCTTGCTAGAACTCGAGAGCGGCTAAACGGATTTATCTTATCTTGGTCTTGAAATGTTCGTGGAGGTCTAGAGAAGGTTTAAAAGGTGAGACAAATTCGAATAATTGCCGGGAAACCCCTAAAAACAGCCCTTTTCGTTTTCTAAATAAAATGTAGAGTCAATTTGAACTTTATTGCTATTATGAAGAAAATCATGTAATAATACAAGCTTCTGAACAAAAACTATAGTCTAAACTACAGCTCTACACCGAAGCGAAACGAGGGCGGGCCACTATTAGTATATAAAATAAATTAATGTGCACGGATCACACATCTGAAGTGAATTAGGCGGTGCATAAGGCATAGGGGAATGGAGGAGCTCACGCATCGCTCATATATATATGTTTACCAGCTGTATTTCTTGAAATTACCATTCAAAATAGTGTAGTTTATGCCATTGAAAAAAAAAACGTATTTTTAATTAAAGCTATTTGAGAAACGAAACCATCTAGGGCCATCTATTGAAAGGTAGTGAAACTTAATTTAACAATGAAACTTTCATATTTGTCATTTTTTTAAGAATGTAACTCCTAGATGTTTAAATGTAAAGAAATTATTAACTGCAAAAGTAAAAAAAAAATCTAGTTCTTTTTTCTCGTAATATTTTCTTTAGATTTAAACATTAGTTACGTATGTTAAAAAAATACAAATATAAATATAATTGCTTTTTCTTCTTTCGAATGTTTAATACTTGTAAAAGTATTCATTTGACATTTGCAATGCGAAGAGATGGCGCTGCCTTGCAGCTTAAGAAAGGCTAGAGAAAATTCGACATGGCCGTCAGGGCCGCGGAAGCATAATGGTCAGTGCATTCGCTCGGATAGCGAAGGGTGCGGTTTCGAGTCCCGTCTGGTCCGCGTGGATTTTTTTCGAGTAAAATTTTCTTTAGATTTGAATGAAACTTTTATCATTTAGTGTAATATTATGTATTGTGCCCGGTATCAAAAAGGTTTGTCAAATCGTTAATAAACTAAATTCCTGACAATTTAACAGCGGTGATAATTTATGACTTACTAAAACGAAGATAAATAAAAATTTGTAGACACAATGGCGTTTACCATAACATTTTTTTATTAAATTTAACAGCTCTATCAACTGACACAGTGATAGGTTGATTGTACTTACAGCAAGTCAATTAACAAATAAAATTTCATTTTACTGCTGAAGAGTTGATTTTATCGCGTATGCTATACAATATTAAATACCCTAGATACACCAACACGAACAAAACCGTGCCCAAAACCTGTCCAAAAGGTACAAAGGGATAAAAGGGTATAAAGGGACGATCCACGGAGCTCCGTAAGATGGCCGAGTAGTCAAAAAGAATATAAGGCATTATTTAAACATTGAATGTCACTTTTAACGCATACTGTAAAATGTCTTAATTAAAACGTATGCGTCAAAAAGTTATGACAATCCGAAACGGAAGCTCGTAAAATTTTACGACTGTTTGCTATGTATATAAGAATATAGACCTTATTTCTTTGACTCTACGCGCAATTCTGAATACGCTGTCAGTAATATAGCAAGTACGGACCGCGAGGAAAAGAGACGGCTATATTTCCGAATATGCATTTGAATATCACAATATTTTCTATTAAATCAGTTTATAGTAAATATAAGAACAAAATTTGCTTCGAATGTGTTAAATTAACAAATATTGATTAAATACCTGTCGAAAAAACGACACTTTACATACTATAAGTATTTTTTTCTCATTTTTTCACGGAGCTCTGCAGCAACTTGACTTTTCAACGGTCCGCGCGTGACTGTGAACCAAGAAGTGCTTGAGTGGTGTTCAAGCACTTCTTGATTGGGACAAATTTTGAGCGCACGTGGTGTATCTGGGATATTTAATATCGTTGCTATGCTCCACTTACAGCAATTTTGCTAAATCTTAATTTAGCATATACAATTATCGTCAAATAGACGTTTCGACATTCTTCTGTGAGCCAAACACAGTTTTAGTTGAATCAAGATTTAGCGAAATTCGCTGCAAGTGGGTTTTTAGTATTGTAAACTTACTTGATGATACTCAGACGTAGGACAGTAATGGTCACAATTATCGGGCAACCATTTAGGCAGCGAGTGTTTCACGTGACAACGGGATCGCACCTCCTCACTCACAGATACTAGCGCTGAAAGAGACAAATATATACAGGGTTAATTTTAAAACACCAAAAACCTCTTAGGGGGCGATTCTACCCATCTACATGAACAACTTTTATTATGGGACCAACGCTGAAATCGCGAAAAAAAAATGCTGTTTCATACAAAAATGCAAGAGCTAATCAACCGAAACGTATCATAAAGAATAAAACCAAAAAAAATGTCCAAAAAAATTTTAAGGGTGGATCACCCTTAACATTTAGGGGGATGAAAAAAAGATCAGACCTACTGAATAAGCATATAAAATTTCACGAAAATCTGTCGAGCCGTTTTGGAGTAGTTCAATTACGCACACCATGACACGAGAATTTTATATTATAGGGTTTTTCAACAAGAACTTTGTTTTCTAAAGCAAAATAAAACATTTAGATGAAGATGATTAAATTTTTTATTGAATTACAAAGAGAATTGTGAATGAAAAATGATATCTGGCAAATGTCCACCACGAACACAAAATACATACAACCCTAAATTTTCACCCTTCTACCACCAACTCATATTTTTTTATGGCGGTACGAAGTTCGCTGGAACAGCTAGTATATATACCTAATTATATATAAAATTGCTTTTAACGAACAATTCGTCCAACCGCAGATAAATTTCTAACATAAAACAGAAACTAACTCTTACATTATAACAGATTAATCTTTCTCGTCGGACAAGATACTGCAATCAAACAGATTTATGTCAGACATCAGACTGAATCTGAATTACCGAACGTATCAGATTTACTCTAGATGTAATAAATGGAGGAGCTCGATGACGCAGGTGGTTAGCGCATTCGGCTGCGATCATTGAAGTTAAGCAACTTTCGCAGTGGTCGGTCATTGGATGGGTGACCAAAAATTTACTATCTCGAGCTCCTCCGTGTTTCGTCAGGCACGTTAAGCCGTTGGTCCCAGCTGCATTTGCAGTCGCTAGCACCCGCCAATTCGCACTGGGCCCGCGTGGTGGGTCACGGCCCAATCTCCCTATTCCATCCATAGGGAAGGCCTGTGCTCCAGCAGTGGGGACATTAACAGGCTGATGATGATGATTATGATGAAAAATTACAACACCGAATTCTGGGGCCATTTTCATAAAAAAACTACTCAATTATCAACACTTACCAGTAAGATAAGCAACCGTATGATGAGTGACATGGAACTTATCCAATCCCCTCGCACTGATGACCAGTAGAGCGATCAACACTCTGCAAGTCCGGGATACGGTTCCCGGCGCGGGATGGCGGTAACCTTTGATCAGGTGACCCACCAATGCGAAGTGGAAGTTGGAACGGAAACTACAACCAAGATTAAATAACTATAATCTTTGAAAATAAAACATTCAATGTATTTTAGATTTAGACATCTAACAGTTAAATGCTTAAAAAAGAAAAATATAACTATGAATAACACAATGTCGAATGAATATTCAAGTCAAATGAATATTTGACATTGTGGGTTACCTACAATGCGAAGAAATGGCGCTGCGTTGCAGCCTAAGAAAAACTAGAGAAAATCCGACACAGGCAATCAGGGCCGCGGTAGCACCACCCTTCGCAATCCGGGCGAATGCACTGACCATTATCAGTGCATTCGCCTGGATTGCGAAGGGTGCGGGTTCGAGTCCCGTCTGCTGCCTGGTCCGCGTGGAATTTTTTCTAGTTATATTTTCTTTAGAAATAAATAAGTGTTAAAAATATGTCATTCAGCAGTGATAGCCAGTAGAGCGGCCAGCACTCCTCAAGTCCGGGATACGGTTCCCGGCGCGGGATGGCGGTAAAACTTTGATTTGTAGGCCTATCCGCCAACTGCATTTGACAGATGGAAGTGATAAATAATTACCGAGCTATTTTGGTGATCCACCAACGCGAAGTGGAAGAGAGAGAGAGAGAGAGAGAGAGAGAGAGAGAGAGAGAGAGAGAGAGAGAGAGAGAGAGAGTTGATATATAGTATACCTTAAGCCCACAGCGTGGTCCATTTGTTTGAAATGCCACTCCAGTGGTTCTCGGGTTTCCATCATGACTTGTTCCATCGTCTGCACATAAATAAATATAGATCATAACATTTCATTTTTGGGCTAGGCCTAATTGATGTGTGTTAAAAAAAAAGAAATAATTTTCAATACACTTTTATTGCTGAAGAGTAAGTCAGCCCCAAAAACAAAACTAAATGTAGTGTAATAATTAATAATAATTAAGTATTATTAATATTTCTGACAACGTCTTCACCCAAACTGATGTTAAACGTGTATGAAGTAAAGATACCAAGATGTATTCTGCACCAAAATCAATAAAATTCGTCGAATCAGTTTAGGCTGTAACATGCAGTCATGAACGTCTAAAAGTTACGCCATCGGTTCCTAAATGAAAAAAAATAAATGAAAATGGTTTTTATTTTCCAAAGTGTCAGTACAAAATGTATTTGTGTATTTGTATGTATGTGTGTGAGATAGAGAGTGAGTGGGCGTGAGTGTGTGTAATATAATGAAACATTATTTTTAATTTCCAGTACGACCTTACTTTATTTTTTTTTTAAATAGATTTGGTGTCTTCATAGTTTTAACTGTTTTAGCCAATCACAGCTCTTAGTTGATTGGCTTAAACATTTTACATTTATATGACAACATAGGATGCATGTTGTTTTGTATTTTTTTATTTAGTTATGTTTAATAATAAATATATACATTTTTTATTTATATAAACTTTATTGCCACAATTGCAAAAATGGACAAAAGACGGACTTAACGCTAAAAGCAACAGTCAACCTTTAGGAAACAGAAATAACGAATGCGGCATAAGTAAAAAAAAATGTTAATATAAACATACCTTAACAGAAAGTACTACAATATAAATATCTTAATATATATAAATCTCGTGTCACAATGTTTGTCCTCACTGGACTCCTAAACCACTGAACCGATTATAATAAAATTCGCACACCATGTGCAGTTCGATCCAACTTGAGAGATAGGATAGTTTAAATCTCAAATTATAGTCGCAATTTTAATATATTGCAAATTATTACTTTTGGGCGGTACGAAGTTCGCCGAGTCAGCTAGTATATATATATATCATATATCATACATACATATAAAATATAGATAGATAACACTTTATTGTGCACACCACATTAAATATTACACCGTACACAGACAACCATAGGATGGAGAGACGAAATTTGATAAAGGAGAAAAATATCGATGATGATGATAATATTTACCTTATTATCGAATTGTCCCTGTGAATCGAGAGTGTGTAGATTTTGCTCCATAAGTGCTAAGCCAGCGGCGTACAGCGTAGGATCGTCCAATTGCAATACCGATAATGACACCCAGAACAGGGCTTTGTGGATCGGTGAGTCCTGGAAAGAAGAATGGATTGTGAAAAACATTAATGGCTCAATTACACTTGCTCCTTATTCGCATGCACGATCGACACTACTTGAATTCGGGCACCCGAAGCAATATTTACACTGGAATACAGGCTGGAACAATGGAGTGCCACAATGCACTTCAATCCATTGCGGTAACCAACTCGGTAACTCTGCAATGGATAAAAGGACACAGCAACTCAATCGGAAACGACGCAGCAGACGAATTGGCTAAGAGAGGAGCAGACACAAAAGTGTATGGTCCGGAACCTCTTCTGCCCATACCTTAGGCCCAAATTAAGACGTGGCTGCGTGAAAGAACTCAGAAACTACACTTGACTGAGTGGAAAACAGGTGAAGGATGCCGGCAAACGAAAAACGCAGTTACGGCGGCAAACAAGAGACTTGCCCGCACCCTTACCAGACTTAATAGGGACAAACTCCGCATAATTATAGGAACCCTAACTGGTCATTGTCCCCTAAACAAGCACCTATACACAATAGGAGTAACAGACAGCCCCCTATGCAGAGGATGTATGGAGGCAGAGGAAACGCCACAGCATGTCATTATGGAATGCAGGAGTGTGGCCGACCAACGGGCACGACTTCTCCAGTCACCCGCATCGCTTCCGGAAGCTTGCAGCAGTCTTTCAAGACTGCTTTCCTTCTGGACTAACCTAGGCTGGCTGGAGTAAACGGGAATGTTTCAAAACACGCACAATGGTCCAATGATTAGGACTAAGTGCGGAAACCGCCCTGAAAAACTAACTAACTAACGGGCTGGAACACGGTGTCGGGTAGACAAAAGGAAAACTACCCGAATACGGGTGTACTCGACTGCGTTCATTCACACTGAGTCGGTTAGACGAATTCAATTTTTGGTGACCTTCACAGCGTCACCGGGTTTGGGGACGGCGAGATCCTAAGGTATTGTCCTAATACAACGCGATAACGCGAATGAGCGATGCGATCATCGTACGAGTCGACGATCAAACATATTGATCTAGAATAGGTGTCCTAATAGGCGACCGCGCGATGCATTCGCGCGACTAAAATGTTTAAAAATCTATTCGCGCGAACTTAACGCGCAATCAAACCTATTAATGATGAAAAGATGTCCTAACTGAAGTTCGCGCGATGATCGCGTCGCGTCGATAGGAAGCGGGGAGAGGGGCACTGCTAACCCGACCAAACTGTGTGTCAATTGTGATCGCGTATTCGCGTTCTATTAGGACACCCAGTTCGCGATCACGCGATGGTCGCATCGTTTAAACGCGCGATGATCGCGTTATCGCGTTGTATTAGGACAATGCCTAAGGGGACCTCAAGCCGAGAATTGGTGAGTGCCTCGAGAGGTATTCCAGCCGGATGGCCTCTCCATCTGGAGCATCTAAACCACTCGAACCTCCTCCTCGAAATCATGTCTCGCGTAAATAATCGGATGTAATTTATTTACTTCAAGTTAAATGTTAATTTCCCATTTACTAATAAGAAAGTATATATGAATATAAATTTATTTATTTATTAAGCAAATATTTTAACATAATATTTTTATGTTTAACACACAGAGCAACTGTCATTTGTGTCAATCTGGGTTTATGAAATCTCACGGAGTACACACTTAATTTTGAACATCCCGGAATCGCGGGATTTATTCTATAAAAAATTGCTTTCCAGAAAAATCCAACATATCAACTACAAGTAAATATTATATATATATATATATATATATTCGATTATCTGATCTCTATTTATAATACATGTCAGAGAGCTTAAATATAATCTTCATCGAAGCGAAGCGAAGGCGGGTCAGTCACTAGCTCTATTACAATTGAGGAGCTGGCGAACAAAACGGTATAATTACGCATCTGGACAAACTGCATTTTTGAAGTGAAAACTTCTTTAGCGGCGTTGTACACTTTTTTTGTATAGGGTAAAAAATGTTAAACTCGCGTCATGACACGTGGCCTGATTGGATATCTGACGGAAACAATAAAATTGGAAAGGTTGTTGACTTTCAATATATTGGACGAAACATAGTAATATTTTATTTTATCGTATAATAATGTCTCTATCTAGGACGTACAGGTACGCTTTATTGCGAAGTAAATTCATTTTTTTTACAATAGATGTCGCTAAGTGCGCTTAAACGTGGTTCATGTAAGTTGATTTTTCTGAGAGATAAACTCTTCCAATGTTATATAATTTGTCATGTTTGTGTACGATAGCGCAATAAATAAATATTGTATTCTAACACATAAATGATAGTACTTTTATACTGATAATTAAAGCAATTCGTGCAAAATTATTCCCTAACCATTCCAAAATATCAAAAATGCACAACGTTAATATTTAATTTTTCACTTCTGGCCGGCACTCCCGGAGTGCAACTCGGCGTTTTTTTTACAGTCCGTAGGTTTCGGTCCCGTTGAATTTGAATCTGAAATAATTTTCAATCAAAACCGCCTCAAACAGTGTTAAAATTACTAAATTTATAAATTAAAAACATGCTAAAAGCTCACTGTGGGTATGTCATTTAGTTTTATACAGCTCCTGTAAAATTTAACTAAATGTGATTAAATAAAACTAGTTTTTACGGGTTAATGCACGAAACTTTATTTATTTATAACCTTATTTATTTATAACCTTTTAGTTTAACTTTATATATTTATATAGCCTTTACAGGCTTCGTCGTCAGAATAAAACTTTTATTTAATTTGTCGAGCTACCTTCGAAAGACTTTTATTGAGCGTTTAACATTAACCCGTAAAAACTAGTTTTATTTAATGAGTGATGTGCGTGAAAACCTAAGAAACAAATATTTATGTGATTAGATTGTTTTGTTCGCCAGCTCCTCAATTGCTATTTTTTATAACTCACCGGATGCAACAGCGGCTGTAGTCTCGTCAAACACATAATCAAAGCTTCCAGTAACGCCAGATCATTGAAAGACTCCAACGCTTTTACTAATATTCTCAACAGTTGTTTCATATCATCATCTGTGACGTTTTTACCTAAGGGAGAGATTGAAACGTAAGTCATTTTCGTCATCATCAGCCTAATAATAATAATAATTTAAAATAAAATAATAAGATTCGACTATTACTGTCCCTATAGTCGTTAATGTGAACGGTCTCATGGCGAAGAGTCTCGACCAACATCTAAAGTCTTTCGCTAGATGGTTGGGTCAAGGGGCAGACGCAAAAGGCAGTACTCCTGGACACAGCGCGCATCATCAGGCGGTTTCACTATCTGCGGTGGCCTTACGACTGCTGATGCAACCGGAACCAACGGCTTAACGTGCCCTCTGAGAGCACGGAGAAACTCAAGATAGAAAATTTTTGGTCACCCATCCAGTGACCGACCACTGCGAAAGTTGCTTAACTGCAACGATCGCAGCCGAACGTGCTAACCACCCGCGCCATCGAGCTTCTCAAATTAAATTACTATTATATATAAGATAAACTCACTAATACATCCAAAGACTATGAGAGCACGCGGCTGCAAAGCCGGGTTGAAGCAGAAAGCAAAACTCTTTGCTAGCGATGTCCTGTAACAATATAATGATATATTATTCAATCCACACTTATAATTATAAAATAAGAAATTGTGTCTGCCTGTTACCATAAATACAACCAATTTAAATGAAATTTGGTATGGATATAATTTGAGTTCCGTGGAAGGACATGGCATAGTTTATATATTAGAAATCATATTTTAAGAAAATGATAAAGGTGTCGATGTTAGTATGGGAATCCGATTGAACCAAACAGACCAATACGCTGGCAATCGCTAGTTATAATAATAATAATAAAAAACTTTTTGCGCGGTTTATCTTTTTAGGGTTCCGTTGCAAAATGGCAAAAGAACGGAACCCTTATAGATTCATCATGTCCGTCCGTATGTCACAGCCACTTTTTTATTATTCGTAATACCTCGGATTCTTTACAGGCTCCATGGTCATAAGATATTATAATTTGTAGGGATACGGAAGTAGTCAATATTCAATCTTCAGCAAGTAAGAGATAACATACCCACATGTAAGCATTTAACTGCTCCATTTTATCTGTAACTTGAAAATATCGGACAGAATAACTTCAAAATAATGGCAATGAGGCTTCTGATTTTTTGTTATAGATACGAGTATGTCCGACAATGACTCCATCCCACCTGACGTTAAGTGACAGTGAAGTCTAGACGTGAAGATAGCTGGTACAGCAGTTCTACCTGCCGCACTGTGGAATATTTCGGTGTGTTTCGGATTAAAAATCTGTAACTCCGTCAATTTGAAAGATAGACTTATAAAATTTTGCTATAATATAAAGTGATACATAAGGATTCATACAAGTAATGTTTGATGAATTGGAATTATGCGTATTTTTTTTAATTAAAAAAGAAAAGTCACAAAATGATTTAAAATAGTATTATTATTATTATTTATTTATTGAAATATTTTTTAGAAACATATTGTACGTCTGTTTCTTAATGCTAATTACTCTATTAAGATAACTATCATATTATATTAATAATATAAAATTAAAAATGGTAAAATATTTTTAACACTACGCTAACATACAGAAACAAATCAAAATTATCGCAATATATATTTCTTTTTTTTTTTGCTCAGCAAGATTGACATCTTACACCCGGTGAGCTTCAGGATCTGAAATAAGTTCATTAACCTTGAGAAGGTGTAAAGTATCTTCATAGAGCTCCTTTACATTTTTTACATATGGATTTTTTATGCTCGTTATATATGGATCTGAAGTGTAAAGTAGTGTATTAAACACATCTTCGTTTGTAGCTATTCGAGAGCATTTCCGAGCATGGTGTAAGCGAAATTTTTTATAGTCCCTCTTGCGAGATTCTTGAGCATCTTCTGAAAGTTGCCCAATTGGTAATACCGCGAAATGGTTTATGATACTCTCTCCGTGAATTAAAATTTTGTGGACAGATGATGGCATGTAATACCAACTATATTTACTCACATATATTCCTTCTCCTATAGAACGCAATCCTTGAAGATATGCGCTTAGAATGTGCTCCAAACCATATTCATTTAGCAAAACGGTGTTTTTTCTTTTTTTGCTTGATTCTGAAGAGTATCCATATGACATACACGGTCTTCCTCGTTTACCAGAAGAAGTAGACGGTGTAGAGTCTGTTGACACGTTTTCTGATGTTGGTATAATTAACGAATATTCAGAATCCAACCAATTGGTGTTCTTTCTTAAAAAGGTATTTTTATTGCGTCCTGCTTCACTTCAGCGTTTATTAAACGAAGGGATGGCATCCCTTTGAATATGGTCAATAATAAAACATATATTGACATCCGGTTTTCCCTCCAAATATGTTGAAAGTGCCGCAGTCGTTTTTCCGCCTTCTATATAAGACACTATTAACTCACGTTTAGTACAGTTAAAAGTAGACATGTTGAATAATGAAATAACCGTACATACTAGAGTACGTAGACGTAAAGACCACTGAAACGGTAATGGAGACATATTTTTTCACTGCCATTTTTATATTGTTTCAGAATGTGGGAATTATTTCAGATATCTATTTTCTCACGGAAAATGACATCGAAATGATAAAACCTACATAACAATATAAAATAATTAATTCATAAAATGTACCACAAACTATTGATAATAAAAGTAAACTACGAAACCGCATTTGATAGCGATTTCCGCTCCCAGACTAGTATTCGATTTTTTCACATATCTCCGAAAACCGCAAAAAGCCGCAGCTAATTTTTTTATATGTTTTAGATGAGTAACTAACCTATAATTTAACATTAAATTCAAAGCATCGGTAAACAACTCTAAATGTTAATAGATTCGACGAAGTTGAGGAAAAAATAATATTTCTCCATTTTTTCTTTAAATTGGTTTTTAAATTTATATTCGTATTAAAAACAATCAATTGTATTTATTTCTAATCTCTGATAAATGTGCTTTTCAAAAATATATAATAACTTATACCTTTCATTTCAAGTTTTAAAACTATTTCACGTTGAAAAACGTAAATGAAGAACTTAATATTTCCCAGCTGCCTAAACGTTTAACTTTGCTACATGAAAAAAAATACTTTTACGAAATAAAATATGAATTACGCTGCAGAATATTAAACTTCGACTTTTGAGCTATTAAATTATATTCATGTATAACCCAATTTCAAGCAGTAATAAAAATCAATTTTGATATGCGTTTGTTCTACCATATTCCACCGTGTGCCGGCCAGTCATCCTTTAATTTTTATTAATTAGAATACAAAATGTGATAGTATTTTAGAACGTCATCATTTTAAGATGATGATGAGGATTGATTTCTGATAAAGACTGTAGCGGTAGTCTCTCTCTGTCCATATGGGTTGGAGCGAAAGGGACAGCGAACGATGATTCTATATACTGTCTTATAAGAAACACTTACCAAGTATCCAATCAATCACACTCCGGTATATCTCGCATGCATGCCTCCATAATTTCAAACAGTGCGTCAGTAATAGTCTCCAAAGACTGCAGCGGAAGTCTCTTTCTGTCCGTATGGGATGGAGCGAAAGGGGTAGTGGATGACGATGAAAAATCGAAAAGCTAAGACTATCTTATGAGAAATACTTACTAAGTATCCAACCAATCGCACTCCGGTATATCCCGCATGCATGCCTCTATAATCTCCAACAATGCATCAGTAATAGTCTCTAAAGACTGTAGCGGTAGTCTCTCTCTGTCCATATGGGTTGGAGCGAAAGGGACAGCGAACGATGATTCTATATTCTGTCTTATAAGAAACACTTACCAAGTATCCAACCAATCGCACTCTGGTATATCCCGCATGCATGCCTCTATAATCTCCAACAATGCATCAGTAATAGTCTCTAAAGACTGTAGCGGTAGTCTCTCTCTGTCCATATGGGTTGGAGCGAAAGGGACAGCGAACGATGATTCTATATTCTGTCTTATAAGAAACACTTACCAAGTATACAACCAATCGCACTCTGGTATATCCCGCATGCATGCCTCTATAATCTCCAACAATGCATCAGTAATAGTCTCTAAAGACTGTAGCGGTAGTCTCTCTCTGTCCATATGGGTTGGAGCGAAAGGGACAGCGAATGATGATTCTATATTCTGTCTTATAAGAAACACTTACCAAGTATCCAACCAATCGCACTCTGGTATATCCCGCATGCATGCCTCTATAATCTCCAACAATGCATCAGTAATAGTCTCTAAAGACTGTAGCGGTAGTCTCTCTCTGTCCATATGGGTTGGAGCGAAAGGGGCAGCGAACGATGATTCTATATTCTGTCTTATAAGAAACACTTACCAAGTATCCAACCAATCGCACTCTGGTATATCCCGCATGCATGCCTCCATAATCTCCAACAATGCATCAGTAATAGTCCCTAAAGACTGTAGCGGTAGTCTCTCTCTGTCCATATGGGTTGGAGCGAAAGGGACAGCGAACGATGATTCTATATTCTGACTTATAAGAAACACTTACCAAGTACCCAACCAATCGCACTCTGGTATATCCCGCATGCATGCCTCTATAATCTCCAACAATGCATCAGTAATAGTCTCTAAAGACTGTAGCGGTAGTCTCTCTCGGTCCATATGGGTTGGAGCGAAAGGGACAGCGAACGATGATTCTATATTCTGTCTTATAAAGAAACACTTACCAAGTATCCAACCAATCACACTCCAGTATGTCTCGCATGCATGCCTCCATAATCTCCAACAATGCATCAGTAATAGTCTCCTAAGGCTACAGTCTTAAGGGTGGTCTTTTTCTATCCGTATGGGTTGGAGCGAAAGGGGTAGTGGATGACGATGAAAAATCGGAAACCTAAAACTATCTTAAGAGAAATACTTACCAAGTATCCAACCAATCGCACTCCGGTATATCCCGCATGCATGCCTCCATAATTTCCAACAGTGCGTCAGTAATAGTCTCTAAAGACTGTAGCGGTAGTCTCTCTCTATCCGTATGGGTTGGAGCGAAAGGGGTAGTGGATGACGTTGAAGTTGTGGGCAAGACTGCCCCTCCACTGGAGGAGTTGGATTCGGCACAATTCTGATGGGAGTGTTCGGCGAATCGGCTGTTAAACAAAAAAAATGTTTAAAGTTTCGTACTTCCATAGTCTATGATGCACTAGTCTGTGCGTGTGTCGTGTGGTTGATTTGTTAATTAATAAAGATGTGATTATTTAATTAGTAAGCTATGTCCTAAAGATGACTGTCTAATTATGTTATATCTTGCAGTAAAGCTGATCCTCTAATTATCAAAAAATGTATTATTTCTTCGTCGTGTCACCCCACATCATAATACCCCAAACCGTAGAGTCCCAACTAATAACTTGTCTCTTCTAGCCGGACATTGGCAGAATCGCCACGTAATGAGACGCAGCTAGGGTTGCCAGGTTAGCCGAACATTTGGGTAAAAGTCCGGACACCATACATTATTATATTAATGTTTTTTTTCGTTCCTAATATAACTGAGCCACAAAGGCTCAGTAATATTAGTTAGGATATTTTTTTTATGTAAAAGTAACCAACAGTCAACTCGCTTACGCTCGGCCACGCTCGGCGCTCACTCGTTTGCGAAATTTAAAAAGCCTAACAAAAGCCGGGCACCGTTTATTTTGGCCGGACACGTAATGGAAAAGCCTAACTATCTCCGGCTTTAACCGGACGCCTGGCAACACTAGCGCAGCCATAATCAACAAAAAAATAATTGAATTATAAATCTAAATAAAATTTTATTACGAAAAAAAACTCGTCTAGATATCAGACAGGAGTCGAACCCTTTCGAAGCGTCGGAGTCGTCCGGGCGGATACAATAACCAAATAACCTTAATGGATGTGTCGAATATGTAAACTTGTATTATTAAATTAAGGTAGAGTACCCTGGAAGATTTTGCTAGGAATTGTGTAAGAATCACAGAGCACCCATACTAGGGATCACATACAAAGGCATCTGCTTATTTATGTAACATGACTACTTAAGCATGTCCCACGCCCCCAACCGTCGACCAACAGCGATACATTGTTTTACTAAATCTGTCATCCGACCTTGACTACACAAAATAAATTTTGATGTTCCACAAAATTGGGTGAAAACTGTCCTTCTTATGTCCGAAACACGCTCAAATTTTTAGATTCAAAAATATTATTTTTTCCCCTTTTAAGTTATCTCGAAAAACCAATATTTTTCAATAGAAAAATCTCCCGTCAAAAAGTTGATTTTTAAATAAGTTTGGTGCGAATTTTGTTCTTTGGAACCTCTTCTTTCTGATGGTATACAAAACTATACATTACTATGGAAATTTCAGAAAATGCAAATATCTCATCAAAGATACAGTAATGCGGTCTCTAGTGCGGTTTCTTTGTGGTAAGAATTAATCCTCACCAGTCGTTAGAGTGTCGATTGTATGGACTCCTGAAGGCCGTTACCGCTGCGGACTTGACCTTCGATATGCCGAACATCTGGTAGAACTTGGGTAGGGCAAACTCGTCCAATGACAGCATTAGGACACGCTGTGTTTCCTCTGATGAGAATAAAGGAGAAAATTCATGTTGAAATTAATAAAAGGTACGATAATAAAATAATGTGAGAATATTATAGTATTTAGTGGGATTGCTACCATGATCACCATGTACCTTATTTTTGTGATTTTCCGATATTTTGGCAGTATTGAAAGTTTTCATGGTAGCAATCCCGGTAATTACTATTAGAGTAAGATCCCGTGGCCGCCAGATCTTCGTTCTATTTTTTTTTTTAAACTCACACCAATTAGCCTAGCCCCAAAGTAAGCACTGTAAAGGCTTGTGTTATGGGATACTAGGGTAACGGATAGAATACATATATTGTACTTATATAAGTATATTTATATGAAATACATATTAAACATCCATGACTGGAGTACAAATGCTCGTATTCATCACACAAACATCTGCCCCCACCGGGATTCGAACCCGGGACCTCTCGAGTCGGCGACGCCATGAAACCCGGCGTATAAACCACTCAGCCACGGAGGTCGTCTATTATAAAAGTTGAAAGTTTTTCAGCGCATACCTCGAGCACAGGAAAGAACGGCAGCTCACTATGAATGTTAGATTATGATGGTTCTGGCAGGTAACAAAGGTGTGTAATATACTATGCATAATATGTGAAATTATTTATATTTTCATCTGCCAGACAATTAGTCTGGTGGCAACCCCCCGCCAGACACACTTAAACGTCAATGGAATGCAATTGTACTCTCGTTACAGTATAAAAGCTAATGTTAAGATATATTTTTACTATTATTATAATAATGTGTTTTCCCAATTGCCAGCCTATTTTGTTGGTGAAAAAACCTTAGCCAGACTAATATACGTTACGATACGATTATAAACACATAAACGCACATACACGACCAGCGGCCCGCCCTCGCTTCGCTTCGGTGTAGAGCTGAAGTGTAGACTACAGTTTTTGTTCTCAGGCTTGTATTATACACAATGACATTCATCTATGATTCTTCTTATACCTGCACGCAAAGTCTCAGCCCGATCGGTAAAAAATTGACAGTTTCATACAAAGTTTCATTCCCTATTTTATCCCCTTAGGGGTAGAATTGATCGAAATCTTTTCTTAGCGGATGCCTACGTCATAACATCTACCTGCATGCCAAATTTCAGCCCGATCTGTCTAGCGGTTTGGGCTGTGCGTTGATAGATCACTATGTCAGTTTACCTTTAAGTTTTATATATGTACTAGCTGACTCAGCGAACTTCGTACCGCCCTAAAAAAATAGGGGTTGTCCAGCGGACAAAATTGTGAATCTAAACCATTCTCAGATCCCCTTGACCACACACAAAAAATTTCATCAAAATCGGTCCAGTCGTTTAAGAGAAGTTCAGTGACATACACACTCACAGAAGAATTATATATATAAAGATATAGATATTTGTTTCTTAGGTTTTCACGCACATCACTCATTAAATAAAATTAGTTTTTACGGGTTAATGCACGAAACTTTATTTATTTGTTGACGTTTCACTAAGCAATCCTCCACGTTACAGATAATTTCTTCGTACGGTATCCTGCGTGGTGCTACAGCAAGGTAGCTCGACAAACTAAATAAAAGTTTGATTCTGATAAATAAAGTTTCGTGCATTAACCCGTAAAAACTAGTTTTATTTATGTATATCTAATATATAAAATTCTCGTGTCGCGGCAGTTTGTGGTTAAACTCCTCCGAAACGGCTCGACCAATTTTCGTGAAATTTTATATGCATATTCAGTAGGTCTGAGAATCGGATGTAATCTATTTTTCATCCCCCTAAATGTTAAGGATAATCCACCTCTATTTTTTTTTCAATTTTAGATTATTTTTTTTATTTTTTTTAAGATACATCATACAAAAATACATACATCCATAAATTTTCAACTTTCTACCACCAACCCCTATTTTTTTATAGCGGTACGAAATTCGCTGGGTCAGCTAGTATATATATATAGATTTATAAAGAAACAGCTGTAACACAATATTTCGTACTCACCCGCGAAACTCGGCGTGGTGCACGTACACAGCGAGTGTATGATGTTGATGACCAGCCCGTGGGTGGCCGCGCGCATGGACACGGTGCCCGAGCACACCAGGAACGTGACCGTGTGGAACAGGTAGGGCAGGTGCCGGGCCACGTCCAGGCAGTTGTTGAACGACAGCATGAGCTGCAGCGATACATATAACGATACACGGTGCCCGAGCACACCAGGAACGTGACCGTGTGGAACAGGTAGGGCAGGTGCCGGGCCACGTCCAGGCAGTTGTTGAACGACAGCATGAGCTGCAGCGATACATATAACGATACACGGTGCCCGAGCACACCAGGAACGTGACCGTGTGGAACAGGTAGGGCAGGTGCCGGGCCACGTCCAGGCAGTTGTTGAACGACAGCATGAGCTGCAGCGATACATATAACGATACACGGTGCCCGAGCACACCAGGAACGTGACCGTGTGGAACAGGTAGGGCAGGTGCCGGGCCACGTCCAGGCAGTTGTTGAACGACAGCATGAGCTGCAGCGATACATATAACGATACACGGTGCCCGAGCACACCAGGAACGTGACCGTGTGGAACAGGTAGGGCAGGTGCCGGGCCACGTCCAGGCAGTTGTTGAACGACAGCATGAGCTGCAGCGATACATATAACGATACACGGTGCCCGAGCACACCAGGAACGTGACCGTGTGGAACAGGTAGGGCAGGTGCCGGGCCACGTCCAGGCAGTTGTTGAACGACAGCATGAGCTGCAGCGATACATATAACGATACACGGTGCCCGAGCACACCAGGAACGTGACCGTGTGGAACAGGTAGGGCAGGTGCCGGGCCACGTCCAGGCAGTTGTTGAACGACAGCATGAGCTGTGCCGATACATATAATATAACAAGCTTCATGAACATCTTTTATCAAGGTCCTAGTTTGCAACATATAACTTATATGTGTAATGAATATCATATATATATATATATATATATATATAAATATTATTCTATTATTATTATTGATGTGTAACATCTTTCCTGCAATTTGTGGGGAGTTATTTCGTGAAATGGAACGGAAGTGTGTAACAGGAAGTCGCGAAAGCGCGCGCTATTTGATTTGATTTTAGAACATAATGTTCAAATGGCTTATTCCTTTTGTAGTAGGTTTTATTTATTTTTTTACTTAAATAAGGTGAGGTTTCAAATGTTACACATCATACGCGACTGCTGTAAGGCTCCGTCGTTTTTTATTTTTTATTTATATCAGTACCTATATGCATAGTTTATCAATCAATCTATCAAATCTTGCAGCGATAAGACCGCCTTTACCCACCATAGTTTACTGTCTGTTTTGTAAGCAATTTAATTGTGTATGTGTGAGTAATAAAGAGTATATCTATCTATCTATCTTTGACTGATTGTTGGCACGCATAGTGGATCGAGGAGCCTGATGCCGCAGGTGGCTAGCGCGTTCGACTGCGAACGTTGAAGTTAAGCAACTTTCGCAGTGATCGCCCATTGGATAGGTGAACAAAAATCTTCTATCTCGAGTTCCTCCATGCTTCGGAAGGCACGTTAAGCCGTTGGTCCCGGCGTGGTGGGTCATGGCCCAATCTCCCTATTCCACCCATAGGGAAGGCCTGTGCCCCAGCAATGGCGACATTAGTAGACTGATGATGATGATGCTGAATATACGTTACCAAGTATCTGGCAAGAATGGCGATGTCATCCCACATCATGTGTTGTTCCAACATGGCGGTGGGCGCGTGACATGTCTTGTCCACCACCTGGGGGACATCTGCTGGCATTACAACTGATGTAATAGCACATATAACAAGGTGTTAGGGTTGTAATCACGAAATAAATACAAGAAGGAGCTGTTGTATTCAATGTAGTTAATAAAGCACCCCCACTAGAGTAAAAAAACAAATATAGAGAAGAAAATAAACAAAATGCATTTCAAAGAAAAGTGCACAGCGAAAGGAGAACTTCGATTTTTGCCTAATTTTGTACCTTGACGAAAATTATCTGAAAAAACATTTAAAATTATACTTAAAAGACACACTTATTAAAAACACAATCAAAATTGCTGAAAATCTGAATGAAAATACGAAATCTGCTTACAAACAAAAGTTAAGACGCAATTTTCATTGACTGACAGCTGAGAGCTAGTACTATTGGTTTAAATTAATTCCTTGATTGTGATTGGTTTTACCAAAAATCGCTTGATTTCCGTAGCTAATTGTTGTCAATTTTAAGATTTACGTTAATATATTATCTCGTGTTGCCATTAATTTAAATGGTTATACGACACTTTTATGCGGTACTAGTTGATAATAAATACCATTTATATTTTTGATAAATTCGGCGTATTATTCTACACATAAATGCATGACAATACCTGAGGTACAAAATTGGGCAGAGTTGTATGGAGAAAAGAATGGATCCTTTCAGCTAGAATTTACTAGTACCTTACAGAAGATCACAGTGAAAATTTCTAAGGATCCACCTGGAGTTTTGGATTAGAGGCCGGTAAAGTCCCAAGCTTTCCATGGCTAGTGCCATTGGATTCTTGCAAGCCCCACTTTTGTGCCACAAGATGTCGGCATTTCACTTGGCTGTCCGTGTTTGTTGTTTGTAAATTTGACAACAGCCTGTCCTTATCATGTTGTATAAGCAGATTTGGGCATTATTTGAATAAGTTGTTATCTGGATAATTATTCGAAAAAAATTTTATTCGCAATATAATTATTTGCGAACAATTCATTCACGAATAAATTATTAGTAAATAAATTTCCTACGAATAAATTATTCGTGATTTTATTCTGTTAGCAGAAGACAGTGTTACGTTGTGAAGTAGAAGGGGTCGTTCTATATAAGCGAGAGCGCGCGCAGTTCGGCGTCAGTTACTGTTGAGAGTTCGTGCTAAGCGGAAGCTCTACCCGTTTGTCGGTCGGATTGCCTTATTTTCATAAAATAGAAATATTTCTGTAACGTTCGCAATTAGTTAATTATCTTAAAGAAAAAATAATTGTATGAAGGTGAAATAAAGAGTGGTTTGTGTAACTGTTTTTTTTAATAATTTCCTCTTCTGATCCCTAAGATCAGAAGTGGGATGCTTAAAATTCGCGCGTCCTGGTTCGTTCTGCTTCCTGAAGAAAATAAGGCAGTTCGATATTTCAAAAACAATCTTTTTATTTAACGGTTTGTGTATTTATCGTCGTAAAAAAAAAAACGAACATTCGTGATTATTTTGTGAGTTTTTATGTAAGTAAGTGATATGGTGGTGTGATTATAACTACAATGGTGAGTTCGTTCCAATTTTCATTACTTCCTAAAGTGAATCGTAAAAGTTTAGCTTGATTTTGTTGAAATTATTTCGTATACTACCCTACTAAATTTTCTCAGGAGAAAAATCACTTTTCTTTTTTTGATTGCTTCTACCGTCATTAGTATTTATTCTCTTTATTTTCTTGGTAACATAGCTGTTCGATTTCCTTGTTATAAAAGCATATAAAGGGAACATGTCTGATAATAGACGAAAAAGTAGAAGTCGTTCTAGACATCATAACCCGCAGTCTAGTGAACGCGAATCACGTCGTCGTCCCCGTTCCTCTAACAAAGAAATAATGCAACAAATTTTGGAAAGGTTGGCATCGTTGGAAGAACAGCACCATCCACCACAACGAAGGGAGTCGAATGTGAGCACTCCTTGGGCACCGGCTCCGGTAACCGAGCCTGCAACGCCGCCGCGCGCGACTATGGCCGACCCCGCGATCTCGCTTCAGGGGCGTGCAGAGCGACCGCCTTCGGTGATCACATCTTCACCGGGACGCTCTGCAGGCGTCGTGGTGGACCACTCCAGTGCTGCCGATCGCATTATCGATGCGATACGCTCCATAAACATGCCGGTGAGATCTAACCATGCTTATTTCATATCCAACTTTGATCCGAGCGTCAATGATATAGATACCTGGTGCGAGGAAGTAGATCGCGCTAGGGCCACTAATAATTGGAGTGATAATGAGTGTCTGTCTCGTGTTGGTAACTGTTTACAAGGTGATGCTAAATCGTGGCTCAACGAATGGGTATCCAACGACCGTACTTGGAGCAACTTTAAGAAGGAATTTAAGCCCTTATGTCCAAGAAAGCCAGACATCGCGAATATCTTGTACGAAGTTATGAGCACCAATTCGGATAAGTTTCAAACATACGCAGAATACGCCCGTCGTTCTTTACTGAAGTTACGTATTGTTAAAGGCTTAAGTGAAGAGCTGATGTCAGCTATAGTAATACGGGGCATCACTGACCCACAGATCCGCGCTTCCGCTACTAACGCCAAACTAATGCCAAATGAATTGGTAGAGTTTCTATCTATTTACGTAAAGCCTAATACTTCCAACTCTAATAGAAATTTAAATATCTCTCAAATAGATCGTTCCTTTAAAAATAATCGAATAAGCGATCGTAAGAGACGTTTCGAAGTAGGTAGATGTTTTGTGTGTGGTGAACGTGGACACAAACAGTCAAATTGTTATAAAAAACGAAAGATAGCAGTTAGTAGTGACGTCGGTACCAGTAGTAATTTGAAAACTCAGTCTGTTCATAACCTAACTAAACCAGAGCCATGTAGCTTTTGTAAAAAGCCAGGTCATAAAATTGAAACTTGTTTTGCAAAATTAAAATCCGAATCTCGCAACACGAGTAATGTCAACCTCTGTCAGGAAAATTATAGTAGTAAACGCGACATTGTTGTGGCAGTTATACAAGGAATACCTGTAGATGTTTTAATTGATTCTGGTTCGAGCATATCGTTAATTTCTTCTTCTATGTTAAAATATTTTAAATCCGCAAGCAAGCCTTCCTTTAGAGTGTTGAGAGGAATTGGTGGTCGAGAGATAGAATCGACTTATTTTGTTACCTTACCAATAGAATTTAGTGAAATCACTTTAGAAGTGGACTTGCATGTAGTTCATCCCGAATATATGAATACCCCGATTATTATTGGTACTGACGTATTGAACCGAGAAGGTGTTACGTACGTCCGGACTCGCGGTCACCAGTATCTTGCTTACGAATCTAATTCTAAACATAACGTATTAATCGCCTCACAATCCCCGATTAGGACGGACTTGACTGGCGAATACTTGCAGAAGTTGCTTGACGTGGTTCATGAATTTTCAAGCTATTTCATTGAAGGAACAGCTACTTCCACTGTTAATACCGGTAACATGTCGATCAAATTAAACAGTACGACACCCATTTATCATATTCAGAAATTTTGAAAGTTCGTGAAATCGTTCGGGAACTTCTTGGAAGGAGCATTATACGGGAGTCCATGTCAGAATATGCTAGTCCTATTCTTTTAGTTAAAAAAAAGAATGGGTCGGATCGCATGTGCGTTGATTATCGCAAATTAAACGAGATCACTTTAAAAGACCGCTTTCCACTACCGCTGATAGAAGACCACATTGACCGACTGGGCAAGCACAAGTTCTTCACCAGCCTTGACATGGCCACAGGGTTTCGCCAGATCCTGATGGATGAGGACTCCATACCACTTACAGGGTTCGTTACACCGGAGGGACATTACGAATATTTGAAGATGCCCTACGGTCTAGCGAACGCCCCAGTAGTTTATCAGAGAATTATCTCAAAAACTCTTCGTCAGCATCTTGAGTCTGGTGAGGCCCTGGTCTACGTTGATGACGTCCTGATACTGGGTAACACAGTCGAGGAGGGTTTCCTAAGGTTACGTAAAGTGCTTAAGACTTTAACAGATGCTGGCTTCTCCATAAACTTAAAGAAATGCTCTTTCTTAGCCACTAAAATAGAATACTTGGGACGCACTATCAGTCAATGTCAGGTACGACCGAGCGAGCAAAAAGTTAAGGCCTTAGTTGAGGCACCCGTTCCTAAGAACGTTAAACAAACACGCCAGTTCTTGGGCTTGGCGAGCTACTTCCGTCGTTACATAGCTGGTTTTGCTGTCAGGACTGCTCCTATCACAAAGTTAACAAGAAAGGGGGTTCCTTTCGTTTGGGGTAGTGAACAAGAAGAAGCACGGCAGGATATCATTGCACAGCTTACAAGTGAACCTGTGTTAGCAATATACGATCCAAATTTGCCGATTGAAGTCCACACGGACGCCAGTTCCATCGGGTATGGCGCAGTGCTGCTTCAGGTTCACTCTGAGGGTCACAAACGAGCTGTAGGATATTTTAGCAAACCGACACAAGGTGCTGAATCTAGATATCATGCCTATGAACTCGAAACCCTAGCGGTCGTGAAAGCTTTGCAAAACTATAGACACTATCTGGTAGGCGTTCACTTCAAAGTTGTGACTGACTGCAATGCTCTAAAAGCAACTCAACAAAAGAAGGATTTGTTACCACGCGTCGCCAGATGGTGGATATACTTGCAGGACTTCAATTTTACCCTAGAATACCGTAAGGGCACTTCCATGTCACACGCTGACTATCTGAGCCGTAACCCTGTCAATGTATGTGAAGTCCGTAAACAACAGAACTGGGCTCAAATAGCGCAAACAGCCGATGAAGAAACCCAACGCCTTATCCAACAATTATCCGAGGGACAGCTAGACTCCAGTCATTACGTCTACAAAAATGACCTATTGTATTACAAGTATCACCCTGTAGGAGAGGAATCTAGACTGCTCTGTTTTGTGCCTAAAGGGCATAGGTTGAGTTTACTAAGAATATTTCATGATGAACACGAACACCCTGGAATAGACAAAACTATAGAACTCGTTAGAAAGCATTTTTGGTTCCCCTCTCTTAAATCATTTGTTAAAAAATACATTGATCATTGTTTGGTTTGTATAACACATAAAAAGATCCCGAGAGCTCCTCATCAACTTATACATTCATGGGAGAAACCTTGTATCCCTTTTGAAGTTATACACACAGATGCATTAGGTCCGTTGCCACAATCGAACGGCTATAAGTATGTTCTTATTGCGATAGATGCCTTCTCAAAATATTGCCTTTTGTATCCTATGTTTAGTCAAGATGCTAGTGAATTAAGACGCATCTTTTATAGCATTATCTCTTTATTTGGAACACCAAAACTAGTTGTAGCAGATCGAGGTCGTATGTTTCAGAGTTCGGACTTTACTAAATTTGTGTCGGATTTGGGCATTGACCTGCATCTTATCACACCTGAGATGCATCACTCAAACGGGCAGGTCGAACGCTACTGCAGAACTCTGCTGAACATGGTTCGAATTGAATGTAACCACCGACAAAATGAGTGGTCGGACGTTATGTGGCGCCTACAGTTGATCTTGAACATAACGAAGCAAAAAACAACGGGCATGTCACCTTTGAACTTACTTGTGGGCATCGAAGCTGCGACGCCAGTCATACGAAGCCTTGTCCGAGACATCGCCCTAGAAAATGCACATCCGAATCGCGAAGCTTTAAGAGAAATTCGTCGTGAGAGAGTCTCGGAACGTCTGAAAGCGAACCAATGTCAGCAAGATAAAGTCGTAAACGCCAACCGAAGGCCGCCTCGTAATTTCGAAATTAATTCGTTTGTTTTTGTCATAAAACAGGCACAAGCAACTGGCAAGCTCGACTCGTGTATGCGTGGACCGTACCGAGTTGTCAAGGCGCTCCCCCACGGTCGTTATTCGCTGCAACTGTTAGCTGGCTCTTATGGAAAGTCGACCCAAGCCGCGGCTGAATTCATGGTGCCCTGGCGTGGGGAATGGACTCCAGAGACGTGTGCTGCTTTTTTCGAGGGTAAGCCGACAACGAGCATAACACGCTAACGTCGTGCCTCTGTTATGTAAATTGTCAAGTATGTTACGTGTATATAATACGCCAACGTAGTGCCTATGTTATAAACACGCATTGGAATCGTTTGCATTAGAGATAGCTAACGTCGTGCTTCCTCTCTGGTTGAATGTATGATTCGAGTTTTCTGCATTAGAGATAGCTAACGTCGTGCTTCCTCTCTGGTTGAATGTATGATTTGAGTTTTCTGCATTAGAGATAGCTAACGTCGTGCTTCCTCTCTTACTGCAGGGTGTGAACTAAGCTAACGTCGTGCCTATGGTTCACTGTACTATTAGACCAAGGTGTGAGAACTACGTTAACACCGTGGCTAAGAAGCATTCGAAGTTTAAATTTGGTTTTATTTATCTTCAGATGCAGATGGAGGAGATGACGATGTGGAGTCCATGTCCGAGCGAGCTGGCCGAGGCAATGACATGCCTTTGCTAGACCCCGTTCCCAGCACCTCGAGAGCAAGGGAAGACCTTCAACCTGCAAGAAGGGAGAACGAGGACGTTCTCCAGTCAGGAGCGGCCGTGTTAGCAGAAGACAGTGTTACGTTGTGAAGTAGAAGGGGTCGTTCTATATAAGCGAGAGCGCGCGCAGTTCGGCGTCAGTTACTGTTGAGAGTTCGTGCTAAGCGGAAGCTCTACCCGTTTGTCGGTCGGATTGCCTTATTTTCATAAAATAGAAATATTTCTGTAACGTTCGCAATTAGTTAATTATCTTAAAGAAAAAATAATTGTATGAAGGTGAAATAAAGGGTGGTTTGTGTAACTGTTTTTTTTAATAATTTCCTCTTCTGATCCCTAAGAATTCATTATTTTAAAGCGATGAGAGGAATTGGGCCAATCGTATATCGTCAACTGACTGCCTGATTTCCGGAATTTATGAATAATAGCGGCACAAGAAAGGGATCATTTCAATACGAGAGCGAGACTTGTATTTAAGAGTGAGAAAGAGAGCGCGCACTTTCTTATCAGTTGTGGTCACAAAAGAATTAGTTTGTTTTGGTAAATTGCTAATATTCTGGTTACGTTCGCCAGTCATTCGGAATCTGTTTACGAGAGCGGTGCGGCTAATAAAATCATTAGTATTATATTGTGGTATTTTTGGATTTTGAAGGTGTGTGATTTATTCATCGAAATTACGGAGTTCATTATTCCTTGTTTTATTTTTATTCATTAACCGACTGACCGAACGAATAAAATAATTTATTCGACATTCGAATAATTTTCCTTTGAAAAAAGGAAATTATTTATTATTCGTGAATAACGAAATAGCAATTTATTCATTCGTTATTCGTCATTCGAATAAATGTTGCCCAACTCTGTGTATAAGGAATGGAAAGGACAGAGTGATGTCAAGTTTACAAATACCGAACACGAATAGCCAAGCGAAGTGCCGGCATCAGCTCGTATCTTCGTTTCTGTCCCCGTAGCATGAGCACCACAATTTACATTATATCACGTTTTTTATCGCGTCTAACTGTCAAACTCCATAGTAATTTGACAATTGAGCGTGATAAAAATGCGTTATATATCATTTCGCGGTGCTCATGCTAGGGGGGCTGGACTCTTTATTTTTAAATATCAAAAGGCGGCATACAAGCATACGTCCCGGCTAATGGTAAGCGGCTACAATTTTCTACATCTGCTGGCGATATCAGAGTATATTACTTAACATCAGACCGGATGGGGTCATTTGCTAAATAAAAAAATACAAAATCAAATAAAAAAAAAGGAGTGAGCTTATGACCACACGACCGAAGTTAAACTTCTTTAGCTCCATCTGTATGTATATATATATATATGTACAATATATACATGTATGTACATATATCTCATTTACCAGCTATATGAGAAAGAGAAAAAGAAAATGTACGCGCCCACTGCTTTCTTTAGCTTATATCCCCCACTTAACTCCCGTTCGCCTCGCCCGATCACACTCTTCGTAACGCGGTCGCCAGCTTACTGCCCAAGTCAAGCGTGCGTAAAGAAGTTTCACTTCAAAACTCGCCCCTATCGAACGCAAGAACAAAGTAGCTTCTTCCATACAAAATTTGACGATACGAAAAAAAATAAACAAAGGCAAAAAATAAAATAAAAATAATAAAAACTCACAGTGGCCGGGGTAACGGGACTCAAGATGTTATTTGGCAGTTTGGTCAACGCCTGCAGGACACAACATTAATACTTTTTCTTATTAACTTAGGTACTATTAATTTATAAAAAATGTTAATAAGGTATGTGATTTAATTCTGTATAAAATATTTAATTGTAATAATAATCTTTTTATTTATAAATTTGTCGTGCCCTTACAGGGCTCTTGTTTGCAACCTAACTGTACTTGAAACACTTATGTATACAACAAATGAATATGAATATTGCTTAAGATAATAATAACTTTATTTTCTTTCTGTCTATGAAGTCTATTAAAAACTTTAGTAAGAAATCAACTCAGGAGTAACTATCTCACAAAGTAAAAAAACTATATTTTATTTCCTTATATCGGATGATATCCGGAAATAATTCAAGCAAAAAAAGAAACAAACAAAAATTATATTAAAAAAAAAACTATGTAGGATGCATGGACTTAGTATCCTTTTCCTTTCTTATGGTAGTATTATAACAAACAATAATCGAAGTGAACGCATTGACGTAGATAATGGACTATACATCAGTTAAGTTCAGTAAAACAAAAGTAAATGTCTATCTAATAAAATAAAGTAAGTATTGGCTGTTTGCCTCTCTTTCTAGAGAGTTGTCGATTTCATGCGAGAGTCGCTCAGTCCATTTTCTATGTTTACAGTTAAAAGAAATACTACGGTATCGATTCCGGCATGCTTCTCAAAACTTAAAACTAAATTTAAGATCAGTCTCCTTTTCATTCTGTAAAGAGTATAACAAGAAAACTAAGAAACTCGAGTCTCTACAATTACGCCGTGATGTGGCATCATTAAGCGCATGCTACCGACTATACCACGGCGAGTGTTCTGAGGAGTTATTCTCCCTTTTCCCTCCATCACCTTTTCTTCAGAGGACCACGCGCGCTGGCCTACGTTGCCACCGGACTCACTGTGGCGACTATTCCTACACTAACAAAGAAATTTGGTGACTCATTTCTTTGTCGTACTATTCGTAAGTGGAATTCTTTACCCGCGCACGTGTTCCCTCCTTCCTACAATCTGTGGGGGGAAGAGTGGCGTGTTTAAGAGAGGCGTGATGAAGCATTTTTGCAGGCCGGCAAGGTGAGGATGGTTGGTGTGGCAGTTTATAACTGCTGTACCAGCTATCATCGCGTTTGGACTTTATCACCACTTAACATCAGGTGGGTAGAGTCTTTTGCTTACCTCGCTATAACAAAAAAATAACAAGGAAACACTGTTGTCAAATTTAATTTAATGTTTAGAGAATCATGCCAGCGTTGTCACTTATACCAAATTGTCTTTGCACTGACCCGGCACATTCTGCCGATGATCTTCTTCGAAACGAGTTGGACGTTAGCCGAAGCCAGCGCCACTGCGGTGTCGGCCATTATCTCCACCATTGGGGAACCAAGACCTGGTAAGAGCAAATTATATTTTTACTAGCGGCCCGCCCTCGCTTCTCTTCGGTGTAGAGCTGAAGTGTAGACTACAGTTTTTGTTCTCAGGCTTGTATTATACACAATGACATTCATCTATGACTCTTCTTATACCTGCATACAAAGTCTCAGCCCGATCGGTTTAAAATTGACAAAGTTTCATACAAACTTCCGTTCCCTATTTTATCCCCTTGGGGGTAGAATTGAACAAAATCCTTTCGTAGCGGATGCTTACGTCATAACATGTACCTGCATGCCAAATTTCAGCCCGATCCGTCCAGTGGTTTGGGCTGTGCGTTGATAGATCACTATGGCAGTCAGTCAGTCACCTTTGAGTTATATATATATATATAGATAATAAATAAATAATAAATATTTCCAACACTCACACCAACTAGCCTAGCCCCAAAGTAAGCACTAGAAGGCTTGTGTTATGGGATACTAGGGTAACGGATACAATACATATACTGTACATATATAAGTATATTTATATTGAAATACATATTAAACATCCATGACTGGAGTACAAATGCTCGTATTCATCACACAAACATCTGGCCCCACCGGGTTTCTACATAACTAAAAATCAGTACACATTTGACAATGACATCTCGGACTCGCAAACGTTACGAATTCGATAATGGTTCGTGCTAGGGGTACTGTTTCTAAATGAACTTACCAGAGTTAACGCTCCTTTGTATAAAGCTATCCAGCACCATGTCAATGAGCTCGGGCACATGTCCTATGGAGCCCCATATCTTGGCCTGCACCGATGGGTACATTTCCGTCTCTTCAATAGTAAGGGTTATCAGTTTCTCCAGAATCTGGGCCACTTGCTTCTGACGACGAGACTCGTCGGAAGGTTTGCAGAACCTAGTAGGGTAGTGTGTTTTTTTTTATATTTTGCAGTGTAGGCTTATGGTATGGGATACTAAGGTAACGGATACAATACGTATACTCATACATATATAAGTATATTTATATTGAGGAGCTCGATAGCGCCAGCGGTTAGCGCGTTCGGCTGCATCGTTGAAGTTAAGCAACTTTCGCAGTGGTCAGTCATTGGATGGGTGACCAAAAATTTACTATCTCGAGCTCCTCCGTGCTTCGGAAGGCACGTTAAGCCGTCGATCCCGGCTGCAACAGCAGTCGTTAGCACCCACCAACCCGCACTGTGGGTCACGGCCCAATCTCCCTAACCTATCCATAGGAAAGGATTGTGCCCTAGCAGTGGGGACATTAATAGGCTGATAATGATGATGATATTGAAAAACATCAAAAATCCATGACTGGTGTACAAATGCTCGTATTCATCACACAAACATCTGCCCCCACCGAGATTCGAACCCGGGACCTCTCGAGAAGGCGACACCTTGAAACCCGACGTACGTACCACGACGGAGGTCGTCAAATACATTATATTTATTTATTTGAAGCTTTTGAAAGCTAGATTTATAAATCTAAGCAAAATTTTACAACAATAAGTTCCACTCGGTGCAGGCATCAGACAGGAATCGAACCTGCAATGCTACCGAGATCCTAATTGACATGTCGAATTACTTTCAGTAATCTATTAGGCTGCAAGGCAGCGCCGTCTCCTTACCTTATAGATTGTAGGTAACTTACAATGCCTGAACCGAGTAGATATTTTTATTTAATAAATTTTCCTTTACACTTCTGAAATGTATCTTTATATAAATACTAGTGGCCCGCCCTCGCTTCGCTTCGGTGTAGAGCTGTAGTGTAGAATTCGATTTTTTCTCACCTTTTAAACCTTCCCTAGACCTCCATGAACATTTCATGACCAAGATAAAATAAATCCGTTCAGCCGTTCTCGAGTTTTAGCGAGACTAAAGAACAGCAATTGATTATATATATATACTAGCGGACCCGACAGACGTTGTCCTGTCTACACGTCTGTGAATCTAAACCATTCTCAGATCCCCTTGAACACACACAAAAAATTTCATCAAAATCGGTCCAGTCGTTTAAGAGAAGTTCAGTGACATACACACTCACAGAAGAATTATATATATAAAGATATATATATATATATATATATATATCTCATTTATTTAAAGTGTTAATTATTATACAAAATACTAAAATATAATTTCTTCATGAAGTTTCACTAGCTGTCCCGTTGTTTTGTGCAACGTTTTAATGAGACACAATCGGCTAATGAACAAACGGTCACGCATTGGCTTCGGAACAATTAAAAAACACAAAATTTACTTATTTATACCTATTTGAAGGCGTTTTGTAAAAAAAACTGCAATGAAATCAAAGAGTGCAAGAGCACGAGCACATTCTTTAACTTGGCGATACAATATATAGGGCTTTTTTATTGAGCATCGTTGTATTTTAGGTCGTGGGTGTTGTAAATAAGGTAAAAATCAAAATGTTAACACACCTGACTAGATTAGCGAGCCACGGCGTCATATATTCCAAGCACAAGTGTTTTAGTTCAATGGATGATCCTCGGAAACCCTGTAATAGGTATTTATGATATTAGTGTGTTAAGTTGGTTATTACAAACGAGTAGAAGAAGTCGAGGGCTTACCATAGTCACAAGTTTGTAAATACCAATTCGCACGAATGTCATAAAATGTTTTTCAACACATTTACGAGAAAACCCATAGCTAATTGAGGCCATGAGAACCATAGTGGCCTAACTCACTTTTTAACCACAGTGATCTTACTTAGGCCATTATGGCACCTCAAATTTAGATCACAGACTTAAAAACCGTAACAGTGATTATACTGCCATCTAGTCAATATTCGCTGTATCACTTTTAGATCACTCTGGTTCTATCAAAATGATCAATTTGAACTGGAAAAAATCATAATCTCAATATTGTAAAAAATGAGTTAGGCCACTATGGTAATGGAGCGTGTAGTAAATCGTGCGGTAAAACGTTTTACTACACGCTCCATTGTATGGCCCGTAATTTTGAATGTAAATAAATAAATATATCCAACACTCACACCAATTAGCCTAGCTCCAAAGTAAGCACTGTAAGGCTTGTGTTATGAGATACTAGGGTAACGAATAGAATACATATACTGTACATATTTATTTACAAGTATATTTATATAGAAATACATATTAAACATCCATGACTGGAGTACAAATGCTCGTATTCATCACACAAACATCTGCCCCCACCGGGATTCGAAACCGGGACCTCTCGAGTCGGCGACACCATGAAACCCGGCGTACAAACCACTCGACCACGGAGGTCGTCAAATGTTCATACAATGTTTTCAACCTCCGTAAATGCATACTGTGTACGTTATGATTTGACACGTCAACTTCTTTCCTTCCATGTGGCAGTCTTGGGATACCCTGTATATATATATTTTATTCAATGTGCAATATTTATAAGTGACTTACTTGTATACACTCTTCGAGAAACTCGAGAGTCAAGTGCGGTTCGTTGTGAGCTAACTTCTCGCTCACAGATTTGATGAAGATTGTGTTGTTTGAAGGAATGCAGAGGCCTAAGGCAAGAAATTAAATTTTTGAAATTAACATTCATCATAACTATAGTCGTATACTGTCGAATTAAGAAACTCCTCTTTTGTAGTCGGTTAATAAATATCTTGACTTTGTTTAACAGGTAACGGATTAAATAATGTCACTGACTTAAAGATACAGCTGTTAAAAGACAATGGCTCACAACTTAGACTTACTTTCAGGTTTGTTTCTTAAAGTTTTTACGCACATCACTCATTAAATAAAACTAGTTTTAACGGGTGAATGTACGAACCGGTGGTAGTTTACGGTAGTTAGGGTCATATAAATAAACTCAAAATTACAAAAAAGAATTTTAAATAAAGTACTTTATTAACTAAATTAACTAATAAATTCATACATAGACAATAAAGTTTCAAAAATCTTCCAATGAAATATCCGAACGCTCAATAAAAGTCTTTCGGAAGTAGCTCAACAAAGTAAATAAAAAATCATTATTCTGACGATGCAGACCTGAAAAGGCTGCGAAACGTCAATAAATAAATAAAGCTCGTGCATTAACCCGTTAAAACTAGTTTTATTTACTTTCAGGTCTCAAAGGACCAAGTCTTTAGCTCTTATGTAACGAAATAACCGAACATTAATCGATTAGCAACTTCCCTATTGTTTAGCTCTAAGTTTGGCAGCACTAGTTGTCAAAATGAAAATGACAGATGTGACGGGGGATTCCCCACGTATACGCGAGCGCGTGGCATTCTGTCGATTGTAACCTTGTGATGTGGTTGTGTCTATTTATTAAAGTTAATTTCTTAAGTAAACAGAGTTTATTAGATGATATAATGTAGGGTAGTTTCATTTGATGTCTAGTTTAATCCAAAATACATCAACTCATAATCTTAATTAAGTATTTAAGTATTTAAAACTAAAGATGATATTGATCGTAATTGTGTTCAATTTGCATTACATTACTTTCTAGTTTAAAAATTCTAAAACAAAGTGTTTGCTCGGGTTTATAAATGACAGCACTCATATATATTTCGGGTGTTTTTTATAGTATGTAGTTTTACCTACAGTCTCCAACAGTTGTGTCTCAATCTTCAGATGGCAAGTAGCGGTCAAAGCACATAGTTATATGTGTTATATATGAGTTATATTGAGTCTCAAATGGGATTTGCTTCCAGGTATCGAAGAACATAATCAATAGATACTATCTTTATACAGTTTCCCTTATTGCCCAGTTTCAACCAAAATACATCTAGAATTTTGTTAGCCTGGGTCAATATTCGAAATCAAAATTTCTACTTTGAAAAGTGACACGAATCAATTGAACTTTTGAATCGGATATTGACTCTCTCTCTCTTTCTCTCTCTCTCACACACACACACACAATTACTTATTTTTATATTATTGTGTTATTATTCGTTTCTTAAGCACTTCTCATATTAATATAAATATATTTATCACATTACTAAATGGTACAAAATTGGCTTGCTCTGTTCATGTAGTTTTGGGAGTGGAGGCCTGGTGTTTTGTAGAACAGGTTTATCCTTTTTAAGCACCAGTCTTTACATTAAGTAATAAAATATAGTAATTAAGAACTTTATTGTAAATGAAGACACATTCACAGACACATTTTCTGCTTATGTTAAGAAATAAATAAAGAATTTATTATTGAATTATTTTTCATGCATTCGTCTCGTAGCTACTTCGGTTGTATTAAATAGTAGATTTACCTGAAGTCTCTAAGAGTTGTCCCTCAATCTTCAGATGAAAAGTGGCGGTTAAAGCACAAAGTTGGTTATATGCAGCTGTTCTCAAATTCGGGTCACACGACCCCAGATTCAGAAGGGCCATGTTGAGTAAAGTTCCGGGCACATCTTTGGGTCTAATCTTCTGGTGTACTGTCACAGAGTCCTGTGAAATGAAACCAGTAAGTATACATTTTTACGCAAATACTAACTTAATTTAGAAAAGAAAATTAGAGATTTCTTCGAAACAAAACAAAGTAAAACATTCTATGTTGTTTTAATTAGTCAGACTCATTAAAGTACGGCCAACGAGAAGCGATACAAAAGTTCATTCAACTTATACGAGGGACTGAAAGTCTAATAACTATCTCTTTCACCTCATATATATGATATAAGGTGTCGTTCTGTCACGTCACGTCATCGTCAAGTTATTATTTCGTTTCCTTCCATACTACGTTGTATGGTAATAACAAATAAATTTAATTTTTTGAACTGTTGTGATTTTCTGTTTAGATAATATTTTTGTTTTAATAAATGTCTATTGAAATGATAAACGTCCTTAATAATCAAAAAAATTGCCAATCCCCGCATTATTCAAAGACCTTTCATGGACTTTGTTTACATTTTGTATCACTACTCGTTGGCCGTACTGTATGTCACTTACGGCAACAATTTTTTATGCAAATTTTTTTTATTAATAAAAGATTTTTTGAATTTTTGAATAAAGCTCAAAGAATGCGTTTTATTGCGAGCACGGACCCTGTAAAAAGTCAAGAATAATGGAAAAAAATGTTATTAAATCTATCACTTTATAGCCGTTCTAAAAATGTCTCTAATAATTATTTAATTTAGTTTTTAAGTTTTATTTTAACTTTTTACAAAATGATCATTCCAGACGGCGGCGCTGGGGGTGACTTATTTTTCATATTGTATATTATTTTTAGATATTTTAAGGTAATTTCTATTCAAATTTTATACATTTGGTAGTTTTCAAGTTGTTGTTATTGCATTTCTATATATTGAAATACTGTGAATAAATCATAACTCTGCATAAAAACAAAATGACGTTCAAAAGTCAATGTTTAAAAATTTCAAATCTTGCAAAAACCCATTTAAAATATCAATATCAACTTACCGGCTGACTTAGCTCCCATCTATTCCGTATATGTATGATAGATTGCACTATATTATCGCAGTCATTGTGTATGAAACTGAGCGGTGTAGCTTCGTTGATGATGGACAGAGAGAACTGATTGTCGTCCACTAAACACACCTGAGGAGTGAGAGAGATGGGTATATAGAATTACTATGCGTATAGTATAGTATGGAGAGGACTTGTCCGGCACAGACGAAATGCGCATATACACTGACGGATCCAAAATACCAGGATCCGGATCAGGCGCTGGAGTATTCTCCCTAGACCTTAACATCCATATATCAACCGCACTGGGTAAATTACTTAACACAATAACAACAATTATATTGTAGTTATTGTGTTAAGTAATTTACGCCGCCGTCTCTCCCACTTCCTTCTAGTCCTCTCCATCCAAAGGTTGCTTGGAGAGATCGGCCTCAGCGATAAGGCCGCCTATTGTTACACTAGTTTTTATTGGTTATATACTAAATGTATGTTATCTGTGGTGTACAATAAAGTTTATTGTATTGTATTGTTTCTCCCACGAGTTTGATACAAGTATTGTATACTACATGTTTTATACATGTATAAGAAGTGTGAAAAAAGAAAATTAAGACTTGTATGAAATTTCTTAAATTCATGTATATAATACCTTGTTGTGAACGGGGGGTTACAGAGTAATGCTTCCATATCATTTCTAACTGAACTCTTAGTGTATATTTTTGTTCTTTGAAGGGAATAAAGCGACTTCTCCATTAAATAACTAAATGTATTTCTCTCAATTGCAGTTACATAAATTTGAATATATATACGACTAATATTAAACAGATGTATATTGAAAAGGGGAAGATTCTTGCCCGAGAAGAATGACTCGATTTTTTTTGAGTGTGTATGCTGTTGGTCGCAGATGACCTTTACAGCGTCACCGGGTTTAGGGACGGCGAGATCCTAAGGGAACCTCAAGCCGAGAATTGGCGAGTGCCTCTAGAGGTATTCCAGGCGGATGGCATCTCCCCGCGGGGGAGTCTCCTCTCCGTCTGGAGACTCTAGACCACTCCAACCTGAGGGGTCGGCTCAACTAGACTAGGTCTCTGAGACTCGGACCTCGGCTCTAGTTAGTCGTTCAGCGTCATCACTGCCCTTCCTGTGGTAGCTACGATAATGGTGGGGTTGCTTGACAAATGTGGTTCGCTTTCAGTCGTACATCGTCACATCCAGTCGCTAGATGGAGCTATTTATGAACAGTTTGACTGAAAATTTTAAAACTAAAGATAAATGTAAACAATCACATGAAGATGGGAGTGCTTACCTCGTCAATTTCGGAAGCGTAATAAACATCGTTCAATAGCACGGGCAGGCCCAGAACTTTAGTCTTCTCAACAGATGTTATTTGTAAGGCTGTGGGCCCAACCTAGAAAGATGACATAACGCTATAGATCAATTTTGTCAGTATATGTGTGTTCATTCAAATTCGTATCACTATTCATATATTAGCACCCGCCAATCCGCACTGAGCCCGCGTGGTGGGTCATGGCCCAATCTCCCTATTCCATCCACAGGGAAGGCCTGTGCCCCAGCAGTGGGGACAACAATAGGCTGATAATGATGATGATGATTGTATCGCATCACTAGCGCGGGCGCAGAGGTGTCGCCGAAGCGGCATTCACTCCTTCCTCCTCCACCAAAACCACGTTTACGAGTGGTTGTGTTGAGATGTGAGATACATTACCAGCGTAGACGCCATAATTGATAGAATTCTCATGTAATTACAATAACTAGTAGTAGTGACTCCAATGTATTGACTATCTATTCTGTGAAGCACAAGTAATTCTCATATCTTTATATATAATATATACACATTATAATTCTTCTGTGAGTGTGTATGTCACTGAACTTCTCTTAAACGACTGGACCGATTTTGATGAAATTTTTTGTGTGTGTTCAAGGGGATCTGAGAATGGTTTAGATTCACAATTTTGTCCGCTGGACAATGTTTTTTTAGTTAATTTTTTTTATGGCGGTACGAAGTTCGCTGGGTCAGCTAGTAGGTATATATAATTCTCGTGTCACGGTGTGCGTAATTGAACTACTCCAAAACGGCTCCACCGATTATTGTGATATTTTATATGCATATTCAGTAAGTCTGAGAATCGGACAACATCTATTTTTCATCCCCATAAATGTTAAGGGTGGTACACCCAAAAAATTTTTTTTCTGGACAAAATTTTTTGTTTTTATTTTTTTATGATACATCATACAAAAATACATACAACCCTAAATTTTCACCCTTCTACCTTCAACCCCTATTTTTTTTATGGCGGTACGTATTTCGCTGGGACTATATTATAGAATCAGTGAATTATATTTACGAGTAACGCACTCGTCATGCCACCAACATCGAACCTGCACCACGTAATAGGAGCAACATATCAAATAAATTACCCAAAAGTAGGTAAGCACTGTAAGGCTTGTGTTATGAGGTACATATGCTCGTTTTCATCATACAAACATTTGTTACAGCGGGATTCGAACCTAGCACCTCGACCAAGTAGGTCCTTTGAAAACTGGGGGATCTATTGCCTCACAAGAATAATATTGCTATGGCTATCGCTATCGCTTATGATTTTAAATTTTTATTTCTGACCACCGAAGGTTTTCAAATACCTCACGCTCATTTTTTTTTAATATTACCAATTCAAAAGAAAAAAATGAGCGCGAGGCCTTCGGCGGTCAGAAATATCACAATGAATTCGTAAGCGATAGCGATAGCCATAGCAAAACCCGTTAAGCGATTTGCCCCCTGGTCGCATACAACTCTACCGTACGAAAAACTTCAAAAACAATGTGAAGAACAAGAATGACACAAGGTTGAAAAAACGTTAAGCTTTATTCTTAGTAAATCTTTCTTTAGATTATTTTTTGTGTTTTTTAAACACACACACCAATTAGCCCAGCCCCAAAGTGAGCACTATAGGCTTGTGTTATGGGATACGAGGGTAAGGGATAGAATACATTTACTGAAACAAATATAAGTATATTTATATAGAAATACATATTAAACATCCTCCAACATGACTGGAGTACAAATGCTCGTATTCATCACACAAACATCTGCCCTCACCAGGATATTTAAAAATATTGTACATGATTTTCTCTTACTTAGATCCTAGTCTGCTGTATCTATAAATGTATAAAAATACAAAATATGTATATGTTTATATTTCTGCAGGTTTATATAGTACATATATATATATACTAGCTGACCCAGCGAACTTCGTACCGCCCTAAAAAAATAGGGGTTGTCCAGCGGACAAAATTGTGAATCTAAACCATTCTCAGATCCCCTCAAACACACACAAAAAATTTCATCAAAATCGGTCCAGTCGTTTAAGAGAAGTTCAGTGACATACACACTCACAGAAGAATTATATATATAAAGATATAAATATACATATTTGTGTAGGTATATGTTATTTATTTCTTTTTAATCTTTATATGTTCCAGAAAATACGTAGATTTCTTTGTTTTATCTTGCTGGCATACTACAACTTCCTCTTCGTTTAGCTATTATTTACCGTCGATCGATATTATTATCGTAATTTCCCTGCTAAACACATGCCTTGGTATCGACTTCAAGTATATCAGTCGGTAAATCTTGTTTTTTTCATTTAAAATGTTTTTGAAGTCTGTCTAGGGCCTTAAAGCGATAACCTTTTCCCACATTATGTTATTGTTTACTTTTTTTGTATTCTTTTGTGTGTGCAATAAAAAAATTTATATCTAACATTAAAAATAAAATAATTTACCTTGATAGCAACTTTGGTGTCCTTGTGCGATAGTTTCAGGGCATTGTTGAAGACTTTAAGGTCTTCTTCTAGAGCTAAAGTTGCACCGGGTAACTTTTGCTGTTCGCTGTCCACATACTCGCTGAGACGACTGTGGTTGTCTATGAATACCAGTTTGCGATTCCCCTGATAAACAAGTTTATGATATAATAAAAAAACGGACAACAGCAGCCCACATCAAACCAATATCGAATTCGAATAGTTTGCGAATCCGAAATGTCATTGTCAAATTTTTTATGGAAACTTGAACAGCAGCGCCACAAAGGACGCAACGAAAACTAAAAATCAGTACACATTTGACATTGACATTTCGCACTCGCAAACTATTCGAATTCGATAATGATTCGTGCTAGGGGTACTGTTTTGTATAATATAGCGAACTACAAAACCTTCGTCTGCGTAGATTAGATAGATTAGTCGATGGGTTTGTAATCCCCAACCCGAGGAGCTCGATGGCGCAAGTGGTAAGCGCGTTCGGCTGTGATCGTTGAAGTTAAGCAACTTTCGCAGTGGTCGGTCATTGGATGGGTGACCAAAAATTTAGTATCTCGAGCTTCTCCGTACTTCGGAAGGCACGTTAAGCCGTTGGTCCCGGCTGCATCTGCAGCCACGTGGTGGGTCATGGCCCAATCTCCCTATTCCATCCATAGGGAAGGCCGCTGCCCCAGCAGTGGGAACATTAATAGGCTGATGATGATGATGAAATGATCTGTTAATTTAACCTTTAAGCCTTAATTTAAATTAAGAACTTTGATGCAAGTGGGTCTGAAACTCTTTTGAATATTTAAATAAAACCCACTACTAATAAATCTAAATTCTTAAAACTTATTTTAAACGTCTACTCCCCACGATGTAGAAGGTTCGTACGATTTGTTATCTTCATGTGCTGTTGCTTTTATCTCATGCGCTTGTTCTTATTGATGTGAAACATCTATAGGCGCACGTAAAATAGATTTCTGGCGTGGCGACGCGTCGCCACACTATATGATGATATATATGTCGTGGCCATATCGTAGATTTGATCACTTCATGAAATGCACGAGAATTTTATAAAATGGTCGCATTTCATGAAATGTTTCACTATCTATTGGCCACATCATGATGTAGTTTGGGCAGATCAATGATGAGAAATCGTTTCACGATATGGCCAACTAAACGCGTGGCTACTTCGTGAAATGGCAAAAATTATTTGATCATATTGTAAAGTAGTTACTTTAATTACCGGTAGAGGCGCTGCAAGCGCTTTGTTTATATATTTATATGGCGGCCGCTGCCGACAATGTTGTTTCTCGCAGTGAAAAAGTGCATAATTCGTTATTTAATAAGGAAGAAAGTTAACAAAAGGGTTTTCGACGAAACAAATTAAGGAGAGTAGGGTGACTACGCAAAAGAAATCTATGGACTATTACTGTCTGTCAAAATAATATGATATTTTGGAAACTGCGGTTGAGGTACAAAGTGCAGATGAGAATAATTGATGAAAATAAATATTTATCAAATAAACAGTCATCGTTTTCTGGAAAAAAAAATGTAATTTATCATTATGCCATATTTAGTTTCTCTCGCAATCTGTTCTTTCCTGCATATTACTTTTACAAAATAATGTCGTTATTTCACATCTGCCAGGCGTCCCGTGACGGGTCAATATTTTTTTTACTTTCTAATACATTATTGTTTACATTTATGTTCATTTATTTATCTTCATTTCACTATCTTTACAATCATTTGCTCTAACTAAACTCACCCGCAACGGCGCCAGTATTGCCTCATGAAATTTGGTGTATTCTCGCACCCAGCTATTGCAGTTGTATATGTAGCAAGCGTGTATGTTGATGTAAGCCACTTCGGGCAATACTGTGAACCATTTCTGAAGGAAATCCGTCCTGTGGAAGAAATATGCTATAAGTATGTTGACATTACTATATATATATATATATATATATATATATATATATATATTTATATTACTTATTTGAGGCGATCACTTGATTTTTATAACAAAAACCTGACCAATATTGACATTTTTTTCAAGTACTTATAATAATTACAGAAAACTGGTTCGCGAGATGTTGTACTAGTAGATTGTAAAGATTTTGAAACATTTTGTAAACAGTAACTAAGAAGTTTCTCATAGACTCAATTTGTTTAAACATAATATTAATTTAAGTTATGGTACTATAGGTCTAGTCATACATTATTTAATTTAAGCAAACATTACTGTTAGAGACCGTTTGTTACCTAAATCAATAAAATAAAATAAAATAAATTATGAAGGCATTCAAGAACTAAAGCATAAGAGTAATAACTCTTGAGCGTACAATCCCATAGACAATAGATTAACGAAAAGATTCGCATACAAAGTATTACCCAACCAGAAAATATTAGTCGCGTGTTGGCAGGTTGCATTTGACATTAGTTCGCTTTTTGATTCGATATCGTTGAGTTCATAGAAACTTATAATAGGCTTGTGTCCGCTTACAATAAATCGAATAGGTTACAGGTTACAGAAAATTCTAAATATGAATTATGGTACATATATAACATATAATAAAGCTTTCTATCATAATAATTAAAGATTATTATTATTTTTAGAAAATAAATTCGGAAAAAATAGGCATTAGGTCATGTGACGGCAAACACCAATGAAAGACTGACGACACGCCGTGCAAAACATAACGCATTACTACTATGTTCTTGCTAGCAGGTTTCAAACCAAGTGTATCAAAACCTTGCGGCAAAAATCAGCATAAATAGCCGTATCTTTATAGCTGTAGCTGCAAGGCGTTTACACAGTCAAGTATTTGATATTAATTTCAGCTTTATACCTCCACGCGTTTCTGAGAAAAAGCAGTCTTCACAGACGGGTGGACGTGCAACCTAGATTTCGTGCTTAATATCGTGAACCGTGGTAGATATAGTTCTTGATCTAGGGGTCCTATAAGAGAGGCGTGAAGAAGCATTTTTGCAGGCCAGCAAGGTGAGGATGGTTGGTGTAGCAGTTTATAACTGCTGTACCAGCTATCTTCGCGTTTGGGCTTTATCACCACTTAACATCAGGTGGGGTAGAGTCATTTGCCTACCTGGCTATAAAAAGAAACTCAAAGATATCGTGCTTATGTCATGGTAGATATTGTGGACCGTGGTAGAAAGTTACGCATACTCAAGCATAACTTTAATTAAAAATAAATAGTGTTAAATAGAATACTTATCAAAAGACGCATTATCCTCTCTTTCTACTTGACTTTGCTATGCCCGACAGGGTCCACAATTGTATCTCTATTTTTATACCTACCAACTTTGTAACATTTTGGAAAGCAAATAAATTTAATTGAATCAACCAAAAGTCATCCTAAAACGTCTGCTGACTCAACCAATTAAACCTAAGGCCAAAAGCTTTGGACGAATAAACGTTTTCGTATTAAATAAAACTTTCTACGTCTCGCGCACTTATTGACTAGATACCGTGGTGTATATCTTGGGACAGTTGTAGATCTGGTGCTATATATCCACCACGGGATCGATTTTGGCTAGATATTGTGCTACATGGCGTGGTAGATATCGTGGACTGTGATAGGTATTGTGCTAGACACCATGGTAGATTTTGTGCTAGATATCCATAGATATCGTGCCATGTATCGTGAGTATAGGTGTATACTTGAGTATAGGTTCAGGTGAACCTGTTATCCGAGTTCGTATGCGTGAGATCGTTGTTATACATAGATATCGTACAGTGATGGATTTTGTGCTAGCTATACACTAATTATGATTTTAGCTATCGTAGTAGATATCGTGCTAGACACCATGGTAGGTATACATAAACATCGTGCTATATATCGTGAATATACCTTAAACTACTATCCGAGTTCATGTGCGTGAAATCGTTGTAGATCTCGAAGGCGGTTAGATATTGTGCTACATATTGTGGGCCGTGGAAAGTATCGATCTAGACACCATAGTAGATACCGTGTAAGATAACATATGAGCTATCTACCAAGGGGTCGATCATCGATTTTGCCTAGACATTGTGCTAGATTTCGTGGGCCGTGCTAGATATCCATAGATATCGTGCCATATATCGTGAGTATACCTGAACCTGTTATCCGAGTTGGTGTGCGTGAAGTCCACGATCAGCTCGAAGGGTTGCTGGCAGAACGGCTTCAAGGTCAATATTACGTGGTAGATTAGAAGGTCCGCGTTCACTTCGCCTATCCTGGTTGGAGGAGCAATAAATTGTTTAATTGTAGTACTCGGAAAGGATAATTAACATTTATTTTATAAATGGCTTTCTCAGAATAGAGTATTAACTTTTAAGTGTCCATTAAAGTAGATGTCGCTTTCTCTGTGATTACAATGGATTAACGCTACATAATGAGATAAAACGTCTCTTGTGATAGCGGGAGGTGCGGGTTCGAGTCCTATCTGCTACAAAATCCGCGTGGATTATTTTCTAGTAAAAATTTTCTTAAGATTCAAATATCAAGCAGTTAAGTGCTTAAAAACTAAAACTATTATGCTGTGTACGTATATCAGTAAAAAACGAAAATAAAAATCTCTGTTTTCAAATATGTCGCGGACGAGTTTCTCCAGCGAATATGGGCATGAAGTTCTCCGGGTCAGCTAGTATTGTATAAAAATAAGGGGCACAATTCAAAATAATGTAACTGTTCTTAAACAAACACCGAAAATATACTTACTTGTATCTTCTAGATATAAAATAGAAGACAGGATTCCCAATCTTGCTAGTTCCAGCCTGATAGAAGATGTTCAAGCTCTTTATACTTTTGAATTCTTCTTTTTCATGCATATTGTGTTTTACTATGAACTCTTCGAAGTTGGTGGAGGACATGTCTATAGAAGACCAGCGGGCGTAAGAGGAGAATAGGAGGCCGGATGTCCTGGAAAATAAGCTTTATTTTCATCGCTGTAGGTCTTCAAATTGCAGGTTGTTTTGTATTTAAATACAGTAGAACCGCGGTAATTCCAAAAACTTTTTGTAGGACGATGTCAGATTTTCGAATTTATCTTATTATGGAACAGTATCTTAGCCACCATCCTCAATACTTCAGAATTTTTTTAGTTATACATCTTTAGGCGCGTTATGAAAAAATGATGAGAGTGGAATTTTAAGATGCGCGCATCACTGTAACACAAAAATAACACCATGAAGTAGGCTGCTTAACCGCACGTTAAGTCCCTAAAAAAACTACCAACAACATAGTAATAGAATCTCTATTAGTCGCGCATGTTGGCACGCTCGTCGCTTCTGATCACCATTTTCATATTTATAATATTTATCCACATGTTTCTAGTATACATATTCACAACACGTGTTTTAGTTTAATACAAGTGCAAATTATATATGTGCTAATAAAATATATTCAGTAATAAGAATAATAATATTTCCAACACTCGCACCAATTAGCCTAGCCCTAAAGTAAGCACTGTAAGGCTTGTGTTACGGGGTACTAGGGTAACGGATAGAATAAATATAATGATACATATATAAGTATATTTATATTAAAATACATATTAAACATCCATGACTGGAGTAAAAATGCTCGTATTCATCACACAAACATCTGCCCCCACCGGGATTCGAACCCCGGGACCTCTCGAGTCGGCGACACAATGAAACCCGGCGTACAAACCACTCGGCCACGGAGGTCGTCAGTAGTGAATATAAATGAATATTTTGATTATTTATTTAATTTTTCAAATTAAAACTGAACTTTATTGGCTGTGTTGACTATCCTTTTCCAGTCCTTTTATTATTTTATTGTAATTAATTATTTGCATGTAATTAAAAACCAATTTTTAATGATACCAAAGAAGTATAACTTCTCACGCGCGTACATAAATACGCATCCATATTTTTTGTGTGAATACGAGTACCTTTCAATCATGCAAGTTACATCCTAATAATCTAATTGAATTAATATTTATGTAGAATCTCCGATATAGGGTGTTGGATAACAGGGGGCGCCGAATTACACTGCTAAATAACTGCGGGTCTACAGTTTTTTTTTATAAAATATAAAGAGAAAATACTCTTCGTTTAATATTAATAATTGACATTGTATTCAACAAGTAATCTGCTTTGGTATTTTTTTGTTCTAGGGCTTGAATTCCTACAAATGTATGTTTTTTTAAACAAACAATAATAAAAAGCTGGATGAGTTAAAAAATGAACTTTATTGCAGTAGCTTTAAGAGTTTTTTTTTTATAATTCTGAACATTTATGGCCCGTTGTCTCCAATCTGATTTCTTGAAAGATTTTTTTTATATAGCCAGGTAGGCAAATGACTCTACCCCACCTGATGTTAAGTGGTGATAAAGTCCAAACGCGAAGATAGCTGGTACAGCAGTTATAAACTGCCACACCAACTATCCTCACCTTGCCGGCCTGCAGAAATGCTTCTTCACGCCTCTCTTAAAGGATCCCAGATTGTAGGAAGGAGGGAACACGTGCGCGGGCAAAGAATTCCACTTACGAATAGAAGGACAAAGAAATTAGTTGCCAAATTTCTTTGTTCGTGTAAGAATAGTGGCCACAGTGAGTCGGTGACATCGTAGGCCAGCGGGCGTGGTCCTCTGAAGTAAAGGTGATGGAGGAATAAGGGAGAATAACTCCTCATAACAATCGCCATGGTATAGTCGGTAGAATGCGCTTAGCGATACTTGCTCGATGTTGGTGGCTTGGCGAGTGCGTCACTCGTAAATAAAATTCACTGATTCCATTAAACAGTATTTACTTGTGCTTCACAGAATAGGTAGTCAATATATTGGAGTCACTACTACTAGTTACTAGCTACTGTAATTACATGAGAATTCTATTAAAATATGGCGTCTACGTTGGTAATGTGTCTCACACCTCAACACAAGGCCAGCGCGCGTGGTTCTCTGAAGAAGAAAAGGTGATAGAGGGAGAGAGATTAGAGATAACGGGCTATAAATATTTAAGTATTTTCGTTATCGCTCTAAAGTTTTGTATTAAATAAAGAAATACTTATTAAGAAAGACCGTGTGAAGAGGAAAAAAGTACTTACGACTCCACGGGTTTGTGTTCTGGCGGTCCCAAATATGCGAGCAAAGTTGCCATCTAAAATCAAATGGCTAGTATTATTTCGATGTCACCACAAACAATAAATAATAAAATAAATATTTCCAACTCTCACACCAATTAGTGTAGCCTCAAAAGTAAGCACTTTAGGCTTCTGTTATGGGATACTAGAGTAACGGATATAATACTTACTGATACATATATAAATATATTTTATAGGAATACATATAAAACATCCATGACCGGAGAAAATGCTCGTATTCATCACACAAACATCTGCCCTCACCGGGATTCGAACCCACGTACACAACACACGCGTACAAAACACTCAGCCACGGCGTTCGTCTACATATTAACAGACGTACTATTTACATTACCTTATCAAACGGCCTCCTGCCCACAGCCTTATGGTCTCTGCTACAAGATAGATAATCCCCTATCTTCTCCTGATGGTTCCACAGTAGCCTATGGAGGGCTACAACGTTTGCGTCGCTAATGAAGGAGAGATTGTGCGACGTCTGGTCTACGCTCTCGCAATCAGAGGCAATTTGGATGAAGAATCTGTTGAGGAAAAAATCTTGTTAATAATATAAACAGTATCGCTAAGCCTGGGAGAGATCGCTCTTAGCGATAAGATCGCCCATTATTACTCTGTATGCGCTGTATTCTTTAATTATGTACTTAGTGTTTTATATTTTCTGTGGTGTTTTTTCTTTCTTTCTTTAATATTTTCTAGTGATTTACTTACTTGCGTCCTTGTTCAAAGTGTGCCCTTAAGAAGTCGTTGAACGGCAGCATGTGTTGTTCCTTGGAGAACTCCACGTGATTGGCTATGTTCTGCAATATCTTGGACATCAGCATGAGTCCGCGTTTCAATTGTGCCGGCACTGGCCGACTTACTATGCCCATTTCTTGAGGAGATACTGGATAGAAATGGAAATATTAATTTATTTATTAAAAAAAAATAACAAAGACAAGCATTAATGGCTTTACATGGCTATTTGTATTTGCTATTTGTCATTTTGACAGAAGGTTGGCATGTCATTCACACGTAGTCACACGGCATTCTTCATTTTTGTTAAATCAGTTTTTTATATATTTTTTATTTTATAGTCATAATTTCTAGTCATCATTTACATTTGTAATGGAAAGAAGTGACTTCATAAGTTATCTCATATTGAAGTCAATTTTCAATTTGACGATTCTGTATATAACAGGGATAAAAAGATAGCCCTTGCTGAGTTTCTTGCTGGTTCTTCTCAGTACAAGCTCTCCCGCCGTAGATTTGTGAACTGATGGCGTAGCTTTTCGACATTCACAAGTGCTTGTAACAGCCTAGATTGCATAAACGATATTGAATTTTGTTTTCTTTTTAATTTTTCATATTCTATAGAGAATGAAAAGGACATATTATTGTCGACTTTTAATTAAAAAAAAATAGCTTTATAATATTAACACATTAGACGCCACGCCGGTCACCGGTGACCGGACCATGCCCTGTCCCCAAGCGCCGCGTTGGACACCGGTGACCTCAAGGCAGACCTGATTTCAAACTTTATTTTCAACACCGTAGGAACTAAATTTCATTGATTTCAATCAAGATATTTACTGGAGTGGCGCTATAATACACTCGTGCAGAATGGTTTGAATGTACCTGGACGGAAGAAGATAAATTTTGTTGTTTCAGTGCAAACATCAATGAATTATTCTTTTAAGAAATAATTTATTAATACTTTATAAGGTGTAACTATAATATGTGTTATCCCTTCGGGGGGTTGAAGTGTCTCGTATATGGACCACAAAAATAAAAAATAAAAAATGAAAATCCGAAAAAAAAATCTGACTTTTCATACAAAGTCAAAATATTTTTTCGGATTTTCTAATTATTATTTTTTTGTTTTTGTGGTCCATATACGAGACACTTCAACCCCCCGAAGGGATAACCCATAATAGGGTTACACCCTATATATTAGTAGGTACTATAAGACCACGTACAGGGTCCCGCGGGTTAACCGCTGTATGTAAATAAAATATTCATCTATAAGAGGAAAACTGTTTATTATAGAAGTTTTAATCATTACAAAGGTGTATTGTTAAAAACATTGAAGATATTTTTAAAAGTATAATCATATGACATATACATTATGCATTATACATTACATTTTGCAGTAATTGTTATAACTCGCCGCATTTGAATTTGATAATGAACTTTTATTTATGAATTCCTCCTCTTTTAAGTCTATAAGATCATCTACGTCCATTGCGACAAAAAGTTTCGGATAAAATAATACTGAATGCAAAAGGTGCGTACTGTTTCAACGTTCAAGATCGACTGCGGGCGCGGGTGACCGGTAACGTGACCAATGCGGCGTCCTAATAACGGTTTTGTGTTAAGTTACATCATGGCGCCGCGTGGGGCACCGGTGACCTGACAAGATATTTCTCGTTTTATTCCGAAACTATATGTGCTAGAACAACCTTACCTATACTAATAATCATATCTTTGAACTATACATCAAAATACACAAAAAAAAAATGTAATTTTTGTCATTTCTTCTATGGCGTCTAATGTGTTAAGTATTGATAAAGATAAGGCGACATGTGTTGTTCCTTGGCGAACTCCACGTGGTTTGCTATGTTCTGCAATATCTTGGACATTAGCATGAGCCCGTCTTTTATCTGAGCGGGTACTGGACAACTTACTATGCCCCTTTCTTTAGGATATACTAGATGAAAATAGATACAAAGTTACTAATGATGGTTTAATTTATTTTCGTTTAAAGCATTACACAATTTAACTGTTCCAGGTTGCTATAACCATAAAATAGAATGTAGCCAGGGCGACTTCCGACTTAGCGCCATTATTTGATATATGTAAGTACAAGAGAAGAAAGTAGATTTTACAAAGCTAACGTTTATTGGTACACGAAACTTGTATGCAAAATGACACTAGTAAGTGAGTAAGATTGATGGCAATGAATCGCGTTTAATCGTTAACTGATGTGTCGTAGTCCAGTTTTGATACTCTAAAGTATAAATATATCATCCATCATCAGCCTATAAATATCCCCACTGCGTGGGCACAGGCCTTCCCTATGGATAGAATACGGAGATTGGGCCATAACCCACCACGCGGACCTAGTGTGGATTGGTGGGTGCTAACGACTGCATGCAGCCGGGACCAACGGCTTAACGTGCCTTCCGAAGCACGGAGGAGCTCGGGATAGTAAATTTTTGGTCACCCATCCAAAGACTGACCATGCAAAAGTAGCGTTACCTTAAACGATCGCAGCCGAACGCGCTAACTACCCGAGCCATCGAGCTCCTCATGCAATCATGCTTTATATGAAATAAAAAGAAGAGACTTCTCTCAAGTTTAAAGAATACCTAATTAATAGTTTAATTAAATTTAATAATTAACGTTAGCTCTGTAAAATCTACTTTCTTTTCTTGTACTTACATGTATTAAATATTGGCGCTAAATCGTAAGTCGCCCTGGCTCTGCAGTCGTTAGCACCCGCCAATCCGCACTGGGCCCGCGTGGTGGGTCATGGCCCAGTCTCCCTATTCCATCCATAGGGAAGGCCTATGCCCCAGCAGTGGGGACGTTAAAAGGCTGATTATGAAAGCATAATAAGATAAAAGCATGATAGTTTATTATGCTGCTGTCAAATTTAATTACGGGAAAATAAAAACGGCCAGCTTCTAGCATAACATATAAGGGCAAATGATTTGATTTCTTTATTATATCTTGATTAAATCATATGTAGTTATGTTTTTATTTTTTAAGCATTTAACTGCTAGATGTTTAAATCTAAAGAAAAGTTTAACTAGAAAAAAAAACACGCGGACTAGGCAGCGGACGGGACTCGAACCCGCACCCTTCGCAATCCGGGCGAATGCACTGACCAATTATGCTACCACGGCCCTGATGGCCGTGTCGAAATTTTCCTAGCCTTAAGCTGCATGGCAGCGCCATCTCTTCGCATTGTAAGTAACCCACAATGTCAATTGAATACTTTTTCAAGTATTAAACATTTGAAAGAAAAAATGGCAATTATAGTTATGTTTTTATTTTTTAAGCATTTAACTGCTAGATTTTTAAATCTAAAGAAAAGTACTAGAAAAAAAAATTGTGTGTGTCAGTTCCGACGCACGACTGGAGTTTACTTCTTAAGTTCGATAGTCTAACCAGACGCAAAAAGAGTTTATTTAACTTAAAAAAGATTGATACTGTATGAAAGGGTAAATTAACAAATTAATGAAAATAATATACATATATAAATATATATTTATTCATTTCATATACATTTATTATAAGTAATCGACGAAATATTTTACATTAAACTTTTTACAATAGTCAATTTCAGATGTGCATAAATATATCATTAGGAATGTTGATAAATTATGTAATTATTATTATCAGACTATTATCATTATTTTTTAATATTAATTAATTCAACATTGTCTGCATTATTAATTACAGTGATAAGTGGTTTATGGTAACTAAAACAAGACACATGGACGTTCGTAGATACGTGGTACACGAATCTTGAAAATACCGCATCAATGGTTGTACCATACCTTGTTGTCCTCATTGCTCTATCAGAAACATTTTCTAAATTCAGTCCAGATTTTAAAAAAAATATTAATGTCAATCCGTCATCTTTGTTTGTCAAAGTTGCGCGACATAGGATGCACACCAAAAACGTAACGAGGTCATTCATCGATAGATTTTACTCCTCACATTTTTCTCATACCGGGCCCCTTATATATGCAAATCGATTCTTAAAGTGTACTCTCCAAAAAATCCTATGAATAATATATTAAATCGATATATCTTAGACTTACCAATGGCCGGATTGATGAATCTGAGGAACAGTACAGTTCCGACGGCACCCACGCTCGTTTGAGGGAACTGGGCAAATCTCTTGCTTAATACCTGTAAGTATAAATATATAGTTAATAATAATAATACATATTTCCAACACTCACACCAATTAGGCTAGCCCCAAAGTATGCACTATAAGGCTTGCGTTATGGGATGCTGGGTAACGGATAGAATACATATACTGTACACATATAAGTATATTTATATGGAAATACATATTTAAACATCCATGACTGGAGTACAAATGCTCGTATTCATCACACAAACATCTGCCCCCACCGAGTTTCGAACCTGGGACCTCTCGAGTCGGCGACACCATGAAACCCGGAGTACAAATCACTCGGCCACGGAGGTCGTCAAAACATACATGTTATCTTCAAATCACATCAAAATGAGTTGTTGAACACTGCAACCCGTCCCTGATTCGATGTAGACTACCCGCCTTATTACAAAACGTTGTTTAAAAATTAATCTGGTTGAAAACTAAAGCTGTCATTCTCTTAGGTTTTCACGCACATCACTCATTAAATAAAACTAGTCAATCAATCAAATATTTTTTTTTTATTACATTTTGTCCTTCCAAAAATTTGATTCCGTCGAAGCAGCCTGTAAAGGCTGCGAAACGTCAATAAATAAATAAAATTTCGTGCATTAACCCGTGAAAAACTAGTTTCATTTAACTAAAGCTGTCACTTTTGTTTGCCATAAGGAAGACAGAGACAGCATTAGGTTTAAATCATGACCAACTTCAGTCCGTGTTTTAGAAAAAGCGAGTGTGCATAAGACCACACGACTGAAGTGAAACTTCTTTAGCTCCAATGATCTGAAAATCATAAACTTAAACTGAAAAAAAAACACCATTCCGCGCTGGGTTCGTTATCGCCCTCCAATACGCACTGGGTCCATTATCACCCACTAATCCGCGCTGGGTCCGTTATCACCCACTTATCCGCGCTGGGTCCGTTATCACCCACCAATCCGCACTGGGTCCGTTATCACCTACCAATCCATACTGAGTCCGTTATCATCCACCAATCCGCGCTGGGTCCGTTAGCATCCACCAAGCACTAGATTTATGTATTTTGTGACGGGTATTGTTCATTGTTTACCGATGACACTAATCGTAACACATTCGCCAGTTTACCCCCCAAGTCAAGCGTGCCTAAAGAAGTTTCACTTCAATAATGTAAAACATTGAAATTTCCTAGAATGATCTTATTCGAAAGTAGAATTTCAAACTGAAAATAAGAGGTTATTTGATAATGATCTAGATAGCTTTTAGTCACACATTTGATGGCTTTTCTATCTCTCTTTCTCTTTCTTTCTTTTTCTTTCTCTCTTTCTCTTATAGCTAGTAAATGAAATATGTTTATGTACATACATGTATATAATGTACACACACACACACAAAGAAATTTCACTTCAGTAGTGTGGTCAGAAGCACACTCTTTTTTTTTTTATAATTTTTCATCCTAGGTAAATTCATTGTTATAATTGTCAAGTATGTAATCTAAATAAAACAATAAATTAAAAGTACATCTTTTCATCATTCTATATAAGCCCTTATTACCTTAGATATACAGTTCAAAATACCTGGTACAAACAGTGGCACATGGACCTTAGCTGGGGAGGAAACTTGTCGGCCGAATTCACGATTCTGTCGAACACTTCTTTTGTGAGGTCGGTTAAGTTGGAGCGATTCAGCTCAATGTCTTGGTTGGGGTCCAATCTGTTGAGGAATTTAGAGATTATTTTTTATAGCCAGTTAGGCAAATGACTCTGCCCCACCTGATGTTAAGTAGTGATAGAGTCCAAACGCAAAGATAGCTGGTACAGCAGTTATAAACTGTCACAAAAACATCCTCACCTTGCCAGCCTGCAATAATGCTTCTATATCAGTATTATCGGCTTACTCAGAAATCAATCAAATCATATTTAATATGATTTAAAGAATACGACTTTAAGGCCCACTTAGAGCAAATTAGCTAAATCTCGATGTAACTAAAATTTGATTTAGCCCATAGGCAAATTTCCAAGTCAATGTCAATTTACAAAAATGTCTATAATATGTAGGCTAAGTTTTAGTTTAATCGAAATTTAGCAAAATTGCTGCAAGTACACCTAAACATTTTTGTTCTCATTTCATCGCAAAGAAAGAGACAACACTGACTTCATTAATACTTGAAATAAAACTTATTTCCCTTTTATAAGTGCGTTCTTGAAATTTATGACTCGTATGCTCTATGGTCGTAGCCCGAATATTAGTTCAATTTCGAAGCTCATTTCAGTTTCTCCCTCAAATTGGTCCAATAATCCAGTAATCAGTGGCTCGAAAAGCGACTTTAAGTACCCGTGACCTTAGATCTTGAAGTTCGTCTATTATTTTTACCAGTTTCCAGTAATTTTTACCAGTTTTTAACTTTTTAGTCTAAGACTCACCTAGCCGGATCTACTTCGAAGCTCAGTACAGTTTTTTCTTCGAATTGTTCTAATAATGCAGACTCTCAAAGCGACTTTCAGTATTCGTGGCCTTAGATCTTGAAGTTTGTCTATTTTTTTAACAGTTTCCAGTAATTTTAACTAGTTTTAGTCTAATCCTCACCTAGCCGGATCCACATCGAAGCTCATTTCAGTTTCTCCCTCAAATTGGTCCAAAAATCCAGTAATCAGTGGCTCGAAAAGCGACTTTAAGTACCAGTGACCTTAGATCTTGAAGTTTGTCTATTATTTTACCAGTTTCCAATAATTTTAACCAGTTTTAGTCTAATCCTCACCTAGCCGGATCTACTGCGAAGCTCATTTTAGTTTCTCCCTCAAATTGGTCCAATAATCCAGTAATCAGTGGCTCGAAAAGCTACTTTAAGTACACGTAACATTAGATCTTGAAGTTCGTCTATTATTTTTACCCGTTTCCAGTAATTTTTACCAGTTTTTAACTTTTTGGTCTAAGACTCACCTAGCCGGATCTACTTCGAAGCTCAGTTCAGTTTTTTCTTCGAATTGTTCTAATAATGCAGTAATCAGTGACTCTCAAAGCGACTTTCAGTATTCGTGGCCTTAGATCTTGAAGTTTGTCTATTTTTTTAACAGTTTTCAGTAATTTTAACCAGTTTTAGTCTAATCCTCACCTAGCCGGATCTACTTCGAAGCTCAGTTCAGTTTCTCCCTCAAATTGGTCCAATAATCCAGTAATCAGTGGCTCGAAAAGCTACTTTAAGTACCCGTGACCTTAGATCTTGAAGTTCGTCTATTATTTTTACCAGTTTCCAGTAATTTTTATCAGTTTTTAACTTTTTAGTCTAAGACTCACCTAGCCGGATCTACTTCGAAGCTCAGTACAGTTTTTTCTTCGAATTGTTCTAATAATGCAGACTCTCAAAGCGACTTTCAGTATTCGTGGCCTTAGATCTTGAAGTTTGTCTATTTTTTTAACAGTTTCAAGTAATTTTAACTAGTTTTAGTCTAATCCTCACCTAGCCGGATCCACATCGAAGCTCATTTCAGTTTCTCCCTCAAATTGGTCCAAAAATCCAGTAATCAGTGGCTCGAAAAGCGACTTTAAGTACCAGTGACCTTAGATCTTGAAGTTTGTCTATTATTTTACCAGTTTCCAATAATTTTAACCAGTTTTAGTCTAATCCTCACCTAGCCGGATCTACTGCGAAGCTCATTTCAGTTTCTCCCTCAAATTGGTCCAATAATCCAGTAATCAGTGGCTCGAAAAGCTACTTTAAGTACACGTAACATTAGATCTTGAAGTTCGTCTATTATTTTTACCCGTTTCCAGTAATTTTTACCAGTTTTTAACTTTTTAGTCTAAGACTCACCTAGCCGGATCTACTTCGAAGCTCAGTTCAGTTTTTTCTTCGAATTGTTCTAATAATGCAGTAATCAGTGACTCTCAAAGCGACTTTCAGTATTCGTGGCCTTAGATCTTGAAGTTTGTCTATTTTTTTAACAGTTTTCAGTAATTTTAACCAGTTTTAGTCTAATCCTCACCTAGCCGGATCTACTTCGAAGCTCAGTTCAGTTTCTCCCTCAAATTGGTCCAATAATCCAGTAATCAGTGGCTCGAAAAGCTACTTTAAGTACCCGTGACCTTAGATCTTGAAGTTCGTCTATTATTTTTACCAGTTTCCAGTAATTTTTATCAGTTTTTAACTTTTTAGTCTAAGACTTACCTAGCCGGATCTACTTCGAAGCTCAGTACAGTTTTTTCTTCGAATTGTTCTAATAATGCAGTAATCAGTGACTTCAGTATTCGTGGCCTTAGATCTTGAAGTTTGTCTATTATTTTACCAGTTTCCAGTAATTTTAACCAGTTTTAGTCTAATCCTCACCTAGCCGGATCTACTTCGAAGCTTATTTCAGTTTCTCCCTCAAATTGGTCCAATAATCCAGTAATCAGTGGCTCGAAAAGCGACTTTAAGTACCAGTGACCTTAGATCTTGAAGTTTGTCTATTTTTTTAGCAGTTTCCAGTAATTTTAACCAGTTTTTAGTCTAAGACTCACCTAGCGGGATCTACTTCGAAGCTGAGTTCAGTTTGTCCCTCGAATTGGTCCAATAATGCTGTAATCAGCGGTTCAAGAAGCGACTGTAAGTAACCGTGGCCGTAGATTTTGAAGCAAAAGGCCATTATCTTGCTACCCAGAGAGTTGCCACGGAATAGAGTTTGCATGCAGTCTGAGACCTGAGGAAATTATATTGAAATTAGGCTAAATTATTATACTGCAAGCTTAGAACTTTCATAGCGTTGTATCCATATCGTGCTCAATACAATATTACTGCAGTCCAATTAGTTTTAAGTTTTATTTTGATCAAGTAAACTGTTAGTTATATTTCAGTTGTTCATGAAAATATATTAATTATACAGCAAATAACAAAGCAAAGCGACATTTGCATCAATTTTCTTAAATAAGTTGTATACTCTTGAAACATGACTCCAATTTTGAAAAATATGAGTACGAGATCCACCTTGATTGAAATCAAATAGAGATAAAACGAGGTTGAAATTAATGAATGTAGGTACGATAATGTACAACAACAAAAAAATACATTTCGGAAACTAAAGATTCTTTTTTAATTCTTATAATTTTTAACTTTCCAAAACTGTTTTTTGTTTTAAATATTTATGACAATAATATCGTTATAACTATAACCTCTCACCTCAACTTCTCTGTAGAATATGTTCCATAGCAGTGGAGCTAGAAGATGTTTAGCGTCGAATAGAGTTACGAAAACTCTCGCCAATTCGTCCATTTGGGAAGTGCTGACTACGTTAGCTAGAGCCATAGCTATAGGTAACTCGCCCTGAAAATAAAGGCCAATTTACAAACTAATAATAAACTAAAGAAAAGTTTACTAGAAAAAATTCCACGCGGACCAGGCAGCAAACGGGACTTGAATCCGCACCCTTCGCTATCTGGGCGAATGCACTGACCATTATACTACCGCGGCCCTGACGGCCGTGTCGAATTTTCTCTAGCCTTAGCGTGCAAGGCTTAAGGGTAAACTTTTCTTTAGATGTTTAACATCTAGCAGTTAAATGCTTAAAAAGTCCAAAAATATAACTAATAATAAACAAGTTGTTGAGAAAACTAACAAATCTGGTTGGAGTGTACAGGTTATTTTTTCGGTACAATGTAATAATGGCAATATAAAAGAAAAAAGTATTAAAAAAGACAAAAGTACCATGGAGGTTAGAGAGAAGGAGAACGATCGCTACGTGCTAAAGCATTAGTCCCTGAAAATTTGTAAAATTTATAGTTAATTTTTCAGCCACCCGCCGTGCTGCCGTCGGTAAGTAGTATCTGTGATGTAGTTAGTTGAATAATGTACAAATTTTCATCGCGGCATTGGTCATTTCAAACTGGCGCGCAACAGCCCGCTTTTATTGAGACAACTTAGCGATCGCAGCGCCTCACTTATTTTGTCCATATTTCTGGGACACTATTTTCTACAGCGCTCGTTCTCCTTCTCTCTAAACTCCATGAAAAGTACAATAAAAAAAAAATGTGTGCGTGTACTAGTGTACACAGGTAAGAAGTGAAACTTCTTTATGGCCTTATTTTTTTCGAAAAATGATCTACATGCAACTTTCCAGAAAGAAAGAAAGAAAGAAAGAAATTTTATTTGTAACAACATGTGTAAGTAAGATTGTCAGTGATAATTAGCTAAGTACATAACATGTTGTGCCAATATCGGCATACAAATTAATTATTATTTATATTCATTATTATCATTCTAAGATTCAAATTACAAAAATGAAAAGGTCAATAATGTCAATACAATAAAAAATGACAATAAATTGGGCAAACACTTTAAATAATATGTCAATACTTTCAAAACAAACATAGTCAAATATCAGTAAATTGGGTAGAAACTGTTAATACATGTCAAAACTCTCAATTCAATAATTAAATGTCAATAAAATTGGGCAACTAAACAAAATACTAATAAATTCAAATTTAAATTGAGTAATAGTTGCATTTCAAATGTCAATTTAATAATCAAATGTCAATAAAATTGGTCAAAACTATATATAACATGTCAATATGTACTTGCAATTCAAATAGTAGAATAAAAATAAAATAAAATCACAATTTGTCAGTTAAAAAATCTGATACAGCATAATAACATTTATCAGTTAATAGTTTCTTAATTTTCTGTTTAAACACATTATAATTTAAATCTTTCAAAGATGTTGGGAGTTTATTATATATTCTAGGAGCCATACAGAATACATTATTTCCCATTAGGGCTGTTCTGGAGTTGGGCATGCAAAGTCTACTGTTATCACGTCTGTGGCGATCTAGTACATCTGCCATTTTTACAAATAGGTGCATGTTCTCTTTTACAAATAAGAGGATTTCAAAAATATACAAAGACGGAAGTGTCAGAATCTTATATTTTAAGAAGTAAGGTTTACAGCTATCCGTAGTTTTTAAATCAAACATGGCTCTTATGCATCTTTTTTGCATTTTAAATGCTAAATCTTTGTCAGTAGAATTCCCCCAGAAGATAATACCGTATCTCAGAATTGACGCAGCTAAGCCGTGATATGCAGTGAGCAGGGCGTCTGTGTTCAATAAGGAGGAAAGTTTAAACAACGCATAGGCCGCACTGCTGACTTTCTTACTAAGGTATTCTATGTGAGGTTTCCAATTTAATCTAGAATCTACCATTATTCCGAGAAATTTGACGCTTTCAACTTCGCGTATGTCAACATTTTGTTGATCAATTTTTAAACATATATCATTATTTTTACGTTGACTAAATTGCATTAATTGAGTCTTTTCAAGATTTATTTTTAAATTATTATTATTTAACCATGAAATAACGGATGTCAGAGAATTCTTAATGGCATGTTCATAAATGTCAGGATCTTTACAGGGAATTGTCAAAGTACTGTCGTCAGCGAACAGAGTAATTGGATAGTCAACAGATTTAGGTAAGTCATTAATATACACGTTGAAAAATAATGGACCAATCGCACTCCCTTGAGGAACTCCATATTTAACCGTGCGCGTTTCTGAATAATAATTTTCTTCAATATGCGATTTTGTATTAATTTGTGTAATGACAGTATACTGTTTTCTATTTACTAAATAACTTTCAATCAATTTCAGAATATTTCCTCTAATACCGTATGCGTCAAGTTTTTTTAATAAAATGTCATGATTTACGTAGTCAAAAGCTTGTTTCCAGAAATATATGTATAGGCGTGCGATAAGATTTTTCAAAAACTCACCCACTAAAGGGGTATAACTACACCTTACCTTACCTTACCTTGTGTAAAACACGAATATTTGCTGTCGATACTTTTTTTTTTAAAGTTGACAGAAGAAGCAATTGTTCGGATGAGGTAAATAGTGCTCTTTTAAAAAAAAGATGGCGCGTAACCAAAAAACGTGACGCGTAACGTCCGAAAAAATGTGACGGTAAATTTTTTTACAACGCCGATAAAGAAGTTTCACTTTAAAAAAATATACATGAACAGCTAGTAATAACACATAATTAGTGATCGCGTATTAGCTGAAATTTTACACTTATAATAGGGTATTTGACAAGTTTTAGGCAACGATCTCACGTTATTGACTAATGTTTATGGAGTCCGCAAAAGTGGATATTCATCATTCTGTTGTGTATTTCAGTAAAAATAACCAAATCAAAAACTCAATTTTCAAGTTATCGCGAAAACGTTACTCTGGACAATATGGCGTCTTACTAGTGTGTGACGTCACACGACTGTTATTAAAACGTTAAACGATACAATGTAATGTCACTTTAACCGGAAGTTTATTTGCGTGTGACGTCATTTTGGGCTCCGCCAATCCCTAGCGTTTTGGGTCACGTGACCATAGATAAGAAAACTATTACCCTTTTCGAGGGTTTTTAGTAAAATTATGAATATTTTTTTTGTAAAAATAGTAAAAAGCCCTGCCAATATTCAATCTAAACACAGATGCTAACAATTGGCACTTTATTTTTAATACTGTCAAATACCCTGTTCTTCTGACAGTCATTATGTGTGTCAACTGTATGGTAAGTAATATGGGTGATTATATTTTACTAATTTATTGTTTATCTAATGCTTACTTAAATAAACATATTAATATTTTTTTTAGTAATCACAGAAAATATATATATATATATATACAACATGATCAGCAAGATGTATATATATATATATATATATATATATATATATGTGTGTGTGTAAAAACATAATTAAGAATCGGCGAAAAAGAAGCAATTACATAAACTATGGCAATTAATGGGAGCCACTTTATTCAAATTGATTTATAAGAAAGTTTTTTTAATCGGCATATTTTTTAATTATTATTTTCCATCGATTTGAGCAATGCTGTTATCCCGGCTGCGATCTCCAGTAACATATTACTGAGAAGAGTTAGAACACTGCATCCACTATAATCATCATTATCAGCCTACTAATGTATCCACTGCTAGGGCACAGGCCTTCCCTATGAGGGAATAGGCAGATTGGGCCAAGACCCACCACGCGGGCGTAGTGCGGATTCGCGGGTGCTAACGAATGCAGATGCAGCCGGGACCAACGGCTTAACGTGCCTTCCGAAGCACGTAGGAACTCGGGATAGAAGATTTTTGGTCACCCATCCAATGACCGACCACTGCGAAAGTTGCTTAACTTCAATAATCGCTACCGAACACGCTTACCACCTGCGCCATCGAATTCCTCGCAGCTTTTGCATATTATACATGTACATATATTTTTTTTATAGATAGGTCCGACAAATGACTCCACCCCACCTGATGTTAAGTGCTGGTGAAGTCCAGACGTGAAGATAGCTGATACAGCAGTTCTACCTGCCACATCAGCCATCCTCACCCTGCCGGCCTGCATGTTGCTTCTTCAAGCCTCTTTTAAAGGATCCCAGGTTGTAAGAGGGAGGGGACACGTGAGCGGGCAGAGCATTCCATTTACGGATAGTGCGACAAAGAAATGAGTCACCAAATTTCTTTGTACGCGTTGGAATTGTGGCCACAGTTAAACGGTGACACCGAAGGCCAGCGCGCGTGGATAGAGATAGAAGAGAGAATAACTCTTCAGAACATTCATGAGACAATGATTCTACTCCTTCTGACGTAAAATATAAGTTCCAGTCTTAATGCGCCATCGAGCTCCTCCTCCAATAGGAATAAGGATATTTTGGCTTTGAATCTTAGGTCTAGAGTAATCACCTTATCCGATATCATGGTGACCAATTGCACGAGTTGCTCGAACCTATCGGCCAGCACGGTTTCCGCGAGGGTATCAAATTCGGTGCCCTGTTGAAGTATCTTCGTCAACACTTCCATGAACGCGGCCCGAGTTTGTAAGTCTCTGTGGTAGCCCAGATCTGTGTAGTAAATAAGTTGGTGTTTCATAAACATATATTAAAATATCATAATAATGTTTTTAGAATATAACTGCTAGATGTTTAAATCGAAAGAAATTTTACTTGAAAAAAATCCACGCGGACTAGGCAGCAGACGGGACTCGATCCAGCACCTAGCAGTTAAATGCTTAAAAAATAAAATATCACTATAATTGCTATTTCTTCTTTCAAATGTTTAATACTTGTAAAGGTATTCATTTGACATTGTGGGTTACCTACAATGCGAAGAGATGGCGCTGCCTTGCAGCCTCAGAAATGTTAGAGAAAATTCGACACAACCATCAGGGTCGCAGTAGCATAATGGTCAGTGCATTCGCCCGGATAGCGAAGGGTGCGGTTTCCAGTTCCGTCTGCTAACTGGTGTATCAGAATATGTATTCTATCCGTTACCCTAGTTTCCCATAAGTCAAGCCTTACAATGCTTACTACGAGTATGGGGCTAGGCTAATTGGTGCGAGTGTTGGAAATATTTATTTATCTTATTTACATGTTTAACTAATCAGTCCGTCCATCCATCTATCTCTAAACTAAACATCGATGACCTCCGTGGCCGAGCGGTTTGTAAGCCGGGTTTTAATGGTGTAACCCACTCGAGAGGTCCCGGGTTCGAATCCCGGTGGGGGCAGATGTTTGTGTGATGAATACGAGCATTTGTACTCCAGTCATGGATGTATAATATGTATTTTCCATATAAATATACTTATATGTGTACAGTATATGTATTCTATCCGTTACCCTAGCATCCCATAACACAAGCCTTACAGTGCTTACTTTGGGGCTAGGCTAATTGGTGTGAGTGTTGGTAATATTTATTTCTTTCATCATCATCATCATCATCATCATCATCATCATCATCATCATCATCATCATCATCAGCCTATTAATGTCCCCACTGCTGGGGCACAGGCCTTCCCTATGGATGGAATAGGGAGATTGGGCCATGACCCACCACGCGGGCCCAGTGCGGATTGGTGGGTGCTAACGACTGCAGATGCAGCCGCTTACCACCCGCACCATCGAGCTCCTCTATTCTGTCCTATAATCTTTTATTTATTTATTTTCTTTTTTTTAAACACATGAAAGCAATTTATACATACCTATACTGTGCATGAGTCCAGAATCAATGTTGGCGCTGAGTAAATTAGACATGGCTTGTATAGTTGCATTTCTCAATGTTTCCAGCCTTCCTGGTCCCTCTGCTAACTCCACTTCGTTGCAATCGTTCAATAGGTTCATGAATAAGGTGAAATACCTATGAAAACATATTAATAAAATTATTAAATCGTTTTTTAGGGTTCCGTACCTCCAAAGGAAAAAATGGAACCCTTATAGGATCACTTTGTTGTCCGTCCGTTCGTCTGTCAAGACCGTTTTTCTCAGGAACGCATGGACGTATCAAACTGAAATTCATATCTAATACTCATGTCTACTGTCCCTTGGAGCTGTGAAAAAATTAAACTTCTTAGCTAAAGCAATCAAAAGATACAACCGTTTATGGCGCATATTTCCGTAAATTTTCGAAACTCGCACGGGAATCAAAACCTACAGGGTACTTCCCGTGAACTTAGAATCTTGAAATTCGGTACGAAGTACCGTCTTTTAGTACAGATAAAGGAAAAATTGCAAAACGCGTAAATTTTTAGTTACATCATATAATAAAAAATATTTTTGAAAATTTTAAAGTTACTACCTCTTTTCTCATGAACGCGTAGAGGTATTAAATTGAGTCTGTACGGAACCCTCGGTGCGCCAGTCCGACTCGCACTTGGCCGGTCTTTTTGAATGATTAAAAGGGCTGATTTGATATATTTTTTAAAATTATTCTTTGACTTCGATACGGGTATGATAAATTGCATTCTGCAAATGATCAAAAAGTATTATGCTAACCCCTCGTTTACACTAAGAAACAAGTCATATAGTAGTTTTATACAAAACTTGTAGAATACTTGTTGTGACATTCTTACGTTTAGATACGCATAGACAAAGAGTATCTTTACAAATACAAATTCACTATAAGATAGATGAAAGTGAGATGAGATCGAGATGAAAGTGATATGAGATAGTGATGAAAGTGAGATGAGATAGTGATGAAAGTGAGATAAGATAGTGATGAAAGTGAGATGAGATCGAGTTTGGATCTGTTGGATTGGGTTAGACGGGTATTTATTTACCAGTAATATAATATGTCTACAGCGATAATTATAATATACTTACTTGAGGAACAGCTGACTCTTGGCCTCCATCAGGTCGCCCCTATCAGACTCCTCGGGCTGGAGGGGCAGTCCCTTCAGTAACGCGGCCACGGCTTCCATGCAAGCCTGGTCTAGTTCCCGACAGCATACCAAGTATCTAGATGGAGGAATAATAGAAATAAAGTATTAGACAACCGAAGAAACAATGAACATTGACGTAAAATGAACAAACAGTCTCCCAATAGGAAGCAAAAGTCTGATCACGCATCTATTGTGTAGTTTTCATTTAGTCATATAAGAGTATTATACGTCTAATTTCATTCATTCAGAAAGAAAAACATTTATTGACGATAAACATTAACAATTACAATAAGTACACATAAAAGAAAAGGTCCATCGTCAACTAGGCTCCATCTCAGCATAATGTTGCAACGGCAAAAATGGATTGCCACTGCAACGCTGATATTCTGGAGGAACCTAATTTGGACATCAACGGACGGAGACACAAGACAATCACTTAATATACAAATAAGAGAAGTGATTAATAAAATAATAATAACACTAAACAAAAAGCAAAAACAATCATCCCTTGCCCAAGATTGTGAAGTCCATCACAAAAACAAAAAAACATAATCTAAGAGGCTGTGTAGGCTTCGCTCTTTGCCTTCAGATACACAAAAATAAGAGGGGAGAAAAACTATTACTTGTGTTATCCATCTTATGGAGTAAATAAAACAAAATTTCAAATTCAGTGGGTTATTAATAATTATTAATACAAATATCAAAGAATAACGCCACAAAACAATTTAATTTATATAAAATCGGACATATATAAAATACTTAGTCAAATATTTTTTCATAACATTTATTCGAAATTCGCTAGTTCGTTCTACACTCGGGATTCTGCTGTAGATTCCTTTGCTCCGCTCTGGATTAAAAAAACGTACTCGCCATTAATATAATACTTTGCTCCTTGGTTAAAAAATCTACTATTTTATGTCAATCGTCAAGAAAATAGTGTTTTAATATTGTGTTTTTTAGTGTGTATGCTAGTGGTCGCAGATGACCTTTACAACGTCACCGGGTTTGGGGACGGCGAGATCCTAAGGCGACCTCAAGCCGAGAATTGGCGAGTGCCTCTAGAGGTATTCCAGGCGGATGGCATCTCCCCGCGGGGGAGTCTCCTCTCCGTCTGGAGACTCTAGACCACTCCAACCTGAGGGGTCGGCTCAACTAGAGGGCGTCTCTAAGACTCGGACCTCGGCTCTAGTTAGCCGTTGTCATGGGGGGTGGGGAATTAATATTGTGAAATCAGAGCCGAATTTAACATTTTGTAATACAAAGAATAAAAAAGGCAGTCGGACCGAAGTTTGTAATTTATACGTTTGTAGCGATTAATTAAAAAAAAGCAACTGCATCAATTTCAAAAATTGTTTTAACAAGAAAGCTATTAGATAATTATTTTATCCACATATAAGAGGGAGTAGTTTACATTTTAGAACATAACGCATTTGACAACGCGGTCTAAAATTCAAGCTCTCGATCAACCTCAATTGGTTTTACATTTTTATAGTTTCTATCATTATCATCATCAGCCTATTAATGTCCCCACTCCTGGGGCACAGGCCTTCCCTATGGATGGAATAGGGAGATTGGGCCCAGTGCGGATTGACGGGTGCTAACGACTGCAGATGCAGCCGGGGCTAACGGTTTAACGTGCCTTCCGAAGCACGGAGGAACTCGAGATAGAAGATTTTTGGTCACCCATCCAATGACCGACCACTGCGAAAGTTGCTTAACTTCAATTATCGTTTCTATAGTTTTACATTTTCATGTCACTTACTTAGTAATGGAGGTGGCGTCGGCTCTTAGTGGTGGAGCGATCTGATGACTAGTGCCCAATACCCAATCGGTCACGTATTCCACCATCTTGTTGCGGAATTTCATCTCCTAAATCGGGACAGAAAATATAATAAATAAATCAATAACTCGACACTGGACTATCAAAATCGCTTATACTTTGGTGTTGCTTGAAAATGAACTTAATTTCAGTTTTTATATTTAATGTTAATTTTTAAGCAGTGCCAAAGTCGCGTATTTGTATTAGTACAATTAAGGCAAAATTACCACTTTCGAATATTACCACTCATAAGGATCGCATTCCTTTCAAAGATAAATTAATTTTATATAATTCACTAGCAGTGTCACACATTCAATATGGACTTAGTTGTTACGGTCGAACATACAAATCCTACCTAATTGCCCGTGTCGCATATTTCTACTATTTCTTCGGTTGTAAGGCAGCGCCATCTCTTCAGATTGTAACCCACAGTCGAGTCCCGTCTGCTACCTGGTCCGCGTGGAATTTTTTCTAGTAAAATGTTCTTTACATTTAAACGTCTAGAAGTTAAATGCATTAATAAATGTAACTATAATTGCTATTTCTTCTTTCAAATGTTTAATACTTGTATAGATATTCATTTGACATTGTGGGTACAATGCGTGGAGATGGCGCTGCCTTACAGTTTAAGAAATGCTAGAGAAAATATGACACGGCCATCGGAAAGACGGTAGCATAATGGCTAGTGCATTCTCCCGAATAGCGAAGGGTGCGGGTTCGAGTCCCTTCTGCTGCCAGGTCCGCGTGGAGTTTTGTCTAGTAAAATTTTCTTTAGATTCAAGAAAAAAGGTAAAAGGATAGGTTAGTTCACAATATAGAGGGTAGAGTAAAATGCACCTTACCTGTCTGAACGCAAGGTCGTCCCTCCTTCGCATCATCGCTTCCACCACTTGGCACAGCTTCGTCTTTATGTGAACCGAGAGGACGGTCATGTCCAGATGACGTACGTATCTGTTACGGAAATATAATAATGAACTTTCAATGGAAAACTCGTAAAAATGTAAAGCCTACTTAGCTGTGATAGTGCTTCTTTGATTTTCATAATAAATATTACCATTCTGAAACTTTTTTCACTTAATTAAAAATTAACATTTTCGCTGGCAGATAGATACTGAATTCTAACAAAAATTTGCTTTCAAAGCTTAATATTTCACAAAAGGAGACTTTAAACAAGAAATGCCTTCACACACCCTTAATATTTTAAAAGAACTATCTAATGATACCTTACTCGATGGGGCGGACGAAAAAACGGTACTGACTGCGGTCAGGTTCAGGTATAAGGGTGAGGCCAAACGAGCGTAATTTTGTGAGTGGTGAGTCGCAGAATTTCGGTCGCAGAAATTCTGCTGCATTCGGTTTCATACAAAAAGGCAGTTGGTGCCACACGACAATGCAAAATGAGTTGTCTGCCGACTCAATGCGCATAAGCTCGTCCGAATTTCGGTCGGGGTGAGGGTAGGGCAAGGAAGGGGAGTGGGGAAGCAACAGTTTATTACAAGTTACGTGGTGTAATAATTCTTGAAAAACACGTCAAACATATCTGGATTTGCACATAAACGTTCATATAAAGTATGGAACTGTCCACATATCAGCCTCTGACTATTCAGTGGGTTTACCCAGTTTCTTTTTCTGGCCTCATCTTCTGAATATGCTTCGTAAATACACAATATTTTTAATGGATCCATTGCACTCGACGACAGGAACATCCCGTACTAACGCTCAATAGTAACTAAATAAATTACGTTCGTATGGCAGCTCAACAGAAATTCAGTTGAACGTAAAATAAGTGACCGAAAATAAGCGACTCACAACTCACAAAATTACGCTCGTTTGGCTTCACCCTAAGGGTGCATTTTTGATTCAGAACCCCAAAGAGCGCCAGATGCTTACATACCTCGTCAAAAAGCTAAAACTATTGTTTTTTTCCACCTCTTTCTCACTCTCTTTCGCGTGGATCCATTTGTATCTTACCTGTTGTTGTTGATCAAAGAACGTGTCCCTCTCTCAAGTGTCACTGTTTTTCTCCACCTCTTTCTCACTCTCTCTTTCTCGTGTGTCAAGTTGTTACTTACCTGTTGTTGTTGATCAAAGAACGTGTCCCTCTCTCAAGTGTTACTGTTTATCTCCACTTTTTTCTCACTTTCTCGTGTGTCTAGTTATTACTTACCTGTTTTTGTTAAACAAATAACTAGATCCTCTCTCAAGTATCACTGTCTCTCTCTCAATGTCGTCTTTGTTTCTCTCCCTCTCTCTCTATCAATTGCCTACACATTTTCACTTTAAAACAATACTATAGTTTCCACAAGGCTAATATTCTTATCCTTGATACTACACTGGTTTGTTTCACATTGGGTATGTCTTACCTTTCTAAAATATGCTTATATTTCTATTTAAATATTTATAAAATCTACACAAATCTCACCTGACTATAGCTAGCATCAGCCCTTCTATAGACGTAGTGCTCAGATGTTCCGTGGGCTGTCCGCTCTTCTTGTTGTCCAATATGCTCTTCATTATAAATATGGTATGCTCTACAAACTGGGTGTTTATTTCCGTTAGCATTACCTAAAGAACAAAAAGTAGGATTATAGTGTGTGTTATGTTTAACACACACTAATCGATCAATTGTCTTTAGTATTGTTATTACTAATGTAAAAGAAAAAAAAGAGCGCGAGGCATTGGAAAACCTCAGGTGGCTAGAAATAACAAAATGAAATCGTAAGCGATAGCGTTTTCCTAAGCAATCCCGTTAGGCGAATGGCCCCCAGTTCGTTGAAGTGGTATTGTATCTCACAAAGAGTCTTCTCAGTCTTCGCAGCCTTTTCAGGTCTGCTTCGTCAGAAGCAAAGCAGTTAAAACTAGTTTTATTTAATGAGTGATGTGCGTGAAAACCTAAGAAACAAATATCACAAAGAGTCTGCTTGTATGTGTCACTCTTTTTCTCTCTTTCTCTCTCTCGAGATCACTGCTTTTCTCTCTCACTCGTGTCACATTTTTTATCCACCTCTCTTTCAATATGACGACCTCCGTGGCCGAGTGGTTTGTACGCCGGGTCTCATGGTGTCGCCGACTCGAGAGGTCCCGGGTTCGAATACAGGTGGGGGCAAATGTTTGTGTGATGAATACGAGCATTTGTACTGCAGTCATGGATGTTTAATACGTATTTCTCTATAAATATACTTATATATGTACAGTGTATGTATTCTATCCGTTACCCTAGTATCCCATAGCACAGTGCTTACTTTGGGGCTAGGCTAATTGGTGTGAGTATTGGAAAAATTTATTTATTATTTATATCACTGTGCTTTTCTCATCCTTTTCTACTTAAGTGTGTACCTATATGTCTTACCTATTTATTTGTTTATATTTACCTGTTGTTGTTGATCAAAGAACTTGTCTATGATCGCCTTGATCTGGTCAAACAGTATCGGGTACAGAGCTGGCGACATCTCGTGGCCGACCAGTTCTTTGACGTGGCTTTGTATCTGATGGCCGAAGCGTTCGTTACTGCATAGCAGTAGACGAAGAAGTTGGCCTATGAACCTAGAAGGAAATTACCATAAAGAAAGAAGAAAGAAAAACATTTTATTGACCTTCACAGCATTAATTTAGAAAAACAAAATGGTTATACAGGGTTAATTTTAAAACACCAACAACCTCTTAGGGGGTGATTCCACCCATCAACAGAATCAACTTTTATTATGGGACCAACGCTGAAATCGCGAAAAAAAATCTGCTGTTTCATACAAAAGTGCATCCGCTAATCGACCGAAATGTATAAAACAGCTGATTTTTTGCGCGATTTCAGAGTTGGTCCCATAAAAGAAATTGTTCCTATTGATGGGTAGAATCACTCCCTAAGAGGTTCTTAGGGTGTATTCCGTAATATATACCAGTATACTGGCCAGTGCTAATGACGTCATGGATCGACGCTATACTGGTGAATTGTTCCGAAATAAATTGGCCAGTGCACTGACGTCATAAATCGACGAAATATTAAAAATAGTGCGAATAAAGAAGATTTTTTATTCACCCCATCAATTAAAAGGAATTCCTTTTGTTCGGATGCCATTATTGTTCTTTAAATAAAAAAGAAATAAAATTAGAATGCTTCTCACGCACGCTCGGTCAAACGTCATATTCGTTCTCCCGGTAAAAATATGGTAGCATACCAGTACAATATGGCGTCGGATTCGTGACGTCATTACCACTGGCCAGTACACTGATGTACATTTTGGAATACACTCTTGGTGTTTTAAAATTAACCCTGTATAATAGTAAAACGTAGACATAGTAAAAAAACATACAAGGTGCGTGCCGTGTAAGGCCAATAGGACGCTGCCTCAGCTTTGCTCTGTGGTAAACGCTTTTGCGATACCACAGCAGCGCTGATTTTCAGCCAGCGCCTTTTTACATAATAATTTGTTTTATCTATTTAACGAAAGAAAAACATTATATTCAAACAAAAAGGAAAGAAATGTAAAGCTTGTACATATTACATTAATAAACAGAAAAAACACAACAAATTTTTTCTTTGATATTAATTCAGAATTTTCTTTGATAATAATAGATGGTGAGGCAGGCCTTATGATAGTTTATTGGGCAAGCACAGCAAATTACAGCATTGCCCGGCGCCAAAAAACTTCCACAAGCTCCACAGTTTACCATCTTTAGTCCAAAAATTTTAAGTATAACTATAAAGTCTAAATAAAAGGGAGACAAATAAAAATAAGAAAAGGTGCTGGGATCTAAAACAAATATATAAAAAAGAAAAAAAAATATAATAAAAAATAAAAATTACGAGTGCAGGATTTGAACCGACGACCGCGGTAATGCGTCGTACGTTGCTCCCGTGGCAAAAATTTAACACACTGCGCCGTTTCTATCTAAAGTGGAAAGGCGAAAATTGTGTTCATATGCACTGTTGTCAGGTTATTTTCGTTACGGAATTTCTGGATTCGGTCGCCGCGCTCAAAGCCCGCGATAAAATCTATGCAATAGCTTAAAAGGGTCTCCACTACTCTTGAAATTGCTATGCTCAACAAGATACATAATTTGTATCACTATATAACTAACATCTTTTTCATCATCATAATTAAAATGTAATCCAATTGCATTAAATAATAGGTAATACAGTTTCCAGAAGGCATAAGAATAAACTCCATACCTTTTCTTCATTATTTTAGAAATGTGTTATTATTTAAATGTAATTTTCCAATTCAAAATTATTATTAAACTACTTGACCGTCACTGAAAGCTTTATATTGAGATAGCACTTCCGTTTCCCGTCGAATTACCATCAGTTTCCGTACTTTTATTCACCTTATATCCGGTCCAGTGGCGACACCTGGCAGAAGCGCGGCCATTTTTGTTTTCCTAAGTTTTGACAGCGCCATATTAACTCATTGGCGTTCTGACTCCCGTCGAAGCAACACGTCCTCAATCTGAGCGATCGTTGCGAGATTTTAAAGGTTTTATTATTATTTAGTGATAAAACTGTAAGTAAAACTATTTTATTTTAACGGTTTTTGCCGTTCGTGTTATTCCAAATAGGTACTTTACGTGTCAAAAGTGAAGGAATCGTAAGTAAAACTATTATTCTTTTTGATAGTTTTTGCAGCCCTTGTGATAAGGGATATTTAAAACAAATATGTTAAATTGTGCAATACGCTTGTTTGAAAAAGTAATAATAAGCCGTGAGTAAAACTTAACGGCAATTCAAGGTGCGTTTTGTTTAAAAAATTAAAGTACCTACATTAAAGTAAATTTTGCAATACTTTACGTCTGTCTTGGTCGTTTATCATAAAAACTATTTTAAGAGTGTTTTCTCTTGGTATTCAATTAATGTTTCCGTATAAGTAAATGTGAAAGTAAATTGGTAAATGTATTACAAAATACTTAATTAAATTATTTTACAGTTTAGAGTGAAGGAATATCGGTCAATATTGACGTTTCAGCCGCCGACTGACTGGCATTATTGGCAAAAACAGCAAGATGTGTGGATCTAGTCATTATTGTTCTTTGAACAGCTGCAGTAATAATTGGTTGAATTTGTCGTCTTCTGGTATAACGAAAGCGGCATCGCTGCCTCAAGAAAAATAAGCGAGCTTGATATTCCAGCCCTTTTATTAAAAGATTGTTCGAGTGGTAAGTGAACTATGTACAATCTTAATAAGGTATTTCTAATGTCGATATGCCGTTTTCTGAACATGGCCAGCTATCAATATCTAAAGGCTTATGAATAAAAAGTTCTAACATTTTTACTGACCAATACACGTAATAAAAATTCTCATATGAGTCGTGTGACTAAACTAGGATAAAGGTACGTTTATTTTAAATGATATGCTGATGTGAATTAAAAATTATAATCATAGTCCAGGCTTTATCAACCTGGAAACAAACAACGAGGTAAAGAAGTATGATGATAATTTATGATATATCACGTTCCTGACATTAATTTTCTTTCAGCAATTGCATATTTCTAAAATAAAAATGAATCATTGCGGGAAGGCACCTGCTCAGTTAATTTTAATGACGAAAGTGATAAGATAACAGAATCGTTTCTTAGGTCTTTTACAGCTAGCACAAAGCTAAAAAGTAAAAACTAAAGGACTGCAAGAAGTTAGTGATCTCTGTGATGAAGCACCACTTAATAAGATACCATCTATGAGGTTGTTTTTATCGTATTAAGTAAGTATTTGTCATGGATTTAAGTGATTGACATTTCATCAACCTAATGAGCAACTCGCGCAGAGGCAAGTGATATTCATAAGCTTCATCTCATGAAGCCCAAGGCGTGTCAGGACATGCCCTCCCATGGCGTACCTACACATATGAGTACCGGTGGCAAATCACCCTCGCGGGGTGCATATTATATATAATTTGTTTCCACTACGTGGAATCTTATTAAATGCCTCTAATGCCTTGCCTACATATACGAGTACCGGTGGCAAATCACCCTCGCGGGGTGAATATTATGTACCATTAGTTTCCACTACGTGGAACCTTATGAAATGCCTCTAATGCCTTGCCTACATATACGAGTACCGGTAGCAAATCACCCTCGCGGGGTGCATATTATATACAATTTGTTTCCACTACGTGAAACCTTATGAAATACCTCTAATGCCTTGCTTACATATACGAGTACCGGTAGCAAACCACCTTCGCGGCGTGCATATTACCAAAACTCTGATGATCGCCCCTCGCGGGGGCATATTATGTATAATTTGCTTCCTCCGTATGGAACTCATTATGAATAAGGACTTGCCTTCCATGGCTTGCCTACACATACAAGTATCAGTAACAAAACATCGTTGATAGAGAAATATCCTCATCAATTTTATAATCGCCCTTGTGGGGTCATATCACACATAATATATTATTTCCATTACGTGAATATCAATATATGCTCTCCTTAGAACATGTTCGCTTATGGAGTTCGTACTATTATGTAAGCACCGGTAACATACGACACTCGAGTGGAGCAAATTATGCATAATTTAACATGTAGTCTATTCGTGATTCATAATTTATTTTTGTGACCATGGGGTCTTTAAAAGTGTAAATGATTCGAAACATTAAAAATAAGTAAATTGAAAATATAATAAATGTCACTTGACATAATTCATTACTTCCATCGCGTGGAAATCCATACATCAACGCAACGCAACATACCCGCTCATGGCTTGCGTACACACATAAGTATCGGCTATAAACTACCCTCTTAATAGACTATAAAGATCGAACATCGAATGTTGACGTACCCCGTTGGGAAGTGCAATGTACGTGGTTTTTAAGGTGTCGCATACTCCGAGGTCTTGGGTTCACCCCGGTGGGGCAAATCATTGTATGATAAAAACGAGCATCTGTGCCTAAGTTTTGGTTGTTAACAAATATGAATTTAAAATCTAATCTAATAAATTCTAATCTATGCATCATCATTATGCATTTCTAGGCGTTAGCCCATAACACAGGCCTTTCAATGCCCATTATAAGGCTAGGCTAATTGGTGTGAAGTGTTGACTCGATCACTACGGTTGTTCTACCGTAATATATAATACATTTCAAAAGAAAAAGGAATATCGAAACAATTAATGTTTGAAAAAATTTAGTGCAGGTAAGTTGATAAATTGGGAGCTCCATAAATAATTCTTAAATAAATTTAATGGTATCGCATGCCATTCAAAAACTTGTTTATCTAAATCCAATATATATCAAACTCCAATCTCAAGTGCAGTACACTATAAATATGTAAAGAATTCTAAGTTTTCTGCAATTTAAAGACTATCTGCCAGATAAATAGAAGATAACATATTTTCTCTTGAAAATAACAAAAGTAAACCAAATGGGTTGCTCACTCTTTTGATCGCGTAATGAGAGAAACTTGCAATATTAGAAATGTCGTGTATGTGGTGTCTGAGGTGGCCAACATGATCATTTTGATATATAAGTGGTGCTAGTTACTGAAGAAAGATTGCACGATCTACCAAATTCTTGAAAGGTTTTGAAGATCATTATATGCAATTATCCCCTTTATGTTATTTTAGTAAAAATTACTGAAAACTGTTCTTAATATTAAACTTACGCTTTCTAACCTTGCCACGACTGTCTGGAATAAATATACTTCAAACCCTACGCCATAGTACATGCACACCTCATGTAAGCTGTGTAAATCTTATAAATAACTAAATCTTTATTTAGTATTAAGTAATACATCTAAATGACTCAGATCTAAGAACTGAAAAACAAAAGAAAAATTACAATCAATTATAGATTCCAGGATGGCAAATGAATTTCATAAAATCTGGTCTGAACTTCGTAATAGCATAATTTATCACGGCAACCCAGCAACAATATAAAAACTATACCAGAGAATTTCGCTGTAAAAACGTAAACTTCAGGAGTTGATCGGTTTCAACATTTTTGTCATTCCGTGGGGTTGTATCAACCACTCCCTACTTCTAACAATAATTATGAATTCACTGCAATCGACCTTGCAATCACTTCCCGCCAATCTAATATGAAAGCTTGGGAAGTATAGTTGAAGAACACGGCACGATATGCTAGCACTACGCTTTTCAACATATTCTACAAAGAGCGACAGCTGTCTTAAACAGCTATGAGATGGCTCGGAAACGCTGGCTTGCGTGGTTGCATTGGTCTAGGAACAAGAATGTTTATCGGAATAATCCCGCAAGTTGTGGACTCTGCTCTGAACTAACACGATTTTTGGGAGACTTATTTTTAACTCGTGACTTATTTAAAATAATGCATTATTTTAAATAAGTCAGTAGTTTTTACATGATATACCAATGGATGATAAGTCTAATTACCCAAGCTCACCTGTCTTGGCAAACACGTATATTGAAGTCGATTGTTTTTAAAGAATCAGTCCGTAACCTACTATTCTGTGTCTATAAGTTAACTTATTTCCTTTTCTTCAATAATGTACTCGTTTCATCATAATGATCTGTTTCAAATACTTCGTCATATATGTTGTTCTGAACGTCATACAGTAATTATGCTGCGTATTATTTGGTTCAGCATGTGGTACACATGACTTGTTCCTACTTCAAATTATCCCGAATCATTGTATTTGTACCGACGAAGATTAGTTTAGCCTTGTTTTGGTTCAAAACAGGTGAAAGTAGTTAAAGACAATCCGATTGGTGACTTGTACCGAATAATGGTAATCGTAAGCGGGACCCTGATTTTTGGTACTTAAGTAAAAATACAGTCTTGTAAAATGTAAGGCTCAGTATCGAACAACTTTACATCTTTTTCTCTCGTTCGTACGCCTTATTTGTGATATACAAAGATACAAATGAATGCTACACAAGGAAGCGTCCGGTCATTAACAAAGCAAATATATGTAGAAGTATATATATATATACTTCGCGAGTTTTAAGCAAAGGAATATAGCGATCAGCTAATACATATGTTAAAGCAGCTTCGTAAGCTTGAAGAAATTAAGGCGTGATTCAAATAATATTATTTGATTCATTTTTAAGCTTACTCGTTTCTTTATACAGTTTCATATAATCTGATAAATGTTAATATTTAAATTTATCATAAATTGTCACATTGGCGTATATATTTATGTACGTGGCGATCACCAGGCGATAACAAACAGGTCTCAATATAAAGCTTTCAGTGACGGTCAAGTAGTTTAATAGCAGCATTTTACCTGAAATAAAATGCATATTAAAATACTTACCTCACTGAAAGCTTTCACTTTAAATTCTGCCTGGTGAAATAATTGAGCCAATGAGTTAATATGGCGCTGTCAAAACTTAGGAAAACAAAAATGGCCGCGCTTCTGCCAGGTGTCGCCACTGGACCGGATATAAGGTGAATAAAAGTACGGAAACTGATGGTAATTCGACGGGAAACGGAAGTGCTATCTCAATATAAAGCTTTCAGTGAGGTAAGTATTTTAATATGCATTTTATTTCAGGTAAAATGCTGCTATTAAAGTGAAACTTCTTTACACACGCTTGACTTGGGGGGTAAGCTAGCGGATGCGTTACGCGTTACGAAAAGTGCGTTCGGGCGAGGCGAACGGGAGTTGAGTGGGGGATATATACAAGAGAAAGCAGTGCGCGCGCACATTTTCTTTCTCTCTTTCTCTTATAGCTAGTAAATGAACTATGTTTATGTACATACATGTATATATTGTACAAAAATATAAATATATATATATATATATATACATACAGATGGAGCTAAATAAGGTTTCACTTTAGTCGTGTGGTCATAAGCACACTCGTTTTTTTTCAGTAAGAATCAAATAAATGTTATTACTATAATATTTCCACTTACTGCGTGACTGGACAGTATTGGACCTCTTGCGTGCTGTTAGCTAGAACGTTGTACTTTCTAGAGTCTGTAAACGAAATATTCTTAAATTTATATAAAATTAAATAAATAAATATTTCCAACACTCACACCAATCAGCCTAGCCCCAAAGTAAGCACTGTATGTAAGGCTTGTGTTATGGGATACTAGGGTAAGCATATTTATATAGAAACACATATTTAACATCCATGACTGGAGTACAAATGCAAGAGCATTGAATAAGAATTTATCACACAAACATCTGCCCCCACTGGGATTCGAACCCGGGACCTCTCGAGTCGGCGACACCTTTAAACCCGGCGTACAAATCACTCGGCCACGCAGGTCGTCAAATATGAGTTAAAGCCTATCAACAGATTGGGCATCCTAAAAAGCTTTTGTAGGTAGACTGCTCGTATTTTTGAACATCATCAATAAGTAGACCATATCCACTAATCATGACCCACCACGCCGCACACCAGTGCGGATTGGTGGGTGCTAACGACTGCAGATGCAGCCGGGACCAACGGCTCAACGTGCCTTCCCTCTTCCCTTTCTAATAGGAGGTGCAAGGCTTTTATTTAGTCTTTTTGGGAATTAAAAGCATTAAAAAGAATTTAAACATTTAACTGCTAGATGTTTAAAAATAAAGAAAATTCTACTAGAAAAAATTCTACGCGGACCAGGCCGCAGACGGGACTCGACCTTACACCCTCCGCTATTAGGGCGAATGCACTGACCAATTAATGCGCGGCCCTAATGGCCGTGTCGAATTTCCTCTAGTATTCCTAAAGCTGCAAGACAGCGCATTCTCTTCACATTGTAGGTAACCCACTGCGGTGCATTCGCCCTGATAGCGGACGGTGCGAGTTTGAGTCTCGCCTGCAGCATGGACCGCGTGGATTTTTTTCCAGTAAATTTTCTTTTTTATGAAAATTTGCAGGTTTCTTAAAAATAATACTTACTCCACTGTAGAGTCTGTGCGGAAAGAGAATGAGATTTAGATTGGAGGGCGCTGTAGTGCTTTTCTACCGTATTTGTAAGGTTTTTTTGATTAAATACAAAAAACCGCAAGAAATCACAACAACAAACAAATCCGTATCAATACAAAACTTTGACGTTTTATAGATTGCTGGGTTTGATTGCCAAATAAAAATCTTAATGTTATTTCCGTTTTTCGCCACGCCCATTCTCTTTCCGCACAGACTCTATACTTATTATGAAGATACCCACCGTGTCCATGTAAATGGGTCCACACAGTAGACGGTCTCCTCTGTAAGCAAACTCCGCCCAGAGCGCATAGAAAGGAGGTTATGTTGGCCCATTCTTGAATTTGCATCTATGAACCAGAATAATAACAATAATATTATTTATTTTAAAACAAAATTACAATGAGGGCTACCGTTTTCTGCCTCACCAGATGGCGCCACTGTTGAGTGAGGTCCTAAATTGTAACTTTTAAAGTTTATTAATACGCACATGAAATCAAAGGTTACATTTAGATGGTATTTTAACACAAAAGAACCATATCCTAAACATAATAGGCCATGCCACAGTGACGCGCAGTTCCGTTTTATTCGGAAAAAATGGGAACTTAATCATTTTTCTAAGCTCAAATTTTTAATAACTGACATTCATTGCCACATTACTCATATTTGCCATAATTAAGCCGAATCGTTACCAATTATTCACAACATTATTTTAATAAGAAATAAACCCGCGTAGTCAACCAACAAGCAATAACATTTGACATTTCGGAGACCTCACGCTACACTAGCGCCTCTAGCGGCGGATTCATACGCGATAGCCCTTATTAAAGATGCATGCAATGAGATATGCCATGATGTTGACAACTTTCATGCTCCACTTAAAGACCTCAAAAATTATTTGTATGGTAACGTTCAAATTGAACAGAAATTGAATACTGTTACAAATATAAGTACCTACCTAATAGTCAATGTTATACATACCTGCAGTGGCAATTCACACGGTTGAGTACTACTTGCTACATCTTAAAATCTTTATTGAAATTGGTGAAATTGTCGATGGTATGTCAAATAAATAAATAAATAATTTTAGATTTTCGGGGCTGTGCAGGCCTAATGGAACTGTAGTCACTGCGACCTAAAAGATCTATTGTAACTCGCCACCAAGTTAAAGTACTCTTTTAGCCTGACAGCTTCCAAAAAGCTCAAAGACACACACAAATTTACAACAATTTCACCCTACAAATATTACTGATTAATGATCACACGAAAATCGCTGATCGGATTTGGATGAAATTTTTACACATATAGTTTGAATGAGACTATTTTTGCCCCGGAAAATGTTAGGACCATGTCACGGGCGGTTGCTAGTCTTTGATAATGTCCAAAAAATTACATTGAATTCTAGATAGGTGTCGAAATTACACAATAATCCCCCCGTTGCTTAAAAAATCAAATTTAATAATAAGAATAATAGATTCACCAGCAACTTGCTGTTCAATACAACCTTGTAGAATCCGAGGTGCCGTACTATAAGTACACACCGGCGCCAGTTCTTGAAAATGGTCATGCAACGCTCTATTGGACAGGACTATTATTGCCAATAGGCCTGATATCGTATTGACAGATCGATTGAAACGCCAGGCAGTGCTCATCGATATCACCATCCCGCATGACGAGAACCTCGTGAAGGCCGCGAAGGACTAGCTCAGCAAGTACCTGGACTTGGCCCACGAGGTAACCGCTTTGTGGGATGTGGATTCGACGATCATTGTCCCTATAGTCGTTAGCGTAAACGGTCTCATAGCGAAGAGTCTTGACCAACATCTAAAGATCCTCTCGCTAGATGGTTGGGTCAAGGGGCAGATGCAAAAGGCAGTACTCCTAGACACGGCGCGCATCGTCAGGCGGTTTCTTTCTCTGCGACCCTAACCACCGGTAGCTTGGGCCTCGCTCCGCTGCTGGTGGCCTTCTAGGTTAGGTTTTTTATACTATATTTATTTTTGTATTTACGTGTTTGTATTTTACTTTTATATCTATTTTATAAAAAACCTAACTTGTGAAATTAAATAAATGAGAGAATAAGAATAATAGTAATAATTTGAATGCTATTTATTATATTTATTTCAAATCAATAAAAACATCTAACCTCCGTGAGTTTTTCCAAAAAGTAATGCAGGTTTAACTCGCATTTTGATATTGAATTAAATAGAATTACTAAAAAAAAACTTTCATAAAACTAATCTACCATCATTGAACTACTGAAATATGTAGATATTTTTATAATTAATTCATTAATAGTTATTTTATAAGACACGAAACATCACCCGTAAAATGCAATATATACTAATTCAAATCTACCTACGCGCCGATCAGTACGGCAGCGGCGCAATTTTGTAAAAGAGCTCTTAAGTACAATCTGATATTTGAGTCACGCCCACACTGCGCATAACATGAGCCGTTTTCTTTGAGTGATTTATTTTGATAGGTCTATATAGCTTGACCGCCGTAAACTAGATCTTCCCGGTGTGCACGGGTATCTCAAGATTTAAATTTAAAGAAAATTTTACTAGAAAAAATTCCACTCGTACTACTAAAAAAACAAAATTTTCATTATATTTAAACATCTAGCAGTTAAATATTTAAAAAATATAACTATCTCGCGATCAATAAATCTTGATAATAATAAATAATCAAAGAACATAACGCACGCTTAAAGAAATACTGACCTATTAGTACTTAGTTCAACTTTGAATAACGTACAATATTAAGGTGTTTGCACATTTTTTTGTTTACTAGGTATGTGTTTAATTTTAAAGTAAGGTGTTAATGACAGCGATATTAATGAAGCTATGTGAATAGAATAATATAGATGGCTTTAGGACAACTTTTTGTCTGTATGTCTTAAGTACTAATACGTCTTATTCCTTTAAGCGTGCGAATTAAGCTTACATGGAATGGCATAAATGGACCCAATCCGGAAAAATAAAAGCTGCAATAAAACCAACTCACATCAAAATCATGTTCACTGCTCGTGTGATGAGAGACCCTCCTCTTCGCCACGGCTCGATGTATGGCCTCCATTTGGCAATCATCGACTTTATCACCTTGCCCTTTGGGGTATTTCTGGAGGATTTTGCATAGGGAATCCCTGTAAAGAATTTTATATATGTACTAGCTGTCCCAGCGAACTTCGTACCGCCATAAAAGAATAGGGGTCGGTGGTAGAAGGGTGAAAATTTAGGGTTCTACGTATTTTTCTATGATGTACCATAAAAAAACACAAAAAATATTGTCCAAAAAAAAATTAAGAGTGGACGACTCTTAACATTTAGGGGGATGAAAAATAGATGTTGCCCGATTCTCAGACCTACTGAATGTGTAAATAAAATTTCACGAAAATCGGTCGAGCCCTTTCGGAGTAGTTCAATTACGCACACCGTGACACGAGAATTTTATATATTTAGATAGGTAAACGATAAAACAGGGAGTAAAAAACAGCCCTTGCTGAGTTTCTTGCCGGTTCTTCTCAGTACAAGGTCTCCTGCCCGCCGTAGATTTACGAACCGGTGGCGTAGCTTCTAGACATTCATATGTGCTTGTAACAGCCTAAACTGAATAAATGATTTTGATTATGATTATTGTAATAAATAACATATACCTACACAAATATAAACATATTAGATATACACATACATATTGTAAATTATTATATATTTATAGATACAGCAGACTAGGATCTAAGTAGGAGAAAATCATGAAGAATATTAAGAAAAAAAATGTTTTTACAAAGTAGGAATATTGCTACGTACTCTATCTACTGTATGAACACATCCTACTTGTATGAACTTATCTATCGCCGGAATAATAATAACTTAATATTGTTATTACCAACGCAAAAGAAAAAAAAAGAGCGCGAAGCATTTGAAAACCTCAGGCGGTTAGAAATAACAAAATGAAATCGTAAGCGATAGCGTTTTCCAAAGCATTTCCGTTAGGCGAATATTCCCCCTGGTCTCATATACAAGCTCTCTTCATATTCAAATTCATTCGTATACAGACTCGAGATAATTTACCACCATACACAACTAGCTTTTCGTGTTTGGTAATTGAAAACTTGACATCAGTCTGTGAAAAGACGACCTCCATGTCATGGCCCAAATGAATGAATGAGGAGCTTAATGGCGGAGGTGGTTAGCGCTCGTTGAAGTTAAGCAACTTTCCCAGTGGTCGGTCATTGGATGGGTGATCAAAAATCTTCAATCTCGAGTTCCTTCGTGCATCGGAAGGCACGTTAAGCCGTTGTTCCCGGTTGCATCTGCAGTCGTTAGCACCCGCCAATCCGCACTGTGCCCGCGTGGTGGGTCATGGCCCAATCTCCCTATTCCATCCATAGGGAAGGCCTGTGCCCCAGCAGTGGGTACATTAATAGGCTGATGATGATGATGAAGTGCTATATTCACCAATTCCTGAAAGTCTCTTCCCATACTGGTTGAACGCCGTTGACGCAGTGCTCGATTTTCCGCAACAGGGCCATTATCCTCTTTTGTAAAGCCGCTGAACCTAATCAAAGACGAAAAATAGTTAATTTGAAGAAAGATTTTTCCCTCTCTTTATTTAAAGGACTTTTATCTTTACAGACATGTCAGGCCCATTGCGTACTTACATAAATTAACAAATCATCTAAGCCAATTAACGTAATATGTTATTGTCGGAAGTCGCGGCAGACATATAAAGCGATACAGGATTCTAGCCTCTTCCGAGACCGGTTTGGCCAGAATGCTGTGAAACACACCAATGTCTGACATATGAAAGAAGTATTATATTATTAAACAAATCCTAGCACGAACCAATATCGAATTCGTAACATTTGCAAGTCCGAAATGTCATTGTCAAATGTGTACTGATTTTTAGTTTTCTTTACGTACTTTGTGGTGCAGCTGTTCAAGTTTCCATACAAAATTTGACATTGACAATTCACATTCGCAAACTATTCAAATTCGATAATGGTTCGTGCTAGGATTTGTTTAATAATACACTTTATCTACAAACATATAGGAATATTCGAATTTCGAATATAATGACGGTTTTATAGAGACGGATTTTATAAACGCACATACATAAAATTAAAAACAGTTTTATTTTTATCCATCTTGTCACTGCACGTACCTGCGTGCCAAAGCTGATGCTTTGCGATACCTAGTACACACATATACAAACAAACATACATACACGACCAGAATGTTATATTTATCTATAATGTAATCAAGTCAAGTCATGGGTACAAATAGTTAACGTAGACACCTACATATATTAGTCAATGTGACAGTGCAATTAAACAATAGTAGCATATAGTATATATATATATATATATATATATATATATATATATATATTGTTCAAGCTAATTATAATGAAACAACTAATTTCAGATTGATTTTTATTTATTAAAAAATAAAAGTAGAATTCTCAGAATTCTTATAACAAAATGGCACACTTATTAAAATGAAACTAATCTAAAAAACCTTTGAAATGTTTTTATGAATGTGAAATTAAGTAAATGTAAGAGTTTTAAATGATAGAGTTGTTCTGATAGAGATGTATACGATTGAACTGTGCTTGATAGAGTTGTAACTAACAAAGTAGTTTCTTTTTCTTTAGAGAAATAATAAACATTGTCCATTACAACTCTATCGAGCACAGTTTAATTGTTTACATCTTTATCATAACAAATCTATCATTCTGAAAAATCAAAAAATGAATGAATGAATATTATGAACACATTATAATAGGAGGAGGAGCAATATACAAGTGAAAAGTGTCGCCGTCCGTAGTCGCGTAGGCGCCGGCCGCCAGCCGTAACCGTTGTCTGTTTGTATGTGTAATTTTATTTATTTATTTTTATGTTAAATAATGAAAACGTATTTATGACAATACTGCTAGCTGTATCGTAATAGTTATTTTAAACACATTTGCTCAATAAATGCATTTACGGAGGTTGTATACATTGTTCAAAAGTGCAAAATTACGGGCCACGCAACGGAGCGTGCGGTAAAACTTTTTACCGCACGCCCAAACATGGCGCCGTGGGTATGCTTTACAGTTTTTTTTAATTCCGGTCGTACCTACTTGCAGTGCCGTCTATGATCTATTGGAGGCCCTGGACATATTCGGATAATGGGGCCCCTATGACCCCCATTTGGTGATCTAACAGGAACTAGGTGGGCCCCTATCAATCGCGGGGCCCTGGGTACTTCCCCAAGGTGCCCACTGGGAAAGAGAGGTCTGCCTACTTGGAAACGCTTTTAATCAATACCCCTGCCTCACTTTAATACTAAAAAGAAAAAGAGACGAAAGATACAGTTCTAATTTTCACCTGCACGTAGCGCCATTTGGAAATGCGCGCCAATTTCTTAATAAAAAAAGATGCTTTATTAAATGTAATGTAATACCTAACGGGTATATGTACTGTTTTCTTGCAATGTGTTGACAAACGTTGTATGACATTCGTGCGTTATTGGTAAGTACAAACATTCGTCTACTCGTTTGTAATACTGCACCAACTTACCGGACTAATATTATATAGCAAACCAGTGAACCAAATGTTCACCAAAACCTGATTTAAAAAAAAAATGTATTTAATTAATTGAGAACTTCGGAGACTTTGTGTGGTTTCGTTTGAAATTCGTGATTTCTCGAAAACCGGAAGTGCTACGTCACTCAAATCCGGTTTGTAGTCTTATCAGACTATTCTTAACTTATAACTTAAACATTCTCTTTATCTATCTCTTACGGTTTAGCCGCTGAAACAGCACCACAGACAGACGGACGGACGGACGGACGGACTTGTCTAATAGATAAGAGATTATATATCATAATAGTTATTTATGATATTAGTGCGGTAAGTTGGTTATTCAAGGTCCAGTGCTTTCATTTCTAAATTATGCTATTCATTTAAAAACCCTTACTGTCCGACTGGTCCATCAATACACAGCTATCGCTGAACGATTTGTGCCGAAATCCAGCAAACAGGTACTATTACGAGGTAGGCATTTATATGAATGAACACGATTAGATACTTTTTTATTGAAATGTTCATAGAAATACTGAATATGTTGCAAAGAAAAAAGTACAAAACGTGTTTTACGCTTTTTCTTCGAAATTCTGTCTATTTCTTTGGGTCTTATTCAGAATCAACGTCTGTCAATATTATAGCTGTCATATTCAGGCTAAGAAAAGCGCCGATAGCTAGAAGGAGATAACAATATGTTTTTAATCTATTTCAATTATACTTACTGTGTATATTTTTATAGAAACATCCTCTGCCCATGTCTTGGGAAGCTGCTTGCAAGAAATATATTTAAAAGACATGAAAACAGAATATTTGCTTATGTAATTACTAATAGAAATTCACTGGACGGAACCGCATCATCTCATTAATTTGTGCAAATGAATAAAAAAAAAGTTCACAGGTGTCAGGTCGACGATATCAAATTAATCATTTGTATTTCTTTTTGCTTTTAAAATACTTTTTGCGAAATGTTAATCGGAGAAAGAGGAGGAAAGATTGGCCAACCAACAGCTTTTATCAAATGTAGCAAAGTCATGACGTGGTAAAAGGTTTCATAATTTTCAAGGTTGTGACTTTAATAAAGGTTGTTACTGATCCTATTTTCATAGAAACTATAAATATTCAGCCATTAGGCATTATATATTACAATTTCAATATTTGTACATTGATAGAGCTGTCGCTAATACAGAATTTTGTTTAAATTAAAAACCTTTAAAAGATTTTTAATAGGCTAACAATAGAATAAGTTATGAAGATTCTAAGTGTGGTGAAAGGAGCAAGACGAAAACAGGTAAAAGAGACGACAATACTTAGGCGTGACGTATAAGTACACAATCATGAAAAAGAGCCAGAACGGATTTGGATGAATCTGGATCGAGACATAAGCCTGATGATCGAGACACAAAAAACGTGTACATTGTAACAAAAAAATGTGGGATTCTCACGAAATTAACAGAAAAATATGACTAAGTTAGTTATAAATGAAATTGATAATGTAATTAAACTAACTGACCTGTTGTAAGCACAGTGGAAGTATGCGCTATCTCCTGGAACACTGCGTAGTTTGGCAATAGACAATGGGCGGTGATCTCGTCGGCTCCGCAGCGGATATCCGCTTCCTGACAGAGGAGGGCGAAGCAAGACATCCCCACCAACACGGCGTCAGTGTCGATCGACCATAGACACATGAAGAAGACCACCTGGTGGAATAATGAAAGGGGAGAATGAAGAAAATGGGCCAAGACAGTGACCGCTGCATATAGCATTTGTACTCCAGTCATGGATGTTTAAAATGTATTTCTATATAAATATACTTATATATGTACAGTATATCACGACACTGTCACTTATGCAAAAAAATCATTTTTCAGTAGAAGCGTTTAAAACTTTAACATCCCAAAACATACAATATTTAAAGTTTTTTTTTAATTTTTTTTTAAGATGAATAGCTAAGCTGTGAGCTTTTCATCACGTAAAAATCTTTAAATATTGTATGTTTTGGGATATTAAAGTTTTAAACGCTCATCCTGAAAAAAAATGATTTTGGATAAGTGAGTGTCGCACCGGAGGTTTTTCTTTTATGTTATAGGTGGCATACGATCAGACGGCTCACCTGATGGTAAGTGATCACTGTCGCCCATGGACACTTGCAACACCAGGAGTATCACAAATGCGATGCCGGCCTTTAAGGAAGGAGTATGCTCTTTTTTTGAAGGTTTTTGGGTCGTATTGGTCCGGAAACACTGCTGGCGACAACATATTCCACAGTTTTGTCGTACGTGGTAAAAAAATTCGAAAAAAAACGCACGGTTGTGGATAGCCACGCATCAAGATGATGGGGATGAAATTTTTGTCGCGATGTACGATGGCGAAATGCAGCAGCTGGAATTAATCCGAACAATTCCTCAGAACACTCCCCGTGATAAATGCGATAGAAGATGCAGAGCGAAGCTACATCCCTTCGCAAAGCCAAAGGATCAAGCTGATCGGAAAGGTCCTGGTCGTCGACTATTCGAGCCGCTCGGCGCTGGATGCGATCCAAAGGGAGAAGCTGGTACTGGGGTGCCCCCGCCCAAAGATGAGAGCTGTACTCCATGTGAGGCCGAACCTGTGCCTTATAAAGCTGCAGTCGGTGGGCCGGTGTGAAGTACATTCTCGATCTATTGAGCACACCAAGCTTCTTAGAGGCCAATTTGGCCTTGCCCTCTAAATGATCCCGAAACTGCACGTCGCTCGATATGTCAACGCCAAGAATTCCAATACTAGCTGAGGTAGTTAGAGGAGTGTTCTCAAAGAGAGGAGATACGACAAATGGTATTTTTTTTGCAGTGAACGCGCATACTTGTCCCTATCACACGGTATTAGCCAATGTGTGACAGCAATATTTTTTTTCAAATACCAATATCTCAAATTTCTTTCAGCTCGCGTCCGCTCTTTATATAAGAGGAGCACGATGGGACAGGTGGAAAGCGCGTTCGGCCTGCGATCGTTGATGTTAAGCAATTTTCGTACTGGTCGGTCATTGGATGGGTGACCAAAAATCTTCAATCTCAGGATTGGGCCCGCGTGGTGGGTCACGGCCCAACGTCCCTATTCCATCCATAGGGAAGGCCTGTGCCCCAGCAGTGGGGACATTAATAGGCTGGTGATGATGATAATGATATAAGTATGAATTAAAAACTCACCTCCAGTTTGATATGCGCCTGTCTACATATGGGTATTTGTGAGCCAACGTTGGCATAGTCCTTGTGTTTGGCCAAAAACTCGTTCCTACAAGTCAATATGTCACGTAACCAACGTAAAACTTCTCGATAGTTGCCTATCTGACGTTGTATCAACTTCTGACTAATGTTGTAGAGGACTTGAGAGCTAGAAGAGAAAATTCCTTTAGACAAAACTTACAATAATATATTAAGTTATGTATTTAATTATATAAAACAGGTCGCATTTATTAGTACATTATTAACCAAGGAGATAAAGCAGTGTCTTCTGTCGCGGGTGACGATTTAAATCGCGAGCGTAACGAAGGACTCGAGGTTTACTCCCGAGCGTAGCGAGGGTGTTAAAAACTTAAATCACGAGCGAAGTGAGGGATTTAAGACGAGTCCTGAGTGTGTAGCGAGGGATTTAAGTTCACCCAAGACTAAGACAGTTTTATCACCAAGGAATATAAATACTCTACTTTTCGTACCAATTGTGAAAAAATTAACACAGTAATAATATGAGATAAGCATTTTTTAAAAATAATGACAATTAAAAGTAAAAGTTAACATTCGAAACATTGGTCCAATTAATACGGCCTCGTCGGTTTTCATAATTTTATTTAACAATCATAACTGCACAATGCATGCGTATTCATTTTTCAAAAAGATGTATAATGCTTTATATACAAACTCAATAGTGTAAACACAGATGTAGTTCAGTATAAATTTCGGTAAGTATTCCAAATTTAAATCACATTCTCCCCCTAGAGGATGAATGAAATTCAGTACAATTTTCTTTCCCTGTTTTTAACAGATTAAAAATGACTATTGTTATGTTCGCTTTTAGTGGCATAGAATGTCACTTTTTTGAGCAAGTGGTACGAAAAATAAATTTATATATGATTATTTATAATTTCGTGGTCACGAGACCCAAAAAAACTATACTGTATTGATTGACCTCGGTGTCCCACAGGGCTCACATCTCGGTCCGTTATTGTTTATCTTATTTTTTATCAAAGGGTGTCAGAAAACATGTCTTCGAAAACTCAACGAGTAATTCAGGATTTCGCTGTCTATTAGAAACTGCAGAGCGGTATTCACACGATCCATAAATGTTTACAACAAAACGTCATACACCAACACCTAAAGTGTAAAAAGTGCTCTCCTAACCCTTTAACTTAACAATTTTTACAAAAAATATGATATCAACTGAACGAACATAGAATACGGTAGCTAATAGTTGGAGAGCGCAAGCAGGGAGCAGCAGACATAAGAGGAGCAATCTTGCATCTTGTGAAGCACTCTATACGCTGTGACCCGCATAACATCACAGGTAAAAGGTTGAGGCTGAAAACCAGCACGGACCAGGATATACTTTGGCTTCGCTTACGCTGAGCTGGGTTGGTAGCTGGCTTACTCCACTAAATGGGGTTTTTTACATTTTTGGAAGCCTGTACACGCTCCCCGCGCTAGTGAAAAGGTATATATACATCATATAAACTTTTTTCTTTTTAGCACCTAACCTTCACAATCTAATAGGTCCCAACAACGCCTATTTAGAATCGCGGGCGCCTATAAACCGTTTTTACATGTATATGTTTAAGGCTCGTGTTACAGAATGACAACTAAGGCCCGTATTACAGAATGACAACTAAGTGTTGATCTTTACTTGAGTGCAGTTAGAAAGGGATGTCGCTATGTGCTATATATAGCGACATCCCTTTCTAACTATGCTCAAGACTAGATTAATCACTGAGAATCTTTCTATAATACGGGCCTAAGTGTTGATCTTTACTAGAGTACAGTTAGTAAGATTAATTGATAATTTCTTACATTATTGTCATTTAAAACAACGTTGTTTGAGAGGAATATTTTTAAAAAATATAAAGCAGAGGTTTCATTTGAAAGTAAGCAGTAAAATAAACTGTTTTTTTAATTAAACATGCGAGTTGAATATTTAGACACTATCAAGTAACATTACAAAAGAAACTCTCCATTGTGAATTTGGAGTTACCTGAAATTACAGAAATCGTTTCAATAAAAATAGGGAGCATCGTTATAAACAGTAAATGTACTGCTTCACCTTACAAAAATATTGATTTATAACGTTTACACATCATCCTATATACGGTGCACATTAGTTTAAAATATACATGTTGGCGGATGGCGTCTCACTCGCTCCTTCGAAACGTTAAACAACAAATGTCATCAGTCAGTGTATCATTGCCTTTTGAAACGTCAAGTAATGACAGTGACAGCTGTCATCACTTGGGAGTGGTCTATGCTAATGGTAGTATTTAAGGGACTATGATTCATTGGAAAGGGATGATCGCTTCAGATGAAGCTTGTAAGGCCCTTCTGGCCATAAGCATGATTAACGGGTGTTTTTTAGTCAGTAAGAGTCTGACATAACCCTACAGCCGGCTGTAGGGTATCTATGAGGATTTCTCACCCGCTGCCCTGCCTGGGAGGAATAATAAAAAAAAATTGGAAGGGGCATTCAGAATTCAGACGTGAGCCGCGATAGTGAACGGACATTAGCAGAGAACTCTCCGCGCTTCACAAAGCAATCCATTTGTATCCTTGTAATCATATCATATTTTGTAAAGTGATTTAAAGATTTAAATTAAACATTAGCTAGGTTATTAGACTACAGATTCATTTTCGAAAAATTACATCGAATACCCAAGATGACGGGTCAAGACGAACCACGTGGCCAACCGCCTATCCCGCTCGCCCATCCGACATACATTTGTTTAAATTACGTGGATCCTAAAATTATTTATTTTCTGAATGAATTTATGACAGCTAAAATTGTTAAGGTTTCATAATTGCACAATTCACAATTTCCTTTTTTCGAAAAGTGTCCACTTATTTGAGTTAAACTTTTCGAAAAAAATTGTTTGGCGGAATCAAACTTGATCGTTGTCTGAATTTGCTAATAAATTTTGGTAACTCAAAGTTCACGGTGTATCAGATTGATCAAAGTTCATAACAAGAAGGTCGAACCTTATAAAAGTTACCTAATATCCCAGAATGTGTTCAATGGCGCTTCCGGATTCCACATGGGCACTCTGTCGGGGCTGTGCAGCGCCAGTAAGGCGTCCATCGCCTGCTGAGATATCTCCCCCATGGCGGGCTGGTGCACCAGCGACACCAGGCCGTTCATCAGCTCCGTGCTCGACGACTGGATCTCTACGCCGGACCGCCCCGGGTTCTGTGACGCCACACCGAGAGAACGTGAGAGACTAGTTACGACAGCGGTGGATAGATGGTGCTATTTCCATTATCATCATCATCATCAGCCTATTAATGTCCCACCTGCTGGGGAACAGGCCTTCCCTATGAAAGGAATAGGGAGATTGGGCCATGACCCACCAAGCGGGCCCAGTGCGGATCGGCGGGTGCTAACGACTGTAGATGCAGCCGGGGCCAACGGCTTAACGTGCCTTCCGAAGCACGGAGGAGCTCGAGATGGTAATTTTTTGCTCACCCATCCAATGACCGACAACTGCGAAAGTTGCTTAATTTCAACGATCGCAGCAGAACGAGCTCCTCCGAGCTATTTCAATATGTCGATAATTTATAGACTCATGGACTAATAGCCATTTTACAAATAGTAAGCGCATCAGTGACTCGTTCCGCTAGCGCTCAATAGATGGCGCTATAAATTATGGATCTGTCTTATTAAACACTGCTAAAATTACATTGATTTTAATTATGTGCCCAAAACCAGCTTAGTATAGACAGAACACAGATGGGTCCTAAAACCCTAATGGCGACATTCTATTGAATATAGACTCATGGACTAATAGCCATTATACTAATTGTAAGCGCGTCAGTGTCTCGTTACGCCAGCGCTCGATAGATGGCGGTATAAATTATAGATCTGCCTTATTAAACACCGCTAAAATTACATTTCTTTGCCCGCGCACGTGTTCTCTCCTTCCTATAATCTGGAGTCCTTTAAGAGAGGCGTGAAGAAGCATTTCTGCAGGCCGGCAAGGTGAGGATGGTTGGTGTAGCCGTTTATAACTGCTGTACCAGCTATCTTCGCGTTTGGACTTTATCACCACTTAACATCAGGTGGGGTAGAATCATTTGCCTACCTGGCTATAAAATAATATTGAGTTTAATTGTGTGCCCAAAACCACCTAAATATAGACAGTACACAGATGGGTCTTAAAAAACCTAATAGCGACATTCTATTGAATATTATGGTGGCAAAAACAACACAGTTCATAGCATAGACACACGAGATATCTTTTAGTACCCAATAATGGATGGATCGTATCGCCTAGCTTATGGAAATTAAATAACTTAGTTCATTACAGAAAGAATGCTAGCAACTATATTAGGGAAAGAAAATCATTTATTTTCAAGTGTTTACTAGCTTAAAAGTAAACAGCTACTGTAGTCCCTATTTTCTACACGTTAAGAGTAGTTCGAGTTCGATCCACCACCATCATGAGACAGTACGGCCAGCATTATTGTTTCTAACGGACTAATACTTCCTCCGAATTGAAGTTAAGCAACTTTCGCAGTAGTCGGTCATTGGATGGGTGACCAAAAATTTACTATCTCGAGCTCTTCCGTGCTTCGGCAGGCACGTTAAGCCGTTGGTCCCGGTTGCATTTGCAGTCGTTAGCACCCACCAATTCGCACTGGGCCCGCGTGATGAGTCATGGACTAATTTTCCTATTCCATGTATAGGGAAGGCCTGTGTTCCAGCAGTGGGGCATTAATAGGTTGATGATGATGAAATTTATATAAAATTTTAACTTACACTCAACATAAGCATCGGGTCGGCGTGGATCAACTTCACCATACTCAACAGTAGGTTCCTGTAGGCCGGCATCTCTTCTGACTTATTGAACTTGGACTGGACTTCCTTGGATTTGAGCGAGAGAGAAATCATGCGCAGCGGAGTGTGCACTATGTAACCCTGAAAAGAGTATCAAAATAAAACTTTACTTCCGGACACATTTTTGGGCCCACTTATTACCGTTGAAACTTACATAAGTTTCAACGGTCTGTAGCAAAAAATATTATTAGTCGCTATGTGCTATATATAGCGACATCCCTTTCTAACTATGCTCAAGACCAAATCAATCACTGAGAATCTTTCTACGGGCCTTAGATTGTTGTCAACCATAAAATCAAGACCCAATCAAGACTCAAGACCCAATCGAAATCAAGACTCAAGACCAAATCAATCACTGAGAATCTTTCTACGGGCCTTAGATTGTTGTCAATCATAAAATACCATAAACGTAGATAAGGAGTTAACAGATGTGTGATATCATAAATAGGTAAATTAAACTAAACATCTGCTTTAATATTATCATAAATGACTATTAACAAATTTTACAGTCCTAGGCGAAAATGCCTTGGATATAACGTCAAATTGAAAGGTTCGTAAGTTCTTACCTACCCATTTCACGACAACAGGAATTGCGCTCTAAAACTTTTGTATTTATTAAGCTATTGCATAGCTTTTATCGCAGGCTTTGAGCGCGGCGACCAAATCATAAAAATTCGTAACGCAAATATGCATATGATACCAATTTTTGCCATTCCAGTATCGATCTAAACGGCGCAGTGTGTTAAGTTTTTGCCACGGGACCAACATTCTACGCATTACCGCGGTCGTCGGTTCAAATCTCGCACTCGTATTTTTTTTATTATAGTTTGCATTGCGAGAACATCGAAAGAAAAAAGATTGCATTTTCCAATATTTTTACGTACCATTCAGGACATCTTTTAGCTGATGATAAGAATGGGCGCAAGAAACTCATCGCAATTTGATCTAGACATACAAACTTACACTTTATAACATAGGTAGAACATTTATAGCCATTGAAGCCGCTGACTATGCACCTAAAATGTAAAGCTCACTATAAAACTTATTGTATATATCTGTATTATGTAACCAAAGGTGACTTCAGAATTATCTCTGAAGTCATTTTTCAACTTGACGACTCTGTATATTATTATAATAGGAAGAAAAAACAGTCCTTGCCGAGTTTCTTGCCGGTTCTTCTCAGTACAAGGTCTCCCGCCGTAGTTTTGCGAACCGATGGCGTAGCTTCTCGACCTTCACAAGTGCTTGTAACAGCCTAGACTGAATAAATAGATTTTTGATTTTATAAGTACCTGTGTAGCCTTGTTCAAGGTATCTGTGAACATGGCCCTTAGTTCAGCTGCTCTCGGGTACAACAGCTCGATTTGTGGCCACCAAGGCAACCGGGGCTGCTTTATAATCCTGTTCGACAAAAGACAAAGAAAGAGCGTTTATTCCCAGTCGCTGCGCGGGGATTTCCCCCGGAGACCAATGGGAATAAAATATATACATATATATATATATACAGGGCGTCCCACGGCTACCTCACATGGAGGGAAAGTATATTTAATATTGAAGATAGGATATTTTACCGAAAGAAGACATCATTTTATTTTTAATAATACCTAGAACTGCATTCACAGATTTTTTTAAATTGCCTGCTACAACTGGGAATCAAACTCGTGAAATTTCGAGAAAAAACAAGCCGACATATTTTATGATAACAATCGAAAGGGTTAATCATAAGGATTATTTTGTGCTAAATAATATAGCATTTTAAATGAAAGGAAAGTGATTAAATTTAACATTTTATGTAAAATTATTTAACACAAACTAATATAAAAACGAAACGGTGCAAGAAAAAAAAATAATCAAATGTTCAAAATGTCTGGACCAAATACGATTATTACGCCGGTTGTACATATTAGATGGCCGAGATCGCCAGATCTAACCCCACTGTACTTTTTTTTTTGTGGGGTTATGTAAAAGATGTAGTATACAAGAACCGGTACGACAGTGTACAGTAGTTACAAAATGAACATTCACCACGCAAAGAAAATGAAATCGCAGAAGGCAGAGAAATTATTAACAGAGTAAGAATTTGCATACAACAAATCACATTTTGTTGTGTGCAAATTCATTTATTGCGAACATTTGATAAATTATTATTTTTTTCTTGCGCCGTTTCGTTTTTATATTAGTTTGTGTTAAATAATTTTAAATAAAATGTTAAATTTAATCACTTTCCTTTCATTTAAAATGCTATGTTATTTAGCATAAAATAATCCTTATAATTAACCCTTTCGATGGTTATCATAAAATATGTCGTGTTTTTTTTCGAAATTTCACGAGTTTGATTCCCAGTTGTAGCAGGCAATTTAAAAAAATCTGTGAATGCATTTCTCGTTATTATTAAAAATAAAATGATGTCTTCTTTCAGTAAAATATCCTGTCTTCAATATTTAATATACTTTCCCTCCGTGTGAGGTAGCCGTGGGACGCCCTGTATATGTATATAAATGAATGAATGTGGAGCTCAATGGCGCAGGTGGTTAGCGCGTTCGGCTGCTCGTTGAAGTTAAGCAACTTTCGCAGTGATCGGTCATTGGATGGGTGACCAAAAATCTTATATCTCGAGTTCCTCCGTGCATCGGAAGGCACGTTAAGCCGTTGTTCCCGGTTGCATCGCAGTCGTTAGCACCCGCCCATCCGCACTAGGCCCGTGTGGTGGGTTATAGCTCAATCTCCCTATTCCATTCATAGGGAAAGCCAGTGCCTCAGCGGTGGGGACATTAATAGGCTGATGATGGTTGGGAGTGGAGGTGGAGGATTTATTCATTGATTCGCGGCTTATTATTCTAAGATGGAATCGGCAGAACTCTGAAGACATTTTTAATATCATTAAAATTTACCACATGCGGGTAACAGTTGGTTCTTCTGGAAAAACAGCCAGATTGTTAGAAATACATGTACTCGTAGATATATAGATTAAAGTTGATAATACTGTCACTACACATACATACCGCCAACATGATAACGGACATAGTTCTGAAATGAGAAGAAAACGCTCAATCAAGATGCAATCATCATGACTAGCGCAAGTCTACGTTACATTATTATGTACGACACAGAGTTCTTGTGCAGAAGTGTGTCCTCAAAAATACCTACCATGCTTGGGTAGGTTGTAAGTTAAGTTGATACGAAATCCAGTGACGTAACTTAAGTTCTTTGCCTGTAACGTAACCATGGTGCGATGCAGCGTTTGCACAGCGCCATCTATCGGTGGACCTGGACCGAATCTCTTATTTAGGGTGGCAGTTAAATTAACAAAGGGCAATGCCCACTTTGTATGGGAATTGGGCTTAACATGGACAGACATTTTAACAAGTAAAACTATAAAGGTGCTGCCTTAATTGTGACTTGGTCATCATCACTGGATCATAATCCGGGTTTTTTCTTCGTAATTGCAAGAAATTGATCTGAGGCACATTTTATTTCAGCATTGTCAACTCATATTGCCAGAGAAACAGTAAATTTATTGAGGCAGAGGCATTTAACGAGTTCCGATCTCAAGATTCAGGGATAAGACATGGTCTCAAAGATCATGACGTGATTTCATGAGAAGACATTTGATTTCAGCATTGTCAACTTTTTTTGGTCTATGTAAAATTACTGGTGTATCATATGCAAACAATCGAAGAACTGCCGAAGGCCTAATGTAAACATAAGAAGCGTGATCAAGGAGATAGAGGTGCCAATATGTCAAAAAGTGATGAAAATTGGACCTCTCGTATTCAGGCTACCATACCGAGCCAAGCTGATGATTAAAACGACGTCGTATTCCGCATAAAATGCCTTCTAAAAAGCAAATTTAATGTTATTTTAAACATTTTTTTTCAAAATTATAACGTTCTCGGTTCTTCTTGGAAAACCCTATATTAATAAGACTATCGACAGAAGCGATAATATAGTTTATGAAGCTTATTTCTATTAACATTTTCGAAAGCTTCTATTTGTTATTGCAGAAACTAATGAATGGCAGAAATTGTAAAAAAAAATATTTTACATAGTACTCTAGTGTGCGGAAAGAGAATGGGATATAGATTGGAGGGCGCTGTAGTGCTTTTCTACCTTATTTGTAAGGTTTTACCCCTTTTAGACATGATTAAATACAAAAAACCGCAACGAATCACAACAACAAACAAATCCGTATCAATACAAAACTCTGACGTTTTACAGATTGCTGAGTTTGATTGCCAAATAAAAATCTTAATGTTAGTTCCTTTTTTCGCCACGCCCATTCACTTTCCTCACAGACTCTATCAACCTCTGTGTGACGACGAAATCCTAAAAATTTTATTAGAATACTGCCACCAGCTCCCTTGCTTATATGCGTTATTGGATCCATGATAGTTCAGTAATTTTCTGTATCTAAAAAAGGCAACCGTTACTAACGCACAGCTCAATTTACTGAACGGTTTGCGCTGAAATTAGGCAGACATATAGCTATTATGATGTAGGTATACGCTCATAATAGATTTTTCAATACTCATCCCCGAATGGTATAAGAACAGTACCCCTAGCACGAACCAATATCGAATTCGTATCGTTTGCGAGTCCGAAATGTCATTGTCAAATGTGTACTGATTTTTAGTTCTCGTTACGTACTTTGTGCCGCTGCTGTTCAAGTTTCCATACAAAATTTGACATTGACATTTCGATTTGCAAACTATTCGAATTCGATAATGGTTCGTGTTAGGGGTACTGGGGTTCAAAGTTTGTATCGAGCACCAAGATCGCAATCCTCCAACTAAATAAAACCAAGTACTTTTGTAGAGTTTTATGTTTATTTTCTGAGTTTAACATTCACTCGAATTCAAACTAATGCGCGCGTAGCCGCGGGCAAAGGCCTAGTCATGATATAAAGATTGAAACGTCTCCCTCCAGCGCGCCTTGCATTTTTAACATATTAAGAAACGACATCTTTAACTCCGATGCCAGTTTAATATTATAATCGTTGAATGAATATTATAATAGTTAATTATCAAAATTATTTATTTTTTTAGTTATATTTTCAAGTCAGTTTGTTTTTTTATTTAGTTCATTATTCCTTATTATAGTTTAAGCTGCTTGAAAAGAAATTGTTTCCATTGTAACTTTGTATCTTAGTGTCCAAATTTTCGTAATGCTTGAACTGTTTCCGATGTAAAATAATGTATAATTAAGAAAAAATAAGAATTGCAATCGAAATTCTAGTTTTCTAAATTATTATGTACATAATTACCTAAACACACGTATTTAGAAGCCCGCATGAAATTTATGAATATTAAGCAATTCGAATAAGATCAAACGGGTCAATATGATATTCTCTGTTTTTTAAAGTCTTAAACGACTTCAAAAAAATATCAAAATTTTCATTGATGGTTAATATTTATTTATTTATACTATTTTCACCAACATAAGTAACAGCCGATTTTCGGTACAATCAAATCAAAAATTGCTTATAGTTAACTGCACTTACAATTTAAGATAGCCACAGCATGCGTTGATAAAAATACAACAAAATAAGCAAGCAGATAAATCCTCAGATCGCGGTCCGCTTCGTTCTGGGAGAGGCTCCGTGAAAGTGGGAACTCCATTCTCCGCAACATCCACGATGACGTGGACAATGTATTTTTTAAACATTGGAATAAATTACATCGTTTTGGAAATGACAGTCTGAAATAAACATTCAGCAAGTCCTATGTTATTTTTTAGGTAATTTTATAATATATACAGTTTTATTTTTATTTTTTATTATCAATTTTGTCAATTTTGTCATATGGGTCTTTTGCCTGAAATAAAGAAATTATTATTATTATTATAAATACGTAGAAAAAGGAACCGCCAACAACAAGCGTTTAAAGGGTGTCAGCTTTTTAATCAGGTTCATAAACTTAGAAAAGTCCTGAAATATATAATTTAATCTAGTACTTGCTAATAGATTGTCTTTCAAATATGTCATGTCATCAATATCGCTGTTAACCTATTATTATATTTTTATAATTTAACAATTAGCGCTTGGTCTAAAGTTAAGTAGGCTGCTGCTGAAAATCAGTGTCGTGGCACATATTGCCACGACATATACTGAGCAGTGACCTGTTTGGTACACAATCTTTATATAATACAATAAGTAATTTTGTAATTTGTGCCAAATAAACGTTTTTATTATTATTATTATCAATATAAATGGTAAAAACGACAGCGTCGAACGAAGAAAAATCTAGTAGTCTAAAGATCCCATCGCTCGATTCAGCTGCCGTCTGTTTTTTTGGTGGTGATGATGATGGTTTGATGATGGTTTTGATGAATGATTAATATGAGGATACAATTCATTACTGATAGGTTGCCTAAAAATAAATAATTACATAGTGGTTACTTTCTCTATGTTTCTATTTTGTATACATTGAACATGGTCTCATTGAGACCTTTCAAATGATACCTACATTGTAATAATTCTAAGACTTTTTTTATTGACATAAATAATTGACATTTTGTTGTTATTTCAATTTTAACAGTTTAGGTATCCTATGTTACCCGAGATAGTGAAAGGATTCTAACGATACCACACACATCTAAATCGGTTCAGGCGTTAAGACGTTATGGTGGAATAAAGAATTGTACATAATTATACACATACATAATGAACCCTGAATACATTACAATACTTGTTTTCTTTTTTTTTTGGGCAGTCATGTAAATCCATGCATATCCACGCATAAGAACTAATATTTGTTTTATTAAATATATCCATCTAATAGTTGGTCAAAGATTACCGATAGATGGCGCTGTGCGGTCGCTGCAACGCGTTATGGTTTCGTTACCGGCAGAGAACTTAACCTGCGTCACTCCTAAGCTTCTTTACACTTAACATCAGGCCTACTCTAATGGGGTAGGTATTTTTTGAAGACACATCTCTTATAGCAATAAGAACAGTGTGTCATATATTAAATAAAACTTTATTACATGTGCGGAAAATAGCACTCGCTCACTGTTGGAGCGCCGCTTGTAAAGCTATGGGATCGCAGATTCGTATAATAATTATATACGTTTGCTCTGTTTATTATTATTATGTTTATTAGATTTATTTTTCCTATTGTAAGTTAATGTAGAATATTTACAAATACTATTTTCCTTTTTTTGTACTGACCGTTGTACCGCAGGTAGTTTTGGGAAAAACAATAATATGCATAACTTTAAAGGCCTCAATCTCTCAATAATGTTCAATAAATTAGATCAAATTAATTACTACGACATCAGAAATATGTTTTTATTGTAACGTAATGTGTTAGAATCTTGATTTTCCATCTCATTCATTATTAAAAAAACATCTAACCTCAGTAAGTTTTTCCAAAAAAAATATGCAGGTTTACCTCGTCTTTGATACTGAATTAAATAGAATAACTATTAAAAACTTTCATAAAACTAATCTACAATCATTGAACTACTGAGATATGTACATATTTTTATACTAAGTTCATTAATTATTATTTTATAAGACTCGAAACATCACCCGTGAAATACAATATATACTAGTGCAAATCAATTTTGTTCAAATCAGCAATTTTGTAAAAGGGCTCTTAAAAAAACGGTGCGACTATTTGTTAATCCTGAATTTGGCCACAACATGGATTTTTTATCTCACTTCCGGTTATATTTTTAGAGCACAACCTTCGATAAACAATACCATTATACTAACAATAATACTATTATATTATTAAAGTGTGTGCGGAAAGAGAATGGGATTTAGATTGGAGGGCGCTGTAGTGCTTTTCTACCGTGTTAGTAAGACGTTACTTCGTACCAAATTTCAAGATTCTAAGTTCACGGGAAGTACCCTGTAGGTTTTGATTACCGTGCGAGTTTCGAAAATTTGCGGCATAAACGGCTGTATCTTTTGATTGATTGATTTGAAAGTAAAATTCATGTATTGCAATACAGACTGCAAGTCAAACTCTGAAAAGAAAGAATTCCGGTTCAGATTACCATTTTGAAAGTATATTTCAAAAGGAAAAAATCAAATATCATTACAACAAAATAGAATTTCAATGTATCCATGAACGTTTATTCCTTGATTGGCATAGTAAAGTTAAGTTACGCGTATCGTAATGTACTAATTCTACATGAGTGAAGTTGGTCAATTCATTTACACACCGTGCAGAAATAGGCAACTTAGGTCACGGAAAAGCGTGCGTAAAGTGCGGGTTTAGGTCACACTGTGCTATAAAATGCATTTTTTTTAAATAGATGTCGCTAGGTGCGCTTAAATGTGATTCATATAAGTTGATTTCTTTACAATAGATGTCGCTAAGTGCGTTTAAACGGGATTGATGTAAGTTGATTTTTCTGAGAGATAAACTTTTTTAATGTAATATAAATTGTCATGTTTGTGTACGATAGAGCAATAAATAAATATTGTATACTACCACATACATGATAGTACTTTTATACTGATAATTAAAGCAATTCGTGCAAAATTATTCCCTAACCATTCCAAAATATCAAAAATGCACAACGTTAATATTCAAGTTTTCTGCCGGCACTCCCGGAGTGCAACCCGTCGTTTTTTTTTTACTCACCTTAGAAGCGAATGCACTATAGCGCAGTGGTAGGATATATGCGCATGAAGATGAAGGCACACCTTCAATGCGTCGTTGTTATGCGGCATTATGCGAAACAACGATACGAAGCAATCTGTCATCAACTCCAGTTCGGAATAGCCGGAGATTACGTTGCCACGGACGTGCGATTTAGCTGGATTGAAGAGTAGACTCTGCGACAGAAGGAATAAGGTTCAATTTTGGAATACAGAAATGCAGTGATTTTTTTTTTAAACTTTAATAGGGTATTTGACAAGTTTTAGAAAACGATCTCACGTTATTGACTAATGTTTATGGAGTCCGTAAAAAGTGGATATTCATCATTCTGTTGTGTATTTCAGTAAAAATAACCAAATCAAAAACTCCATTTTCAATTTGCCGCGAAAACGTTTCTCTGGACAATATGGCGTCTTACTAGTGTGTGACGTCAAACGACTGTTACTAAAACGTCAAACGATACAATGTAATGTCACTTTAACCGGAAGTTTACTTGCGTGTGACGTCATTTTAGGCTCCGCCAATCCCAAGCGTTTTGGGTCACGTGACAATAGATAAGAAAACAATGCTCTTTTTCGTGGGTTTTTAGTAAATTCGGATATTTTTTTTGAAGTTATACTTCTTTAGGCGCGTTATGAAAAAATGATGAGAGTGAAATTTTTAGATGCGCGCGCATCACTGTAACCCAAAAGTAACAGCATGAAATTGGCCGCGGGCGCGTTATGAAAAAATCATGTGAGTGAAATTTCGAGATGCGCGCGCATCACTGTAACACAATAGTAACACCATGAAGTTGGCCGCGGGCGCGTTATGAATGTTAGTGTCTAATAATGGTGGATTATTAACCACTAGTGGAACACTTAGTGGTTAATAATCCACCACTATTAGACATCTGTTCGAAAGGTACTTTGAACGATCCACGGAGCTCCATAAGATGATCGCGTTGTCAAAAACAATGTTGGCACTCTCGTCGCCTCTGATCACTGTTTTCATATTTATAATATTTATCCACATGTTTCTAGTTTCTATATAGACACAACGTGTTTTAGTTACTTACAAGTGCTAATTACATATGGACTAATAACTTAAATTCAGTAGTGATTTTAATTGAATATTTTGAATATTTATTTAATTTTTCAAATTAAAACTGAACTTAATTGACTGTGTTAACTATCCTTTTCCAGTCCTTTTATTATTTTATTGTAATTATTAATTATTTGCATGCAATTAAAAAATATTTTTAATGATGCTAAAGAAGTATAATTTTTCACGCGCGTACATAAGTTACACGCATCCATTTTTTTGTAAAAATAGTAAAAACCCCTGCCAATATTCATTCTAAACACAGTTGGTAACAATTGGCACTTTATTTTTAATACTGTCAGATACCCTATTAAAACAAGTTTCAACGGGTTAGATGCACTGATTTTATTCAGTCATTATTCTGACGACGCATTCCTGCAAAGGATGCGAAACTTCAATAATAGTCAATATCAAAATTCATTTATTCAGTCCAGGCTATTACAAGCTCTTGTGAAGGTCAAGAAGCTACTCCATCGGTTCGTAAATCTACCGCGGGAGACCTTGTACTGAGAAGAATCGGCAAGAAACTCAGCCAGGGCCGTTTTTTCTCCCTGTTTTATTATTTACAGAGACGTCAAGTTGGAACCAGAATCCAGGGTGTCAGCTTACTCCACACCAAATTTTATTAAAATCGCTCCAGCCATTTAGACGTGAAGAAGTAACAAACATACACCCTCGCACACTCACAAACTTTCGCCTTTATAATATTAATGTGATTATCAAGTTTATCATTTTATCAGTATCTTAGGTTCGGGACATCCCGAACATAATATAGACATTTTTAACACCTTAATTTCTTTTGCGCCACCCTGTATTAAGTTACCTTCAAATCGTTGATGACAGACTTGACAAGCACGAACGTCACGTTGCCAGAATCGGCTATGTTCAGGTAAGTGGACGCTTTACATAACTTCACGCAGGTTACTACCGCTGCTTCCGTCATCTGCTTAGAATTGTTCTGGGGACCTGATTTAAATAAAAAAAAACATAAGAAAAGAGGAGTTTTTTTTACTTTTTTAAGCACTTAACTGCTAAATGTTTAAGTCTAAAGAAAATTTTGACTAGAAAAAATTCCACACAGGGCCAGGCAGCAGACGGGATTCGAACCCACCCTCCGCTATCCGGGCGGATACACTGACCATTATGCTACCGCGACCCTGATGGCCGCATCGAATTTTCTCTATTATTTCTTAGGCTGCAAAGCAGCGCCATCTCTTCGCATTGTAGGTAACTAACAACGTCAAATGAATGCCCTTACAAGTCTCAAATAAATATTTGAAAGAAGAAATAGCAATTAAAGTTCCATATTTTATTTTTAAGCATTTAACTGTAGCGATATTTTATAATTTTCTTTAGATTTAATGAGTCTGAAACTTATGTTAGTAATTTGCTTTTTCAATAACTTTTTAAATACATCTATTAACTGGCTTTGCGGGTGAAGTTAATTTTTACGTGATACAATACAGCCTTTGTTACTAGAGGTGACAATGTAACATTCCAATGATGAGAAGAGCTTTAAAAATCAGTGCAATAGTATTAGAAATTCATTCGATATACAATAAAAATACAAAACTTTCCTCTTTAACATTGTGACGGCGACATCTACATGCCACACAAATAACCAACATTGAGGAATTGATCACTCGCCTCCTCAAGAGATGGCGCTACCGGCGCTGCACTCAAATAGTATGGAACCTACATCGCGCAAGTGAAATTCGGCGGCCAACAGTTCATATATGCAATGCCGGACCGAGATCAGTCGTCCCCCTCAGGTTGGAGTGGTCTAGAGGCTCCAAACGGAGAGGAGACTCCCCCCGTAGGGAGATGCCATCCGCCTGGAATACCTCTAGAGGCACTCGCCAATTCTCGGCTTGAGGTCCCCTTAGGAATCTCGTCGTCCCTAAACCCGGTGACGCTGTAGAGGTCATCTGCGACCAACAGCATTACACACACAAAAAAAAAGACCTGTTTGGCTCGGAGGAAGATCTTCCCCCCCTGACGTGGCCAAAGCACAAACTGTGCGAGCCATTATAAAAAAAAAAGATACTACAATATATTAGTGTAGATTTATAATAGGATGTAAAATGGAACTTACTAAGTCCCCTTTTCACAGAATCTATGAACAGTTTCTTCTTTGTGTGCCGCGGACTGCACGGTGCCCCACTGTCGGCGTTCACGATTTCTTCTAGAACTTTCTGTACCGTACACAGAACAATAATTAAAGCTAAGTACTTTCTGAAATTATCACTGCATAAAATAAATAAATATTTCCAAGACTCACACCAATTAGCCTAGCCCCAAAGTAAGCACTGTAGGCTTGTGTTATGGGATCCTAGGGTAATCTTATATATAAAATTCTCGTGTCACAATGTTGGTTACCATACTCTCCCGAAACAGCTTGACCGATTTTTATGAAATTATATATGCACATTCAGTAGGTCTGAGAATCGGCTACTATCTATTTTTCATACCCCGTAAGTGATAAGGGTTGTGCCTCTAACATTTATATTTATTTTTTGGAAAAAAATTTTGTTTTTTTATAATATGACATTAAAAATACTTAGAACCATTAGGGTTGAAAATTAAGTTTCAACCCTTCTACGGCCAAAGTAGGGGACTTTTATGGCGGTACGAAATTCGCTTGGTCAGCTAGTATTTATATAGAAATACATGTTAAACGCTTGTACTCAACACAAAAACATCTGCCCCCACCGGGATTCGAATCCGGAACCTCTCGAGTCGGGGACACCACCATGAAACCCGGCGTACAAACCATTGGGCCACGAAGATCGTCAGATAGATAAGAATATGACGACCTCCTTGGCCGAGTGGTTTGTACGCGCCGGGTTTCATGGTGTCGCCGACTCGAGAGGTCCCGGGTTCGAACCCCGGTGGGGGCAGATGTTTGTGTGATGAATACAAGCATTTGTACTCCAGTCTAGTTTAGTATGTATTTCTATATAAATATACTTATATATACATGTACAGTTTAAGTATTCTATCCGTTACCCTAGTATCCCATAACACAAGCCTTATAATGCTTAGCTTGGGGCTAGGCTAATTGGTGTGTGTTGTAAAAAAAAACTCACCGGATTAAGCACCAACAGCATGATCTGCAGCGGCCACATCGCTACCCTGGACTTCTTGTTGTCGGAGAAGCTGTCCTGCAGTATATCGAACAATGTGTCGCAACACTTGCTGAGCTCCTCGTTAGGGCGGCATTGGACTTCCGCGAATTCCTTAACAAAAGATGCAGAACAATGTCTTTTTGAGCCCCCTTTAGGGGAAACTTTAGAGCAGGTGCACATTGGTATCGATTCTGACACGATTCTCTAAACTTAAAACTAAATTTAACATCAGTCTCTCCTTTTCATTCTGTATGGAGAATGACAAGGATACACTGTTGTCAAATTTACGTTTAGGTTTAGAGAATCATGCCAGAATCGACACCATTGAGTCACTAAAGCAACGATAATAAATCTAGGGTATTTACAACAACACGAACAAAATCGTGGCCGAAACCTGTCCAAAAGGTACGGTGGACGATCCACGCAGCTCTGTAAGATATACGCGTTCACAAATCAATTTAAAAAAATATTTTAACATTAAAAGTCACCTTTTATACATACCGTATAAAGTCTTTATTAAAACACATGCGTCAAATAGTTATGACAGTTTGAAATGCAAGCTCGTCAATTTTACGACTCATTGCTATATGCGGAAGAATATTAACCTTATTTCTTTGACTTAACGCGCAATTCTGAATAAAACAACACTTTACGTACTATAAGTATTTATTTCGCATTTTTTCACAGAGCTCTACGGTATGTTGACTTTTTAACGGTCCGCGCTTGACAAGCACAAGCACACAAATGTGTCGTTTTATCGACAGAATCAATGTTTGTTAATTTAATGCATTTGTAGCAATTTTGTTCTAATACTTACTATAAACTGATTTGATATAAAATATTTGTGATATTTATATTCATGGTCGGTTATACGTCGATGTATAGCCGTGCATGAAAGTATTAAGTACATTTATATAAGGTTAAAAAAGTAATAAGCAAAGCTGGGCGTATCACTAAAAGAGATCTCTTCTAGCTAAAAACAAAAAGCATGAAAACTATTGTACCTATGTAGTTAATGAAAAATGGTTCTTATTACCTGGGGATAAGTGTCCATCCAGTTCCATATAGCTTTCTCTAAAGACATAACTAAAACTATGTGTGCTGATTTCCTTAACAATTTAAACTTCTGTATAGATTCTGTAAAAATGACAAAAAAATATATGAGTTCATTGTTTATCTGCCGAAATTTAGTCTACACATGCGCCCCTAGCGTGTGCACTACAATAGGGGTGATGACGGGGTACAGTAAACGAAATTCTATTTAGTCCGTCAGTTAGATGATCAAAAAATAATGAACACATATTTTTTCTTTGGGCAATCAACCAAAAAATGACAAAGATCTCGGGACGTCACTTTTGAGTGAATTTCCACTTATAAGTGTACTCAAACGTGACGTCATGCGACTTTTCAAATCAATATATCATTGTAATGTTTATTTTATGTGAAAAAAGAAAAAAAACGTGTCCAATACTTTTTGATAATCTACCTGATAAACGAAGAAAAAAAAAATTAGTCATCATCCCTATTCACATTATATCACGTATTTATCACATCTTACTTTCAAACTCTTTATTTGACAATAAAGCGTGATAAAAATGCCTTATATATAAGGAGCTGGCAAACAAAACGGTATAATTACGCATCTGGTCAAACTATTTTTTGCAGTCCGGAGGTTTCGGGCCCGTTGAATTTGAATCTCTAATAATTTTCAATCAAAACCGCCTAAAACAGTGTTAAAATTACTAAATTTATAAATTAAAAACCATGATAAAAGCTCACTGTAGGTATGTCGTTCAGTTTTATACAGCTGCTGTAAAATTTAATTTTATGCAATTATGTATACCGTTTAGTTCGCCAGCTCCTTATATCACATCGTGGTGCTCATGCTAGGGGGGGAAGGAGGTCTTAAACGTAATTATATGAGCAGAAACTAAAGGCGACTAAACTCATTGTGGGTCGATTTTAGTTTGTCACTGATTAGTTTAGCGAGAGAATTTCTCAGAACTATATAAAATTAAAGCTCAGTAAGGGTTATGAGGAGCTCGATGGCGCGGGTGGTTACCGCGTGAAACTGAGATCGTTGAAGTTAAGCAACTTTCGCAGTGGTCGGTCATTGGATGGGTGACGAAAAATCGATCAATCTATCTCGAGTTCCTCCGTGCTTCGGAAGGCACGTTAAGCCGTTGGTCCCGGTTGCATCTGCAGTCGTTAGCACCCGCCAATCAAATTAATGGTGGCAGATATCGTGACTAAATGTTTGAACCATGTGAAGCATGAGGGATTTGTAAATAAAATTCTTACTGCAAAAAATGCCTAGCAAGGATTAAGACGACGTGTTGTAAACCGTAATCTTGGCTGAACATTTTTTGATCACGTTCTGAATTTATTATACCGTTTTCTATGTCTGTTGTTTTTGTACGTCATTCCTGTTTATCTTATCAGTGTGTTTATATTCATTTCAATAAAGTGCTGTCTTCAGGCTAGTTTTTCTCTTATATCAAAGAATGCACTGACTATTATGCTACCGCGGTCCTAATGACCGTGTCGAATTTTTTCTAGTGTTTCTTAAGCCATCCCTTCGCATTGTGGGTAACCCACAATTGCGGGTTGGAGTCCCATCTGCTGTCTGACCTGCGTGGATTTTTTTCTTGTATTTTCTTTAGATTTAACCAATGCAGTTAAATTCTTAAAAAATAAAAATATACCACTATAACTACTTCACATTAAGGTCTAAATTAGCTTGTACTACACTCACCTGTTAACAAACGTATAAGCCTCAAGATATCAACATTGATGTGTTGTATTAACTCTATATCTGTATAGTCGGGGTTTTCTTCTGAGCTAGATGCGAGTTCCTGAAACACAGTCTTAATTTAGTTTTCTATCGATATTAGAGAAGCAGTTTTACCTACCACACCAGCCGTACCTCACGATTATGATCGATATCAAATTCACTATCGTTTATACAGTTAAAGCTGTTACAAGCACTTGTGAACGTAAAAAATTGACCAGCCTTCTTTTCCTCTTTCTTACAGAAGTGTAGCCAGTAGAATAACGAACTAAATTCACCAACGAAAGCTATACTTTTCTGTCATTGGCTGGATTGTAATGGTGTCGTTACTCCGACCAATGACAGCCTCCTCTCTCGAGTGATGCTCGAATAAAGGAAGAACTCCACTAACTCGGTTCCATGACTAAGAGCATACTTTTTGATGGAGTTGATTAAATTTCACTGTGCAGTAAACATTTTCTAGTTTTTTTAATGCATAATAGTCAAGGCGTTTGACCACAATCTCGCCTGATGGAAAGCGATGATGAGGCCTAGGATGGTACACGCCTGCCTAGAAGATGCCTGTTTACTCTAGCCTTGAAGATGTCATTTTTTCATGTCAGATTCCAGTTCTATGGAAATACGTGAAACTAAGCTGTATTTTCATCGTAACAAAGTTGAAATTCACCTGCAATCTCCCACTGATTCTGTTGAATACAGCATTGAAAAAGTTGAGACTAAGTGCGAATAGGACCTTACTGGATAACTGTCTTAGCACGGCATTGTTAACGGTACTCTCATTACGCATATCTGAAACAAATGATAAATTAAATTAATAAATATTTCTAACACTCATACCAATTAGCCTAGCCCCAAAGTAATCAATGTAATGCTTGTGCTATAGGATATTAGGATCGTCATCATCATCAACAGCCTATCTTAGTCCACTGCTGGACACAGGCCTCTCCAATTGCATGCCACTCAGATCGATCTTGGGCTGCTCGCATCCAGCTCCTGCCAGCAACCTTGAGCAAATCGTTACTCCATCGTGCCTGAGGACGTCCTACACTACGTTTGCCTAGACGCGGTCTCCACTCCAGAACTCGTCTACCTCAACGGTTATTAGGATAATAGATAGAAAAAGATAATATATTATTTCTGTAGAAATATAAGCAGCCATGTCTTAGGTAGAAATTCTCATATTCAGAGTAGGCAACACCTTGAAAACGAAGGATTTGATGTATCGATTTTTTGCAAAAATCTTAGGCATTTTGCGAAAACACGGAAAATTAGACAATCGAGTACGATCTCTCTCGGTGTGTGTTAGAGTATATGTAGAGTTAGGGGCGCCCTGCCCCAATCGATTGTCTGCCATCTGCCATCAAATTTTTTTTTATGTATATTTTTGTTTTTCTTTGTGTGTTAGTATGTCTCTCTTTCTCTCTTTGTGTGTGTGTGTGTGTATGTGTGGAGTTATAATAGGGGCAGGGCATTAGAAGATTGTATGTGTGTCCCTGTGTGTTTTTATCTCCTTCTCTTCGTTGCGTTTGTGCGAGTGTGAGTTCGACTTACCAATAAACTGGCAGACTTCCCTCAACAGTATCTTCACGTTCATAGCCTCGTCATATTTGGTGGTGTCTTTCGGTTGCGAACTGAGACATATCTCTAAGGTGTCCAAAACTATCACTAGACTGTCGTGGTAGCCCTTCTCCTGTTCCGTAGGCCGATTCACTCCGGACGAAGAGGTAATTGTGGGTTGGTACTGAAATAGTGAGCGTATGTTTAGCATACATCATCGCCAGTATACAGGGTGTGACAAAAGTCCGAAATAAAACTTTAGGGTTTGGTTGTGTTCCTTGTATAGAATTACCTACGAAAGTTTGACGCCTTTCAGACCACTTTTATTTTCTAATTAAATTAATAAAAATATCGTTTTACACCTGCCTATGACAACCCTATAAATGCGTACGATTACTACTACCTAAACAGACCCCCCTCTCCCCCACAGGCGCCCCTGCGCCCCGGTCAGATACCTACAAATTTTTATTTCGGAATACATAACTACAAATTTTATTTCGGAATTCTGTAACACCCTGTATAAGTGTCCCACTTCTGGGGCATAAGTCTTCCCTATGGATGTAAAACGGAGATGTTCTTTATAATGTTCAGTATCCTTGAATTTTATGCTGAATTAGGAGATGAAGAGGTGAGGGGAAAAATCTTGCAATGTTTTGAAACAAGTATAAAATATACCAATTCATTTATCCTCTGTAGTATTTTGGTGAGCCCAGAGATGACCAAAGAGAATCTGTGTCGGCTGATCTGGACGAGGCATGCTTTGCATTGCTCTTCGTTGATGCGCGAATGGAGGTTTTGTGCTCCAGTCTTGTATGGAAGCTGAGAAGAAAAACAAATATAAGATAATTATTTTATAAGATACTAGCGGACCCGACAGACGTTGTCCTGTCTAGTATGGTAGCGCCGTCTGTCGGATAAAATGTAAAACATTCCAAAATCAACAACTACTAATAAATTAAAAATTAATTAAAAAAACATTGTCCAGCGGACATAATTGTGAATCTAAACCATTCTCAGATCCCCTTGAACACACACAAAAAATTTCATCAAAATCGGTCCAGTCGTTTAAAAGAAGTTCAGTGACATACACACTCACAGAAGAATTATATATATAAAGATGTTTGAGTAAGTATAAGCTCTTGGACATGACATTATCATCATTAAGATATACTGAATAACTAACCGGTAACTTTTTCCTTCATTCCTATTCCTACACGAGCAAAGAAACTTGGTGACTCATTTCGTTGTCGTACTATTCGCAATTAGAACTCATTGCCCACGCACGTGTTCCCCCCTTCCTTCAATCAGGGGTCCTTTAAGAAGCGTGAAGAAGCATTTCTGCAGGCTGGCACGGTGAGGATGTTTGGTGTGGGAGTTTATAACGGCTGAACTAACTATCTTCGCGTCTGAACTTCATTACCACTTAACATCAGGTGGGTAGTCATTTGTCTACCTAGTTATAAAAAAAACTACAATGCGAAGAGATGGCGCTGCCGTGCAACCTAAGAAATACGAGAAGAACGTCGACACGGCCAGTTACGTCTACGCGGAATAATCGGTTAGTGCGTCCGCCCGGATAGCGGAAGCTGCGGGTTCGAATCCCGGCTGAAACTTGGACCCAATGATTTTTTTTCTAGTAATAAGTCTCCAGGGGTCAGAAATAACAAAATGAAATCGAAAGCGTTAGCATTTTCAAAAGCATTTCCGTTAGGGGAATGGCCCCCTGGTATACCTTTATGTAAGATTGGAAGAAAATTACCTGTCATTTAGTCTAAATTCTAAATTAAAAGAAAAACCATTTGCATGCTTGGAAGATCATAATATAAAGACATCCAAAGTGAGTTAGGATTCCATTTTGATTGACGAGGGGGAGGAGGGGGTAAATAATTGTAATAAATCTGCTTACGTAATACTTGAACAGCCCCCATTTAAAAACTTTATTTTTTTTTTATATGACAATTAAAAAATTTAAATTAAAGAAAACAACAAGAATGATATTTACTTATTTAACTTAGAGATGTTTTTTTACTAAAGATCTATAAATATCAATCAACCCAGGTCAACAAATCTGCCCAGGAATGAGAATAAATGGAAGTGCATCTCCAGTCAGACACTTGGACAGACTAGATTTTATGTTGTTTTTATCTATATAGCATAAATGTAGTTATATTTTTAGTTTTTAAACATTTAACTGCTTGACGTTTTAATCTAAAGACACTTAACACAAATGTACTTACAAATAGACAAAAAAACATACTGAATTAAATTCTAATGTTGGTTGACTTTAGACCTTATTTTTGTAACAGTTAGAAATCTTGGTACCATTTCTGTAGTGTAAATGTATGGTTCAGACCAAGAGTCAGAACATAAATTACATGACGTGGGCTTTGAAGAAAACTATAATCCTAAATGTATAGTAATACTATCAAGAGCAAAAGTTTGTGATGTTGTAAGGTTACCCATTATATCTCTGGATCAAATGAACTGATTTTGAAAATGTTTTTACCAATAGGATGTCACATTATTTGTAAGTGTCATAAGCTTAATTAAAATAGCAAAACAACAAATGAATCATTATATTAATTATACTTTTAAAACAAACTGGAAATATACACATACAGGTACATAGTTTATTAGCGGGATTGAAACATTACTTTTGGTTGAAAAAAAGATAAGTTCCTGTGAGATTCTCAAAAATAGCATAATAGTGAACTAAGGCAAGAACGAACCCTTGACTTAGTTCGCTACATACATAAATTTTTGTGTAACCGCAAATTTTAAGCAGGTTGATTATAATGAAACATACTTTTTATATGCTATTGTGAGCTTTAGTGATTTACCTATACAGAAATGTTAGCAAATTATAATTCCAATATCTAAAACTATTACATTTATAGAAAAAATATTAATGGAATAAAAAAAAAAATTTTCTTGTGTATCATATTAAAGTAAGTAATAATGATAAAAACAACATCTTAGAAATATTTTTAGATAAAAATGTTGCATTAAGATATAATCAAACATTACCAGTCTATATTAAAGACAAAAAGTTTTTTATGTGTAATTAATACAATATTTACGAATTGTCGCAGTTTATTTTGCGTGGGTGTTATTAAAGAATTGGTCAAAATGAGTTCGGTAGCCATGGCCCGGTAAGATTCTGTTCTGTACAGGCAGATCTTAAGGCCGATGCAATTAATATAAAAAAAGTTATTCTAATAAGAATAAATATTTCCATTAGGGTGGGTCTAAAAAATATTGTAAATAAATATAATAAGATATCCGCACCTGTTCTTCAAACCGAGCTATTAGCGAATTAGCCCATTCTCCTGGTTTCTGTGTTCCCATTGTGCGTATAAAATATTTTTTCTCAATAAACAAATTAAAAATTAAACTAAAAACAGAGTCTCAACTTCTTTCATTGATTGATTTTTAAAAACTACCACGTCGCTTTTTGACATATAGATGGTAGTAATTTTATATCACAATTAAGTTCAACAGTTATATAATCATTTCATTTATTTAATATAAATTGTTTAGTGAAAAACTGCACGTTTACATGTCCTAATTAATGGCCTGAGTGCCTTAATTTTATTGTGTAATGGTTTAAATCATTAATGTAATTATTCCAATATTGTAAGAAAAACTACCATTGAATATATTTTGCACAATGGTAACTTTTTGTCTTTCAAAACGTCAAAACAAATCAATAAAAAGTAAAGGAGCGTTCAAGAAGAAAAAAACATCCCCTTTCATATAGTACAGAGAAACTCAAGAAAGTAATGAATGGTGTCGATTCCAGCATGATTATTTAAACCTAAACTTAAATTTGGCAACTGTGTATCCTTGTCATACTCAATACAGAATGAAAATGAGAGAGTGATGTTAAATTTAGTTTAAAGTTTAATGCCTACCATTTTTCGCGCTAGTAATCCTCATTTCACTACTTAATCACTAGCACACAGCGCCCTCCTGTTAATATGATCTAAGTGCCACCTATAATATCTTGGCATGTTATCGAGGAGCTCGATGGCGCAAGTGGTTAGCGCGTTCGGCTGCGGTCGTTGAAGTTAAGCAACTTTCGCAGTGGTCGGTCATTGGATGGGTGACCAAAAATTAACTATCTCAAGCTCCTCCGTGCTTCGGAAGGCACGTTAAGCCGTTGGTCCCGGCTGCATCTGCAGTCGTTAGTACCCACCAATCCGCACTGGGCCCGCGTGGTGGGTCATGGCCCAATCTCCCTATTCCATCCATAGGGAAGGCCTGTGCCCCAGCAGTGGGGACATTAATAGGCTGATGATGATGATGATGTTATTTTAAGAATAGATAGGATCTACTAAAGGGTAGAAATATTGAACTCTTTCTTTTAAAGTAAGTTAAAAATATGAAATAAACCATATCAATAATTTTGAAAAAAAAAACGGATATGTACTATTCCCATGCAATAGAAGTGAAACCTTTCCAAAAATAAATAATAGCTTAATAAAAAATAAAAACACTATCTAAAATAACCGAGTTCAGGATCGAACCACCGATCATTTGGTGTCTAACCCAAGACTGTTAGGCTATCTGTCTCTTGCAGAGAGCTACAAAATTGCGGATATCTTATGTCAAATACTGTCGCTTTTTCATTTCATCGAGTTTGAAATTACAACGCTGCTAAAGAAGATTTTACTTCAAAAATTGGTTGTCCGTGAAGTTGGAAACATTGATAAAAAATTGCTTGCTAGCTCTGACGTCACACGAGAAGAGAGATAAATATGTAAAAGCCGATGTTTGGGCCGATGGTGCCTCTCTATCGCTTGTTCCGCGCTCTCGCTTTCACGCTCGGGCTCGAGTGGAATGTGACACTTTTTCGTGCGTGCAGCCAGTGTTTATTGTTTATCACATTAAAAAGATGTATAAACAGTCACGGAAATGATAAAACGGCAGGGTTTTGCTAAAATATTATAAAACGGAATATTTATTTAGCCTACTTGCTTGTGGAATATCTCTAGATAAATAAGCCCCTTGGGTGAATGCATATGCTATACTATTTAATAAAGCTTCACAAATTATCATGCTATCTTAATAAACATACTCTGAACGCACCAGTATCGCTGTCAATGTCAGTCAGTAAATGACAGAGCGTATTCCTGTCAAACAAACAAGTCGATTTTGTCGTCAGAGATTACATTTATGATTTCTAAGTAAAAGAAAGCCATTTACATATTTCCTAACAACAGGGAGCTAATCAAATTTAACTAATTAAACTCATTAGCAGAACAGGAAGGCACAAAAATGATGGTAAGTATTAGTTTTGTTTAAATCGAGGACTTCCGAGTGCCGGGGGGGCGTCACCACTCAAAATTTTATTTTTGTTGATAAATAATGACTTTATTTATGTTAGTCCTACTGTTTTATAAGTTTTAAATCAATAATGATTTAGTTAATCGCAATGCCACTTTCATCGATATACGGATTTTATACCGCGAAGGTTAAATTATCGTTTCCGTCGAAAAAACTCGTGACGTGGTTCAATTTAAGTATTCAATTAAAGCGTGAATTCATAACATTTGAATGTGTTAATGTAGTTTTATTATCAGGACAAAGCTTTTCGAAAGTACCTATAGAACTAAAGGCATATAATATTTATAAGGTTTCTGTTGTTATCTGTATACAGCATGAGATAGACATAATCCCCCATAAAATAAAATGTTGATTCAAGTTAAAAAGTTTAAAAATAATATTAACTTTTGTTTGCCAAAAAGGCGACAGAATCCTAGGTCCTTGTACTTGCACAAAGCCCTTCCACAGCATAAGTAGAGATAAAAACAATAAACAAGCCCCTTACCAAACAAACCTAGACAAGAAATTTTGGCCACAAACACCAGATATTGGCCAAATCTTGAGGGAGCTATCACTGAAGAAATCTAATCTAATCTAAGGAGACAGAGCATAATGTTTAAACCAAATCTTTATTCCTTGGGTTTTAATTAATGTAAATTTTATACCATATAGTGTAAAAATATTACTCTCTTAAATATACCTAGTAATCTTAGATTTTGTTGAATTAGGTACTGTTTGCACCTCTGTACTGAAATGAAATATAGTTGGTGTATGAATACGCATGTGTAGATTTCTAATTTTAATGCAATTTGAAAAGGGTACTCCTTTAAAGATCACCTGACCTCCTTATGATACTACAGTCATATTTTTTTTCTACTAAATTTAATTTAGTACAATTCAAAACAGCTGTCAATAAATTGAGTTATTAAATTATTTTGATTGATATTTTGTGGTAAGAGTATCTGATACCAGCCAAAATGTTTTCTTCAGTTCTCTTTCCTCTCTCTGTACATGAACAAATAAAATTTTGTTTAAGTATTTTTCATGCTTCGGAAGGCACGTTAAGCCGTTGGTCCCTTCTGCATCTGCAGTCGTTAGCAACCGCCAATCTGTACTGGGCCAGCGTGGTGAGTCATGGTCCAATCTCCCTATTCCATCCATAGGGAAGGCCTGTTCCCCATCAGTGGGAACATTAATAGGCTGATGATGATAATGATGATTTTCCATTTATTGATTTCATGTTTAATATTTATGAATCTAAACTACAATGGAATTATTCTACACCAAATCAGGGTATGGTTTATTGAGTTGCTGGGCCTCATATGATGGCATTTAACACTTGGTTGTTAGCTCCTTTTCAGAAACACGAAAAACATTACTTGAATTGAAGCACCTGAAGTAATATTAAACTGGAATATGGGCTGGAAGAGGGTATTGGGTATCTAAAACGAAAACTAACCAAATAAGGGCATGATTTCATCTGAATTCCATTGGTACTTGTATTTGGGCTTACAACTAAGCGTAACAGCGTATTGAAAAAAAAAAATTGATTAAAGTATTTTCTATATTATTGGCCCATGTATACTAAAATAGTATTTGCCAATTCTTGTTTCAGGACTGTGTGGAAGACACCAATCATGATCCCCTGTCTGTCCCCGCTCCTTCACCGGCCACGATTGACACTAAAGTTGCAAAGAAAAAACCAAGTGAGACAGTCTCGCTAGCTGATAACAGCTTATTGGTAAGTGAAACTTAAATACATTTGAAGAAATCAAACATTATTTTGGATTAGTTACAGAAGGTTGTTTATTATTATTATTATTATAAGATAGTTTGACATCAAATGATACCTGGGGCTTGATTAATAATTAAGGCTTTCATAGACTGCACAGATATGATAAGACATTACAAATATATCTGCAGATAACATCAGCCAATACAAAATGGCATAATATTTTACCGGCATGTAAATACAGAATGGATGCGCAAAGCCAGGGTCTGGGGTGAGACAGAATGGAATCGCCTTGACCGGTGGCGCTACTCGCTCGCTCTTTTATCCAATTTAGGCGTTGTACCCCAATTCTTCGCGTTTGAGTACTCATTTTATTTGAGCATGCATCAAATTCAAAATTAGAATAATCTTCTGATGAGCTGTCTAATAAAGCCAGAAGCAATAAACGCGTTTTTTCTGTAAAACGCAAACTCATTGTAACACTCTGTATAAACAATCCTTACCAAAAAAGATGGCTTCTTTGTCTGAAGGGTTTCGAGTGAATGTATCTTCTTGTATATTATCGTATGTGAGACTTTCAGATAATTAATTTTTTATACACAGATAAAATATTATCGTATCTGCGTAGAGTGTCAATCGTTTTACTCTTAATTTTTGCAACTCCTTTTAATGAATAGTTGAGAAAGTGATTAGTTTTGTCGCTTTGACACTTGTCTTCCTTTGAGGATAGTTTCAAAACTTTGTTGCAATAAGCTATTTGACAGTATAAAAATAATGTACCAATTGTTGGCATCTATATTTAATATGAGCAGAGATTTTACTATTCTGGAAGAACAAATAACTAATAACTTTTCTATAAAATCATTATATAGAAATGATTTTTCTTGCTCCATGGGCACGTGAGCGGAAACGCCTGGGATTGGCTAAGACAAAAATGACGTCACACGCTATTTATACTTCCGGCCAAAGTGAAATTACATCGTTTCGTTTGACGTTTTAATGACAGTCGTGTGACGTCATACACTGGTGAGGCGCAATAATGTCCAGAGTAACGTTTATGCGGCAAATTGAAAATGAAATTTTTTATTTAGTTTTTTACTGGATTACACAACAGAACTAAAAGTATCCACTTTTTATGGACTCCATAAACATTAGTAAATAACGTGAGATCGTTTTCTAAAACTTGTCAAATACCCAGTAAATCAATCAGGGTCTAATAAGCCCCTCTCCCACCCCTGCGTCTTATCGCCACGAAACTTCGTCCAAGAACGCTGTACACGTAGGTGTGGGAAGTCTTTAGCGGTTATCGTAACGAACTATTTGGTGAATGACGATAGCATCAAACGAGTTTTAGGGACGATATAATTTTTTGTGCAAGTGAAGAAGCATACAACTACGCTTTTTGTCGTTAACTTTAGCGCGATAAGTAGCCAAAATATTGTCGCGCAGGTGTGGCAGAAGAATAGGGTATTTGACAAGTTTTAGAAAACGACCTTATGTTTATAGAGTCCATAAAAAGTGGATATTCACCATTATGTTGTGTATTTCGTTAAAAAAACCAAATCCACTTACACTTCCACTTTGGGTATTATGGCTCCGTCGTTATGCACGATGATTCTGTCAATGACAGGGTTAAGAAAGGCACTGTTATATCGGTACTCTTCTTTGTACGGTGTGGTAGCCTGATTTCCTCGTGGAGCTATCGCGTGGAGTTGAGATTCTAGAATAGGACAACACATATAACATCATAAGCGGACATGTACCCAAGCGTACAAATTGTTAGTGTCTTTATTACTGTAGTAAAGCATTGGAATTGGATTGTAAGAGGTGACACGGCAAAGTATATAAATAGTTTGGACATCATAAGACAATGTTGTTAGCCTTTACAAACTTTCCTAGTACTTTAATAAAGGGTGAATTGACCTGCGTTAATAGGAACGGAATATTTACTGGTCTTGGGATATTTTTAGGTAATAGGTCATATAAATGTACCTGGATACGTATCCTTGGACAATATGGCGTTTACTTGCGTCTGACGTCATTTTAGGCTCCACCAATTCCAAGCCTTTTAGGTTACGTGACAATAGACAAGAAAACTAATATCTTTATCGTGGGTTTTTAGTAAAATTATGAATATTTTTTCTGTAAAAATAATAAAAACTCCTGACAATTGATTCCTCCTGAAAATTGTTAGCATCTGTATTTACAATGAATATTTCATTGTAAATACAGATGCTAACAATTTTATTGGCACTTTATTTTTAATACTGTCAAATACCCTATTTATCATTATTTTTTTCAGGTTGACATCTCGGATGCTTTAAGCGAAAAAGAAAAAGTGAAATTCACAGTTCACACTAAGACTACACTGCCGGAGTTCCAGAAGTCAGAGTTTGTTGTGGTACGGCAACACGAAGAGTTTGTGTGGCTCCATGACAGATACGAGGAGAATGAAGAGTATGCCGGTTATATTGTAAGTTTATTAATGCAATGATATTCATTTAATGCGACATTTCATGATGTCGACCTCCGTGGCCTAGTGGTTTGCACGCCGGGTTTCATGGTGTCGCCGACTCGAAAGGTCACGGGTTCGAATCCCGGTGGGGGCAGATGTTTGTGTGATGAATACGAGCATTTGTACTCCAGTCGTGGATGTTTAATATGTATTTCTATATAAATATACTTATCATCACCATCACCATCAGCCTATTGATGTCCCCACTGCTGGGGCACAAGCCTTCCCTATGGATGGAATAGGGAGATTGGACCATGACCCACCACGCGGGCCCAGTGCGGATTGGTGGGTACTAACGGCTGCAGATGCAGCCGGGACCAACGGCTTAACGTGCCTTGCGAAGCACGGAGGAGCTCGAGATAGTTAATTTTTGGTCACCCATCCAATGACCGACCACTGCAAAAGTTGTTTAATTTCAACGATCGCAGCTGAACGCGCTTACCACTTGCGCCAAATATACTTATATATGTACAGTATATGTATTTTATCCGTTACCTTAGTATCCCATAACACAAGCCTTTATATTGCTTACTTTGGGGCTAGGCTAATTAGAGCGTGTTAAAAAAAAATATTAATGATTCGCTCATCTTCATAATATGTATTACAAATCAAATGAATCCAAATAGGAATAAAAAAAATTACTTTAAGTTGAACAAATTTTGTCACAATATATAATTTGTTTGAATATACGTAATATGTGTACATAAAAGTATTTATATCGATATTAACCTAATTGCGCGATTACACTTTCTTCGTTAGCCCGAATACGAGTGCCAATATAATTCTGGTAAACGACTAAGTGTAAATGAACGGAGTCGAGTACGCCAGTTTTCAGGTAGATTTCCTTTAGTTTACCCGTTACCGTTTTCCAGCCCGTATTCCAGAGTAAATATGCTCTGGGGCACGGTAATAATATCATACAGTATTCTATCTTCATACAAACGGTCGGAAAGCGAGTCATACCTACGCCACTCGAGTTCGATGTGCTCTCGGCGTGCATCCAGTCGCGAATGCGCCGCCTCGCCGCAACGACGACCGAACGGTCTGAATTGTTTTTTATGCAGTTAGCCGTGCTTAAACATGCGTTTTGTATTGTAAATATTTGATTTAATTAAGTAGATACCTACATAATATAGTATGGAAAAGAACAAACGACGATCAATATCGTACAACAGCACAATTGCTGTTTTTGGTTGCTTGAACTCATCAATAACACACCCAGAGATATCATTTTTTAAATTACCTGAAATATTGGAAAGGTGTCTTACCTTTATAGAATATTTTTTATATACCTATCTACTAGTACGTTATTTGTTTCTAATATTTAGGTATTTCGGTTTTTCCATCGGGCAAAATATCTGGAATAATATATAAATAAGTGGTTAGGATGAAAAAGGAGACAAACGAGTAATCTACCTACACTCGCGTTAAAAACAAAACTACATAAAATACTGTAGGCTGGCGGCCCTACCGCGTGCCAACGCAGCGTTCGGTGTAGGCATTTATTTTCAAGGACAGGGCGGAGTCACAATACTGTATAGATAATATTACCGTGTCTGGGGGCCCGAATTCGAGTAATGTCTTTTGTACACCCGTATGTATATATTGACGACCTCCGTGGCCGAGTGGTTTGTACGGCGGGTTTCATGGTGTCGCCGACTCGAGAGGTCCCGGCTTCGAATCCCGGTGGGGGCAGATGTTTGTGTGATGAATACGAGCATTTGTACTCCAGTCATGGATGTTTAATATGTATTTCTATATAAATATACTTATATATATGTACAGTATATGTATTCTATCTCTTACCCTAGTATCACATAACACAAGCCTTTACAGTGCTTACTTTGGGGCTAGGCTAATTGGCTTATTTCCAACACTCACAGTGTTGGAAATATTTATTTATTTATATAAAACTCAAAGGTGACTGACTGACTGACATAGTGATCTATCAACGCACAGCCCAAACCACTGGACGGATTGGGCTGAAATTTGGCATGCAGGTAGATGTTATGACGTAGGCATCCGCTAAGAAAGGATTTTGATCAATTCTACCCCCAAGGAGATAAAATAGACCGAAGCGAAGCGAGGGCGGGTCACTAGTTACGGCATAAAATCAAGGATAGATCACTTGATTATAGCTATTGGACAAATAGGAAGTGACACCAGCTATTATGATGGATAAAGTTATGTTGTCCTGTAATTAATTATATTGTATTATAATTATACAAAACTATTGACCATAATAAGTGGTTTTCTGTCTCAAATGCTTTCAAGATGGACTTTACCAAGCTGTGTAATACAATTACATATTTATAATGTTCCAGAAACATTGTATTCACTACATTTTGACAATCATAATATTTTATTACTAACAACATTTTATTTTTTAGCTTAAGCTTAATCATCTTCTGATTATTATTAAAAAAAGTATAATTGAACTATAATATAAGGTGAGAGAGTTAAGTAATGCAATTTAAATATAAATATTTCTAACACACACACCAATTAGCCTAACCCAACGAGCCTTACAGTGCTTACTTTGAAGCACTGTAAGGCTCGTGTTATAGGATACGAGGGTAACGGATAGAATACATATATTGTACAGATATAAGTATATTTATATATTTACCCCCGGGACCTCTCGAGTTGGCGACACCTTGGTACCCTGCATAGAAACCACTCTGCCACGGAGGTCGTCAGTAAATAAAATAACACAAAATTTCTCCTAAAAAATGTCAGTGATAGCAGTTCTTAACCCCTTCACAATACAGTGCATTTTCCCAGATACCACCGGCGCCACCTAGGCCGGATTTCGACGCATCTCGGGAGAAACTGCAACGGTTGGGGGAAGGGGAAGGGGCTCTCACTCGAGAGGAGTTTCTCAAGATGAAGGAGGAATTGGAAGAGTGAGTATTATGTTTTCACAAAATCTTACCTACGTGTCGGGATGGGGTTCGAAATTATATGCCAGTTCACGCTTCATAGTTCTTTATTCAGCACACAGTTTGCACAGTTCTTTCTTAAACACAATACAACACTGACTGTACATTATACAAGTGATGTTTTTTTTAATCATTTAACTGCTACGTGTACGTATTTTTTACTAGAAAAAACATCTTTCGACTGTACAAGTCTTTAAATAACCGCACTTGAACACCTTACTTGCACTTTGATCGCCTTTGTTTAGTCCTAAATCGCTGTTAAAACTCAATTGACTCCTGCGTGGCGTCGAACGTGCATATATACGCCAATTGACCCAGTCTAAAAAAGTCCAGTTCAATTGAGAGTTAACTAGCACCCGCGAGTGAGTAGTACCAACTTATACATAGACTAGCGGCCCGCCCTCGCTTCGCTTCGGTGTAGAGCTGAAGTGTAGACTACAGTTTTTGTTCTTAGGCTTGTATTATACACAACGACATTCATCTATGATTCTTCTTATACCTGCATGCAAAGTCTCAGCCCGATCGGTTTAAAATTGACAAAGTTTCATACAAACTTTCATTCCCTATTTTATCCTCTTGGGGGTAGAATTGATCAAAATCCTTTCTTAGCGGATGCCTACGTCATAACATCTACCTGCATGCCAGTCACCTTTGAGTTTTATATATATAGATAACGATCATAAGTTGTAAACAAGTGCGGATGTCGACTTTCTGCCTTACGCCGCATTGCATAAGGCTCATATTAGAATAAACCGCACCACTCGACCTTTATCGCGATTATTCACGTCGTGACCCGCGGTGTTCTGGTAAAATCTGTCTACAGTATTTTAGAGGTTTTGGTCCTAGAGCGTTTGTGATAATATTCACGAAAAAATGTTAACTCATACCTACCTATGCACTTTTGCTCTTTTAAATATGGTTTTTAATATCGTATGATTTTTATTCCAGTGAATATCTAGCCACATTCAAGAAAACCGTAGCGATGCATGAAGTATTCCTGCAGCGATTGGCGGGCCATCCAGTGTTCAGAAACGATTCGCATCTACGCGTGTTCTTGGAGTACGAGCAGGATTTGTGCGCGAAGCCGCGCGGCAAAATGGACCTTATTGGAGGACTGGTGAGTTTCATTTTACTTAACAGTAACACTTGTGTACTTTCCTTCCTTCTTTCTGTTCTTTTTGTATTGTCCTTCTTATTTATTTATTTTACTGTTATCTTCTGGTCTGTGTAAATGGCAGATTTCTGCCAACGTCAAAAAACCCCTTTTTGTGGAGATGGCAGATTTCTGCCACAAGTTGAGAAAGTTATTTTCATATTTCATATTTTGCGCATTGTCATATTTAGTAAAGGTTGTTAATTTACATATCTAATAGATAGATATGTTTGTAGAGAAGCTATTCAAGGTTGATTTAAAACATAAATGAAGCCTGGATGTGCAGTAGAACTCGAATAATAAGAGTAAAATAGGCTGTAAAACCAAAAAGATTTTTCGGCCGAGAAAAACAAAATGGATGGCTAACACAGAAGGTTTGGAGCGCTATTTTGCTTAGTTGACGGGTTATGTTATGTTTTATTTTCTTTAATGTCCTGTGTAATGTACAACAATACAGATTATTTTTGTGTTTATTTAAAAGTAATACTTTGAAGTTGCAAGAGGAGCTGGATTGCGCGGGTGGTTAGCGCATTCGGCTGCGATCGTTGAAGTTAAGCAACTTTCGCATTGGATGGGTGACCAATGACCGACCACTGCGAAAGTTAAAGTTGAAGATACAAGTTGTGATGTTAATAAAATCGCTAAATCACTCATTTAAGAAAAATACCAACCATATTCTTCTTATTTGACGACCTCCGTGGCCGAGTGGTTTTTACGACGCTCGAGAGCTCCGGGGTTCGAATCCCGGTGGGGACAGATGTTTGTATGATGAATACGAGCATTTGTACTACAGTCACGGATGTTTAATATGTATTTCTATATAAGTATACTTATATGTACAGTATATGTATTCTATCCGTTACCCTAGCATCCCATAACACAAGCCTAATAGTGCTTACTTTGGGGCTAGGCTAATTGGTGTGAGTGTTGGAAAAATATTTATTATTATTTATTTATTATTTGTTTCTTAGGTTTTCAATTTTAATAATTCTTCTAGCCATTCTTAAGCTGCAAGGCAGCTCCATTTCTTCGCATTGTAGGTAACCCACAATCTTTCATACACATAGTCACAAGACTTTCATATACTTCTTATTAAAGCGCTTGTATGAGGAAACTAAAGCAATTATAGCTATTAACGGGATTGTTACCATGTACCTTGTTTTTATGAGTCTCCGATATTTCGGCAATGTTGAAAGCGCCATGATCACGGAGTAACTGAAGTAATAGGGTATTTGACAGTATTAAAAATAAAGTGCCAATTGTTAGCATCTGTGTTTAGAATGAATATTGGCAGGGGTTTTTACTATTTTTACAGAAAATAATATTCATAATTTTACTAAAAACCCACGAAAAAGATAATATTTTTCTTATCTATTGTCACGTGACCCAAAACGCTAGGGATTGGCGAAGCCTAAAATGACGTCACACGCAAGTAAACTTCCGGTTAAAGTGACATTACATTGTATCGTTTGACGTTTTAATAACAGTCGTATGACGCCACACACTAGTAAGACGCCATATTGTCCAGCGACACGTTTTCGCGGCAACTTGAAAATGGAGGTTTTGATTTGGTTATTTTTACTGAAATACACAACAGAATGATGAAAATCTTTATACGGCTTCCATAAACATTAGTCAATAACGTGAGATCATTTTCTAAAACTTGACAAATACCCTATTGCGGGTAGATGTTATTGGCAGACATATCGGTCTACCCTTATTTTATAAAATGATTGCCAAGTTTGTCATTATTAAATATGTTATATAATTATATAAATTAAAATAAAACGATATTTGTTATTTATTGAGATTACTTTATATTTAAAAAAATCAACGTATTAAGTAATAGATTACTGAACACAAAATATTAATAATTTGTAAATTATTTTAAATTCACTTAAAATAATTAGGGATTTTAATTTTTTTATGACAATTTAAAATTCTTTCAAGTAATATACATATTTAACACAAACATAAATGTTTATTGATTACCAATAAACAACAACAATGTACTTAACTCAATTACTTATATTAGATAATACTATAATTGTGAAAAATAAGTATTTGATTGCTATTTTTTTTACAGGAACTATTACTGTGGCATTTTGAGTTGCATTTTATATTCTTGGAGCGACACTTGCCCTTTTTTGCCATACAGTATCTTTTGCAGTGGTACATTATAAACCCTTGATGATCCAGATAACATAGATGCTGAGCGAAGTGTTAATGACGAAGTTGAGGTCACATCACAAATGTTAATAAAGTTGGTTTCAGAAAGTGTAAACTCATAAAGTCTTTCGAATGTACCTTCCTTTTTCCTAACTGGTAGAGACCTGATAGATTAATGCTCATAACAACACACAAAACATTCCTGGGTGCTGCACGTCCTCTATCAACTTACAACATGTCCGTCGTGATATGGTTAACTATAAGACAATGTCTTAAGACATAGTGCCTTAAGACAATGAATGCTCAGAACGCGTCATGGCTTTTCTTCATTGCCACAACGCGTTGAGATCGAATAGCATGTCAGTCACGACACGAATTTCGCTATTTGGTCTTTCTGTGATTGCCACAACGCGTCGTGCGCGTTTTCATGAGAGCCATAACACGAATTTCGCGATGTGGATGTTTTACCGTGACCACAACGCGTTGTGAGCTATTTTTCCGCTCACTGAGCGTTTTCGATCTTTGAGAGTAACATATATACATATTTTATATTGGTTGTTTACTTGTAAACACAACAATTATAAGTGTTGACGTCATTCATAATAATGATCTAACAAATATAATCTTAAGGATTGAATTTTAACTCATAATATTTATTACATATCAAATGAAATTAAATTAGATTGCCATTATTACATTAAACCAAGCAATGCTCAATTATTAAATTAGAATTTTATATTTAAATAATAATAATGCTGTAATGTTAGTGACCATCAAAGTTTAAAACAATATATAATTAAATCAATTTTATATTCTTTACACAGATGCGTTCAATGACAACAACCACAGACGAGATATACCTGGGGGCTACAGTTCGAGATGTGAACGATTTCTTCGAGCAGGAAACTTCTTTCCTACAGGAATATTACTCGCATCTGAAGGACGCTGTGGCCAAAGTTGACAGGATGACTTCCAAACATAAAGGTAAGGGACTAGGCTAACAATTTTTTTTATATATTTCCATTAATATTACCAATAATACGACTTTTGATAGATGTAAAATACTTTACTCAAATTGGACTTACAGTCCAACTCTTTGAAGCGTCCTAGTTTTTTCCCCAAACATTCGTTATTGAATTTTTTTTAGCTGCGGAGAAATATGAGCGATAAAAGCTCCACAGCATTAAAAGAATTCAGTCAAGTCAATCAATCAGCCACACACATCAAGTAACCCAAGATATATTTTTTTTTGTCAATCGTTAATTTAGAAAGTAGAATTTGTAAATTATAATCATTTAAATTTTAATTATTTATTTAATATAATACTGAAATGAAATATGAATGAAATACTAACATAAGTTAAGGAAATTGTTACTAACATATGAGGCCATGAGAACCATAGTGGCCGAACTCATTTTTTACAATATTGAGTTTATGATTTTTTCCAGTTCAAATTGTTCATTTTGATAGAACCAGAGTGGTCTAAAAGTGATACAACGAATATTCACTAGATGGCAGCATAATTACTGTTACGGTTTTTAGTCTGTGATCTAAATTTTAGGTGCCATACTGGCCTAAGTAAGATAAGCCACTATGGTTAAAAATATAGTTAGGCCACGTTAGATTCTCATAGCCTCATATATGAGACTATGTCTTGAAATAAAAGCATTTTGTTTTATTTTGATTTCATTATTTATTTTATTAAACGAAATTGAGATGTGTCTTGGTTGTCTCTACAGTGGTTTAGCTACATGTAAAAATATTATTTATTCTTCGCCCAAACAGATGTAGCAGACGCTCATATCAAGCTATCATCTTGTATCACACAATTGGCCACTCGGGAACAACCGCCAACCGAAAGATTCCTCACTAGGGCAGCGGAAACTTTCGATAAGTGTCGAGTAAGTCGATCGATTATTATAACGCTAGATTTCCATGCGTGAAAAAAAAAGGTTTCCCATACAAGCTCCCATCTCCCTTTTTACCCCCTTAAAATAAGATTTCTGAGATAAAAGCTATCCTATCCCCTATCCCGGGACTCAAACTTCATCGGGCCAAATTTCATCTAAATCTGTTTTGCCGTTTAAGCGTGAAGTAGTAACCTACAGATAGACTCGCACACACACAGTCGCATTTATAACATTAGTATGGATAAAACAAAGTAGGTCCCGTTTTTTTTTCTCAAAGATATTTAAAACTACTCGAGGAATTTTAATGCGGTTACCATGTACCTTGTTTTGTATGAGCCTCCGATATTAAATTGATAAATATCGAAGACTCATAAACAAGGTACATGGTAACAATCCCGTTAATAGCAATAATGAGATTAAATATATCTTTCATTGCAGTCTGCTATTTAGAAAATGTATATTATTTTTAGCAAACTCAATTTGAAGACCTTATTAATAACCAACGGCCGCTGTCGACTTTATTCATTTGACATTTTCCGGGATAAAAGTATCCTATGTCTCAACACAGATCCATACACAATGAAATCATCATCATCAGCCTATTAATGTTCCCACTGCGCAGGCCTTCCCTATGGATGGAATAGGGAGATTGGGCCATGACCCACCACGCGGGCCCAGTTCGGATGCTAACGACTGCAGATTCAGCCGGGACCAACGGCTTACCGTGCCTTCCGAAGCACGGAGGACCTCGAGATAGAAGATTTTTGGTCACCCATCCAATGACCGACCACTGCGAAAGTTGCTTAACTTCAACGATCGCAGCCGAACGCGCTAACCACCTGCGCCATCGAGCTTCACAGAATAAAATATTCGTACTAAATTTCATCTAAATACATTCAGTAGTTTTTGCGTGATTTAAGAAACATGCAAACTTTAATATTTTGATTATTAGCAGGAAGTCAAAATACTAGCATAAAGAAAAGAGACAACAAATGAAGTTCAATGGGCATTGTGAATTTTACAGATTTTCATGATTGCATTGCAAAGATATTTATTCTCTACTATACATATACTGCAAGTAAATATGAACCTCATGTCTTCAACAGAAAATCGAAGGTCGCATGGCGTCAGACCAAGATCTGAAGTTAGCTGACACACTTCGCTATTACATGAGAGATGCCCACGCTGCCAAAGCTGTATTAGTTAGGAGACTTAGGTAAGAAGATTTTAAAATATTATAAGAAACTACCTGTCCCAGCGTACCGGCATAAAAAATAGGGGTTGGTGGTAGAAGGGTGAAATATTAGGGTTGTATGTATTTTTGTATAATGTATCATACAAAAATAAAAACAAAAAATTGATCAAAAATAATAATTAAATAAAAAAACAAAATTAAAGGGTGGACCACCCTTAACATTTAGCGGGATGGAAAATAGATGTTGTCCTATTCTCAGACCTAGTGAATATGCATATAAAATTTCACAAAAATCGGTCGAACCGTTTCGGAGTAATTCAATTACGCACACCGTGACACGAGAATTTATATATTAGATAAGAAATTTTAGAAAATATTAAATATGCCGTTTGACTGTTGTTGTTGACAAAACATTAATTTATACTACTTAGCGTGAGCTGCGGCACAGAGCTTGTTAAAGTAAATTTTACAATGACATGACATAACAAAATAAAAAAAAAAATATTCAGTCTAGGCTGTTGGAAGCACTTGTGATGGTTGTTATATATAGTCGAGGCGTACTAGTGACGCATTTCCGTTTCATCTTTTTTCATAGGATTTTTAAAACCCTCGGATAAGAAGTTTCACTTAAAAATAATTGATGCAAGTGGCCCTTATACTAAGATGTGACTTAAGCTTTTCTGACCAGGCCGTACTTTCTGATATGAAAAATAAAACATAACTATTATATTGTAATGGTTAATTAATGTTTTGTATTATGGGCTCATTTTTGCCTGAACTATTATTTAGATTTATTTAGGTTGCCTGAACTAAATTAATGAATTGAATTAATAATTTAACTTATTTATTTGTACCTATAGATGTTTAGCAGCTTACGAAGCAGCCAATAGGAATTTGGAGAAGGCGCGAGCTAAAAACAAGGATGTCCATGCTGTAAGTACATTGTCAATTTCATCGGTTGTAAAAAATAAGCTAGATCAGAGTAACACAAATAAAATTTAACTAACTGCCTTGGAAAAGTAACGGTTCTCTAGAAAAATATTTAAATTACAAAAGCTTAAAAGTTACCTAAATGTCTAAAAACTTAAAATCAGAATTATCTTAAAGCTTACCTACTTAAATAAATACAATTTACAAAATATAAAATATATCACTCTGTCTGTGCGGAAAGAGAATGGGATTTAAATTGGAGGGCGCTGTAGTGCTTTTCTACCTTATTTGTAAGGTTTTACCCCCTTTAGACATGGTTATATACAAAAAACCGCAAGAAATCACAACAACAAACAAATCCGTATCAATACAAAACTTTGGCGTTTTACAGATTGCTGGGTTTGTTTGCCAAATAAAAATCTTAATGTTAGTTCCGTTTTTCGCCACGCCCATTCTCTTTCCGAACAGACTACCAGCGCCGCCGTCAAGGTGCCCAATAAGCTGGCAGCATTTCCTCGTTAAATAAATAGAGGTATAAGAATAGAGTGGGGAAGCCGTCTCTAAAAGTGTCCGTCTAGTAGAAAGAGAAAGAAGATGAGAGACCGCTAGCTATCTCTCTCTCTCTTGTGACGCATGGCATCCAGTGGCATCACATCGAAATAGTAAGATGCTTACGGTTGCCAATGTGCATGCGCGATTAGAGAGAGAAAGCTAGCGGTCTCTCATCTTCTTTCTCTTTCTATTAGAGGGACACTTCCACTTGTAGTGGAGTCTCTATCTCCCCTACTCTATTCTTATACCTCTATAGTTGAATAGCAAGGCTAATCAGTTGACCAAGGTAGCCCAGCCTTTTGATCACCAGTCACCTCAGTGAGTTTCTTAGACAATTCTTTAAAAAGGGAAGGAGCGTTTGGACCCCATGTTCCTTAGTTTCTACACCAAACGGCAAAAATGCAATTTAATAATTAACCTTTATTAATGTAAATAATTTAATATTTGAGTTTGGTCCTAAAGTAATGCATTCGGAGCTAACCTGTAAGTAGCCCAGTCAAATAAGACTTTGAAGGTTACAAAAATTCTCATAGAGCTAAAAATTTTTATGAATATTCAGAATACTATTATAAATGAATTGTGAAAAGTCCCCGTCAATCCCCCTTGTGCATTTTTTTTATTGATGGTGAAAGTTTGCAAAATACGAGTAGAGTATATTAAAATACTAGTACGAGGAGGACTTATTTTTGATGAACCAGCTTCTTCTTAGCGCTGTCTTTTCACGGCATCAATGCTACTTTTTCGAGTATAATTTTTTCGACACTGCACATGATTTTTTACAGATGTCTGGTCTTTCAGGGGTACTCCGAAAACTCATCACCTCTTTAATTGTATTAATTAATGCTTTCATGCCGCGATCAACAGAAACAACTCCACTTTCAGTCAAAGGTTGACTACAAATCAAGCAGAATTGCGACATTTTTTTTTAAACAGTAAAATGCACAAACTTTGTTACAAAATATAAGCGATAGCCACGAGTTGTCACTACGAAGGAATGCTTACGACTAACAGTATTTTGTTGAGTATGAAACGTTTAAGCATCGCCACGCTGACAATTGAATGGACGACAGATGTCGACAGACTCAAGGCCATGCGACTAAATGAAAATAGGGGCGGAGTTTTTGACGTTCATTTATATTCTAAGAATTTTATAATTTGTATGTATAAGACATAGGGACTCATATGTTTACTCGTATGACGGTTCAAAAATGTATGTAGAAGTACATTAACGTGAATATTACGAATATATTTTTTTCAATAGGGATGACGACTAATTTTTTTTTCTTCGTTTATCAGGTAGATTATGAAAAAGTATTGGACACGCATTTTTTCTTTTTTCACATAATATTAACATTGCAAAGATATATTGATTTGAAAAGTCGCATGACGTCACGTTTGAGTACACTTATAAGGGAAAATTCACTCAAAAGTGACGTCACGAGCCCCTACTCCCAAACTTTGACGCGCTATAACTTTGTCATTTTTTGGTTGATTGCCCAAAGAAAAAATACGTGTCCATTATTTTTTGATCATCTAACTGACGGACTAAATAGAATTTCGTTTACTGTACCCCGTCATCATCCCTATTCTTTCAACCGCTATATCACGGAAATGGCAATACTTATGAAAAAAGTGTGGATACATTTTTTGTAGAGAATCGGATGATCTACAATTTTAGTCTGAACTATTTTTGCTGTAAAACTCACCGTTTAGCTGAAAAACGCGAAAATCCTACTTTTTCAAACTTTCACCATCGATAAAAAAAATTGCACAAGGGGGATTGATGGGGACTTTTCACAATTCATTTTTATAGTATTCTGAACATTCATGCCAATTTTTAGCTCTATGGAAATTCTTGTAACCTTAAGTCTATTTTAAGGACTAATTTGACTGGACTTAAAGTGTTAGTTGCAGTTAGTTTTGAATTATGTAATTAAGGCTAAGTATTACTATAAACAGACATTGCAACTTTTGTTACGTTACAAATCTCTCGCTCCTCCGTGCTTCGGAAGGCACGTTAAGCCGTTGGTCCCGGCTGCATCTGCAGTCGTTAGCACCCACCAATCCGCACTGGGCCCGCGTGGTGGGTCTTTCCCCAATATCCATATTCCATCCATAGGCCTGTGCCCCAGCAGTACGGATATTAATTATGATGATGCCTTTACATAGTAAAAATAGTTTAGACAATGTGCAAGAGTGACGGGGTGATCGTTTTGTCTCTTTCGTTTGTGTGTTAACTTGTGTTCCGTGTTTTTGTTTGTGCACACAGCCGATGGAAGTTCAAGAGGTAAATGCACGTTTTATTAATGTCACAATATTTTCTTGTAAGATTATGAGGTGCCTTTGTTTAGTTATTTAAGGTATACAATAAACTATATATATATATATATATATATATATTTATATTCATTTAACTGTAGTAAACTCTCTGTCTGACTTTGTTCGATTTTCTTGATCATTTCGAGAGTTTTAAGTCTCTAAAAGTACCAAAAGCTATCCTCCTTAATAGGGTATTTGACAAATTTTAGGCAACGATCTCACGTTAGTGACTAATGTTTATGGAGTCCGCAAAAAGTGGATATTCATCATTCTGTTGCGTATTTCAGTAAAAATAACCAAATCAAAAACTCCATTTTCAAGTTGCCGCGAAAACGTTTCTCTGAACAATATGACGTCTTACTAGTGTGTGTCGTCACACGACTGTTATTAAACGTCTAACGATAAAATGTAATGACACTTTAACCGGAAATTTACTTAAAAACTTGCGTGTGACGTCATTTTAGGCTCCGCCAATCCCTAGCGTTTTGGGTCACGTGACAATAGATAAGAAAACTATTATCTTTTTCGAGGGTTTTTAGTAAAATTATGAATATTTTTTTGTAAAAGTATTAAAATCCCCTGCCAATATTCAATCTCAACACAGATGCTAACAATTGGCACTTTATTTTAAATACTGTCAAATACCCTATTTACTTAAGTTAAATGACATGATTCATATTTTTGTATGGAGGGTGGTAGTCAGTCTCCGGCTGACTGCAAATATTTATGACATACAATGCAAAAAAGCTAGAACTATTATTATTATAATTTAAAATGACATAGTTATTGATTGGCAATTGGCAAGTTTATTTATGTAATGTTCGTTGCCAAAGCATCTAATATATTCTACTCAACAAGTAACTAAAACAGTGATAATGATTCCGTTCATCTCTCATTACGTTATTAGATATTTTGTAAGTATTGAATTTCAAGAAGAGTCAATCAATAAATGGGTATAATAATTTCACTATTGTTTCACGAATATAGGGCATGACTGAACTGATTGACATTTAACAGTGATTGACTCGACGTTAATGGTGTAGACAATGGCGTCATTCTCTAAACTTAAAACTAAATTTAACATCAGTCTGTCCTTTTCATTCTGTATAGAGAATGACAAGGATACGTTATTTTCAAATTTAAGTTTAGGTTTACAGAGTCATACCGGAATCTACACCAATGAACTGCTAAAGACTAAAAATATGGTCAGCATCCTTGCGAAATTGTTCAATTTACAAAAACGATTGATTTTAAATCGGAGATAAACTAAAAATTAAAATATCTGCTCATGTTTATTACATAAAACAAGGTTTCAAATTATATATGTTTCATCGCTACCAAAACCCTTTTCAACAGTCTCATTTGCACTAGTTATCGCCTTTGATTAAAACAAAAAGGGAAGATATGGCACTCACGGCTCAAAAGTGATCCGCTTAAATTGTGGTGCACGATCACAATTCTCTTTAGTCAGAATTGTACATTCAAACACGCTGCATGTGCACTCAATATAACATATTGCTTATATTCTGTGTTATAAAGATAAAACAATGCTTTCGATGCTTTTAAAAAGAACACGAATAGTTACAAATTACAAATGCCGAGGCGCCGAGCACACTACTTCTCATTCGTAAAACTGTAAAATCATTTTTACCCCAAAAATCACGATTTGTCGTGAATGTTATTTACGTAGTCGCCATTTTGTTATCAAGAAAAGGACAACAATACAGCTCGGCAGTACAGACTCGGAAGCGGACGCAGTTTCGCTCGCTCTGCGTTGAAACGTACATTACCCCTAGCACGAACCATTGTCGAATTCGAATAGTTTGCAAACCGAAATGTCAATGTCCAATTTTATATGGAAACTTGCACAGCAGCGGCACAAAGTACGTAACGAGAACTAAAAATCAGTACACATTTGACAATGACATTTCGGACTCGCAAACGATTCGAATTCGATATTGGTTCGTGTTAGGGGTACAGTTCTGTCTCGCTCGCTCGATTGTATGTTTATCTACATACCTGTGCGTGTGAGAATTGCTTATGTAGTTGAGTCGGATCATATTTTATTTGATGCTAGTATGAGCGTACCGTATCTTCCCTTTTTGTTTTAATCTAAGGTTATCGCCATTCACCAAAAAAACAGAAAACCTACGGAATATAGAGCGTATTGTTTTATATATAGGCTGAACAGCAACAAGCGGACGCTTGCGCTCGTTTCGAACAACTGTCGGCGCGTGCGAGAGAAGAACTACTGGATTTCCGCACTAGGCGAGTGGCAGCTTTCAGAAAGAGGTAAGAAATACTCTTAGGACAAATTCATTTTGCCTTAATTTTCTTTTTTTTTTATAGATAGGTCCGACAAATGACTCCACCCCACCTTATGTTAAGTGACGGTGAAGTCCAGACGCGAGAATGCTGGTATAGCAGTTCTACCTGCCACACCAGCCATCCTCACCTTGCCGGCCTGCATGTTGCTTCTTTACGCCTCTTTTAAAGGATCCCAGGCTGTAAGAGGAGTACCGGGATTTAAACCCGGGAGCGACCTATCGAGTCGGCGACACCATGAAACCACTCGGTCACGGAGTTCGTCAAAACAATAAAAAAAAATTAAGTGGATTTTTTTGTTTAAAAAGTGTTTAGCTAACGGTTACCTTAAAATTTTAACACTTTCCACAGCTTATTGGTTCTTTTTTTTACTCCACTGATGCCCAAGGATCGTTTTAAATAAATGAGTTAATTTGTCCTTTTCAGCCTCATAGACCTCGCCGAATTGGAGATCAAACACGCCAGAGAGCAACAGGAGCTGTTCCGGAAGTCTCTGCAAGTCCTAAAAGAGTGCGCATAGACAATGACCAACCATAGACTACAGACTCTTGCATAGATAAAGGTTACAAGTTGATGTTGGTTATACCTTTTTTCTTGAAGAGGATATTGTTAAGGCTATTTTGATAGCTTCTTATACAGTTGAAAAACAAATATGTCTGGTCACCCATCTTTGCCATGACCAACGAAATGCGTCTAACTTTCGGGATAGACGTTCACACGCAAGTCACATATCCTCTCTACAAATTTATTTATTTGTTTATATATTACGGTGCGATGTATTAGTTATTTTCTCTATATTTTATACAAAATGCGTTTATTAAGCAAAAGTTATGTGGACCAAATATTTTCATTTCGTACTATTAAATATTCAATAAACATCGTTCTTTTCTATGAGGCGAAGAAAATACTAATCGATGTGTCCATCACATTAGAAATATTCTTTCTTTACATAAAAATAAGGTGCAATTTTGTTTGATCACAACATTATGGTTTTTTTACACAATTGCGGTTAATTGTTTTCAAAAAAAATTTGTCTTAGAATCGCCTCTATGTGCTAAAATTAAATAATTTAATTTAAGTATTTAAAAGTAATCGTATGCTATACTTATATCGACTGAAGTGATATTTCGACACGGTAAAAATTTGTTTATGTCTGATTTACTTCTTTGCTTAAGTTTTCATTACGCGAATAACACATTGCAATGCATGACGGAGCGAAATGCGATTCTATTGGTTTTAATATTTGCGATATAAAATGAGGAGCTGGCGAACGAAACGGTACAATTACGCATATGGTTTTAACCATATGATACTTTATTTTTACAGCCCGGAGGTTTGGGCCAGCGGAATTTGAATTGTTGAAATTAATTGAAAAATTCATGTCAATCAAAACCGCCTAAAATAGTATTGAAATTACTATTAAAATAAAAAAAAACACGCCAAAAGCTCACTGTATGTATGTCATTCGTTTTTTTACTGCTCCTGTAAAATTTAATTTGATGTAATTATACCGTTTAGTCCTCAGATTAATTAGAAAGAAAATACAGCCCTGGTTGAGTTTCTTGCCGGTTCTTCTCAGTACAAGGTCTCTTGCGCCGTAGATTTCACAAAGTGATTCTAAAAGATTAATCTGAATAAATGAATTTGAATACAAGCACCACAATTTGTGTTAGAGAATAAGATATATAGGTCTCCCCTAATGCACGTCACTGGAGCCCTATGTCTAGCAGTGGGCGAACATGGGTTGGTGATGATGATGATGATATGATATATAACACAGCTCCGTGACAAATGCGTGTTAGTATCTGCACAAAGTTTCAAAAATTTTATTTAGTAGTGAAAAGTCGAGTTATAGTGAGATTTTCCCACAGTAAAACATAGCCTATGTGTTAATCCAGGGTGCCAGCTAACTCCATACCAGATTTTATTAAAATCGCTCTAGCCGTTTGGACGTGAAGAAGTAACTAACACACACAAACTTTTCCTTTATAATATTAGCATGATACAAACCTAATGGAGTGAAGTTAGCACAAGTTGCCTCGCAGTAAACGGAATGTAGGTAACGCGCGTGAGATTTCACTGAACTGAAGTCATAGACATAAAGCAGCCTACTCAGAGGTGTTGGCTTCGAGTCCCGGCAACTGTTTGTAGTCATGGTTGTAAAATTCAAGAAAATTTCAGCATCATTTTGAGTGTCTTATTTTCGTCAAGCGATTCTGTTACAACCACTTGAAAATCAGTTGCAAAGAGGAAGTTTTTTTTATGCGACAGACAGACAAAGCGACACTGCTACTCTTAGAGTCTGTGCAGAAAGAGAATGCGCGTGGCGAAAAACGGAACTAACATTAAGATTTTCATTTGGCAATCAAACCCAGCAAACTGTAAAACGTCAGTTTTGTATTGATACGGATTTGTTTGTTGTTGTGATCTCTTGCGGTTTTTTGTATTTAATTATGTCTAAATGGGGTAAATCCTTACAAATACGGTAGAAGAAGCACTACAGCGCCCTCCAATCTAAATCCTATTCTCTTTCCGCACAGATTCTACGTCAAATATACGTTTTAATGTGATATTCGCGTTAATTATCGGGTTTTGTGCATGTTCGTGTCTTAAAGACTAAAGTGTACTCTTGTATTTTTGTTATAATTAAAGCACTCGTTTTGGCTATGCAAAAGAAGTTTAATTTTCCTATGCAGTCGCAGTCAATATGTAAAGTTTTTTTTAATATGTTAACTTACATATATATGAAAATATATATGTTAGCTTACAGAGCGACTGCGGCTCGGCTGTAAATTTATATTATGTAAGCGTAAGTTATTTCTAAATGTTTATTATGAATAGGAGAATATATGGATTATTGTATTCCTTATTTGATTGTTTTATTAATGAACATCCCTTATAATTTTTGTGTAAGTAGAAAAATTTAAGTAATATAAGTTATTTACGGGATTGTTACCATGTACCTTGTTTTTAGCGAGTTTCCGATATTTCGGCACTGTTGCAAGCGCCATGATCACGGAGTAACTGAAGTAATTGCGGGTAGGCTGTTATTGGCAGACATATCGGTGTACCCTCCGACGAAGTCTTTTATTGCGTTCGATACCCGTACCACTGTTCACATTCTCACTATTCACTCGAAACTGTTCTCGACACACAACACTTACAGTATCGGATCGCGACACGAGACTTTTTTGATTATTTCCGGTTTTACACATACGAACCACAGGATTCCAGACACTCGACAATTTAAACCCGTCCTCACGATTGAAATTTTTATGTTTTGTTATTTCAATCGCTTCCCTGACCAATCTTGGTATGTAGTAGCGTTCTGTCGAGATAATCTGTGGGTTATGAAACTCAATCCAGTGGTTAGAACCAGAATCAATCAAATGTTCCGCGATGGCTGACTTCTGCGTATCGTTGTTCTTGATTGCTTTTATGTGTTCCCTCATTCGGCATGATACTGTTCGCTTTGTTTGGCCAATGTACGAACTGCCACAGCTGCAATCGATCTTAAAAACACCAGGTTTCTCCAAGGGGAAGTTGTCTTTAGGAGGCCGTAGGTATTGTGAAACCTTTCGCACAGGAGTGAAGACAGTGTTTAGTGAGTACTTATTCAGTATGTTTGAGATCTTGTCAGTCACTCCTTTGACGTATGGTAAATAAACAGGTTGTCTGTCTACTCTGTGTCTCTGGTGTCTTAGTTTGTGTCTTGATGGTAAATGTCCCTGGTATCCATTACTCTGTAAGACTCGTCGTACATGCTCCAACTCTTCTTGAAGATGTTCCTCATCACACAGGTCATATGCACGGTTCGTCAGTGAAGTCATTACAGAGTTAACATGTTTAGGGTGGTGATGCGAGGAGGCGTTGAGATAGCGGTCAGTGTGTGTTGATTTGCGGTAAATGGAATGACCAAGCGAACCGTCATTCCTCACCCGAATCTTCACGTCCAGAAAGGCCAGACTTCTGTCTTCTTCCATCTCATAGGTAAAGTTGATTTTAGAATGGATACCATTTAAATTTGCCAAGTGAGACTCGACATCATGTTTGTTAGCTCTTAATATACAGAATACGTCATCGACATACCTCTTCCATAGTTTTATTTCTGTAGGTGCGGTGATAAAGGATTTTTCTTCAAAATGCTCCATCCATATATTGGCAACCACTGGAGCCACGGGACTGCCCATTGCGACCCCATCTATTTGGAGGTAGTACTGACCCTGATATATGAAGAAATTCGTCGACAAACAATGATGCAACAGCTTGGCATATTCCTTCGGGATGTCATTTTCTTGCAACTTCACCTTCACCACTTCCAGACAATCCAACACAGGTACATTTGTGAACAGCGATTCTACGTCAAAACTGACCATCAACTGATTTTCATCTACCTTGTTTTGGTGCAAGATTTCTATAAAATGGCGGGAATCCTTCACAAACGACGACGTTCGTCCCACTATCGGCTGCAATACTTTTGCCACGTGCTTGGCCAGTTCATATGTAGGTGAGTCTATCTGACTCACGATCGGACGTAGGGGCACATTTGGCTTATGGATTTTCGGCAGACCATATAGTTTTGGAGGCTGGATGTTTCTAGGACGTAATAAATATTTGACAATGTCATCGTCTAAAGCGTGGGCGCATTCTTTTATGAGTGAGCGAGTGTTACGATCTGTCCTTGCCGTTGGGTTGTAATTCACCTTCTTGTATATGTGTTCGTCAGTGAGTAGACTCTGGATTTTGTTTTCATACTCACTGGTATTCATTATGACTGTCGCATTCCCTTTATCAGCTTTTAGTACTAGTATATTCTTGTTCTTGTGAAGATCTCTCAAGGCCACTGATTCGGAAGAAGTAATGTTCGGTCTTGGTGGCCTCGCATGACGTAACACCACAGCGACATCTTGCCTGAGCGTATCCGCATCTACTGCTGGTATTTTATTCCGTATGACACCCTCTTCAACTGACCCAATCACTTCCTCATAGGGAATACGTCTAGGTGTAACCGCGAAATTCATCCCTCTTTCAAGAACAGACTGTGCAGCGTCGGACAACTCAATACTTGACATATTGATTACCGTTCGAGTTGGTAGTGAGTTCTCGTGGTAGGGGACATCCGGCTTTTGTCTTTGTAACAACAACTCGAACTTACGATCTTGTTTTATAGCGCTTAGTTCCCTGGTACGTTGAGCTTGTAAGTATGTAACACGATCGCAAATATCAAAGTCACTTGTCGAAAGAGTTTCACTGCACTTCAGATGGATTTCGTATAATTCACACTGACTTTTGTCCAAGTGGTACCTACAGTTACGAATCGATTTTCGCAATAGTTTTACACTCGCGTTTCGCAGAATACTCGCGGAACCATGAATGTCTGGTCGTGGTTTTATCCTAACGCATATAGGGATAATGTCCGAATCACGACACTTCACCAGGAAAGACAGTGATTCCTTCAAACACTCACACTTTTTCCGCGCGCGTTCTAGGTGTTTTATCAATTGAGACGTATCCGGCCCGTACCGGTTAACAATATATTGTTTTAAACTTTCATGGTCACTAACATTATAGT